ATCTCGTTTGCGATCTGGGCTGCCTTACTGGGTTCAAACATAGTGCGGACATTCCATGTCCCCACGTTTACCTTCGCTTTCATTGAGAGAGACGAGACGCATCGGCCAATTGGCTTCCAGAAGGCTTTCACCAACTGGCGTCATTTGGCCTCTCCGATTCCAGCGAGGAATAATTTTGTTATTATTTTTTATATTTCGTTTGTGCTTTGAAGTTTGTTTGTTTGTCCGTTTATTATAAACATCACGGTGAAACAGTAGCATTTACAGGATAACGTTTCGGACATAATTTATTGTCCATATTCATATCGGGTCAGGTAACTCCACAACTTCAAGAAAAACTTTATATATTCCTAATTTTCTCCCCTTCTCTGTGATAAAAAGGGTAGTAGAATTTTCCATATATCTGGGATAGGTGCAGAGTCATTTCGATTGCTGCATGTATTTGCTGTTGGTTCGATAAACAAAGATTCGGTTATCAATCTCTCCCTCCACCCAACTAAGTTGGCTTTCAATACTACCGCCCTATCCCACCCTACTGTGTGATTGTGCGTCATCGCATGCAGAGCTATAGCCGAGCTTTTCTCTAGATTTCTTATCTTATTAAGATCTATTAATCTTGATTTGGCTAAGTTTTTGTGTTCTGTTATTCTAATCGACCCTGGTCGACTGCTCTGACCTATGTACTTGACCTCGCAATCATTGCAAGGAATCTGGTAAACCAGATTATTTTACTTAATTGCATCAATAGGATCTTTCAACCTACAAAGCTTGTTTCTAAGTGAGTTTGTTGGTTTGAATGCCACTTTAGTCCCAGCCTTATTGAGAATTCTTCGTAATGCTTCTTAGGTGCCTTCCTTGTACGGTAACACAGCCAAGACTTTGAATTCTCTCTTAACCCTGTAGCCATTATTACAATTAGTAGTGGGATTATTATTAAGAACACCAGTATTACAACAAAAACAACTACTACTACTACTACTGCAAATATTTTTCTTTCTATTTCTTATGAATTTATTTATAAATTTTGGTGGATAATTATTGAGACGTAGGGTATTCTTGATATGTCTAATTTCTTGTCGCAGATTTTCTGATTTACTCTTATATTAATGTATACCTTCGATTTGTTTGAATAATTTTATGAACAAGTCCTTGTCAATATTTTTCGCGAAGGCTGGACTTTCGCGTATGTGTCACTTTTCATCGAAACACAAAATGATATTAACATACCAATAAACAAGCAAATACAAACAGATGCTTTAGAAGGAATGATATTTACACATAAACGTAATAAACTAGAAAGTTATGGTTATGTCAGTATGTGGGGGTGGAACGGGGTCGAGACCGGGTCAAACTATTGAGACAATTTCGATTTCACGATTTAGCGCAACTGCCACCCAGTGTCATCGTTGAGTAACTGTCCTCACGACCATCAGGCTTCGACTCCACCGGTCACGACTTCTCATTAAAACTTCGGGAATACCTCTCGAAGCTAGTCACCGGTGAATACCTGTTCAATTGAGTTTTGAGGGGGTTGTGAGGACCCACGACCCAGCCAGGGTGCGCACTGCTGAGGAGTCCCATACTAGGACGAAATAGCTGTCCAGTGCTCCCAGGTTTCCTTTGTTTCTCCAACTGGTGTCAGTCCATGATGAATAACAACTTGAAATATATAAGAAGCGTTGTATTTTGTACACATTTTGACGTTGTAATACACCTGTTATGTTATCGCCTGTTTCCGTTTACCGAAGAGCTGAGCTACCATCAAGGGTGGGATATGAAACCCATTTTAAGTATCCACCTTCATAAACTTATACAATGAATTATTGTTATTATCCTTGTTATTTCTGATTACTTTAGCGGTTTAAATTTATAAACTACCGGATAAAAAGTGTAACACAACTTGAGATGTGAGAGGGTCAATCGGTGAAAAATGTTGAACTTACGAAAAGCTGGAAACGAAAAGATCAGTACAAGATAGAAGATTACAATAAACAAAACACGACGAAATATATTGGTGAAGAGGAACAAATCTGCATTATCTGAGTTGAGACTACCTAATAGCGCCTACAAGTCAGCTTTTTTGTGACTAGCTTACAGTCTCATTGTATCAATTATCCTCCTTGACCACATTCTACAATCATCAATTTGAACATAAGCGTTAATATGATAATGCTAGCCGAACAAAATGCTGATCTGAAGATATATTCAAAGTTCAAGGTTGTAATCAAGCCTTCATTATTTTTCCTTGATTATCTCAGCGGACTCGAATAATCAACTCTTGTTAGCTCCTAAGATTATGGAACCAAGCATTAATTATGTGTAATTTGCTAGGCGCTGACTGGCTAGGAGACTATGTGCCAACAGAGAGAAGTTATGATAACGCTATTAGAAGACGAAGATTATCTGAAAAATGTGGTGTATTTGAGCAGTACATTTCGAATAATCTGATCACACATTTACTTGTCAAGTCAGTTTATATATGAAAATGAAAGGAAAATGAAAGGTTAAATATAATGAATGTGAAAAGGTTGTGACACTACTCTTAGTAACATAATCAGATAAGGATTACGAAGGTAAATTAAGTGAAACAACAAATCGTTTTTGTACGCACAAAGGGGGCTTAAGTCTACGAATGGCTAACGCTTCAGCAAACCTAAGTATGCACCCCTAATTATTCCTGTATAATATCTTAAACGCTGTTTTCGTATTAACTCTGTGATTCATTTCAGTGATATGTTTTGCTAAAATTTCGATGGATGTCTGTCATCTGTATTTATCAATATTTGTGTGTTGAATTGCTTTTCAAGCCATTTGGGTATGTGTTCACCCACCCTAGGCTGCATTGAACGATTACTCCTCGCTATGTATGTGTGCCCACACATACATGTAAATTGGCAAACACAGTGGAATGTAACATAATCATTTATACAGGATTAAGGTTTGTGGAGAAGCAGGTGTTTTGTCGTCTCAATAATGATAAGCTGAGCTGCATAGTATGTTTTACTGATAACAAATTTTAGTCGCTGTTTCAATATCATACTACTTGTTTCGCCTCTGTACGGTAATTTAAGAAATATATCTTTCTTTGGAATCGAAGAAATTATAGGCTTCAGAGTCAGCTGTTTTCTACAACGGCTCCCACACTGTAACGGATATCCGTTCTCCCCTAGTGTATCTGTCAGAAATTTCCTCTCATCATCCATCTTATCAGAGGTACATATACTTTGGATCCTATTGAATAAGCATCTCACTAAGCCTCTCTTATAATTCATCGGACAAAAGCTGTAGAAACTCAAGTACTGTCCTGTTCAAGTAGGCTTTCTACACCTTGATCGTCTGATAGATCCATCTTCCCTCCGACAAAAGAGTATGTCAAGAAATGCAAGTTGATGTTCTTTTTCTTCCCCACATTCTAGACTGATATGATCTTGTACGGTATTAAGCTTTTTTAACAAATCCCTAGCATCTTCATATGTCATCAATTACAAAGATATCATCAATATACCTTCCACAGAATGTGGCATTTGTGGTTAAATCCTGAGCCATTAGTTTGATATGTGACAAACATGCATAAACTAATAACGGTCCTAATGGACTGTCATAGCAGCACCATCAATTTGCCGAAAGCGTTCGCCTTCGAAAGTGAAATGAACCTTATCAGTGTATAATAAAAGTAGCTCTTTCAAATGGATTGGAGAAATAGGGAAAGAAGGATAGTTTGAGGACATATATATGCAAAGAATATTAACTGTATTCGTTAGAGACACATTCGTAAGTCGGAATTCTTCATGGACTGACACCAGTTGGGGGAAAATTGGAAACCTGGGAGCACTGGACATCTGTCTTATTCTAGTATGAGACTTTTCAGTAGGGTGTACCAATGACCACGCCTAGAAAATAAGAATGAAACAGCTGTCCAGTACTCCAAGGTTTCCAATGGTTCTCCAACTGACATCTGTTCATGATGAATACCAGCGTGAAATCAATAAATAAATGCTCACAAAATTTGCCTTGAAAATATATTACTCAAAACCGTTAAGGAAATGTTTATTGTCCTAGATATATATATATATATATATATATATATATATATTTGCTTGGAGTTTACTTGAAGACGTAAATCACTGATTCATGATCAAGAAAGAGAGAAAAATGGAAATATTTTCATTGTTGTTTGAAATAAAAGTTTTCATTGTTGAATACTGACTTTGTTGCCAGCTTCTATTGAAAACCAGTTTCTCTAACCGAAGAAAAAAACATATTTTCTGAATATTTGTTAAACTGGAGAGTTATTGCATTGTGTGATAGCAAGAAATATGAACACTTATAGTCTTGACAAAGCAACTCCTTTCTTATTGCTTACCGGTGTTTGGTATGTGAAGTGTGTTATAAGCAGTTTAACTTTCATTTTGCCACACTTTCTTAGGGATTGCAGTTCGAACATAATGATTAGCAGATGACTGCGAAAAATAATTTCCTACTTCAACAAAGAATATTGAATGATATAATTGCATTGGTATGACGGAGACTACTAAAAGGGTTAAAAAGAAGTTTGATGGGAAGAGCTCATACTTCCCACCTTCCCGAAACCATTCCCTTCCTGCCTAAAAGGAAGGCATCATCAGCATGATACTGCCGGTCATCCAAAGGGAACACCACATCCAGCCAGCAGTACGACTTCACCCTCGGACCCCTATCATTTACACTACAATGAAAACTGCTTTTTGTCCAAAAAACCTTTCTGGTATGGTAGGACCTCAAGAGAACAAGCATTCCAGCCAGTATAGCTTGCTGGGTCATTGTGATATACAAACTTGTTATTGAAGTCAAGGTGACAGCTATCAGTAGAGAGGAAATTGAGACTATGAATAAACGATGTACATCTAGGCTCACTTTTACTTTGTATTTTTCTTCAATCTATAAAAAATATAACATTATCACCAAAACTGTATCATGACATTAGAAAAAATAATCAGTGTTCAACAGGATAATCTACTTACTTTTTGCATCTCAGAAATATTTTGAAAACTATGTAGATCAAATGTTCCATAATATCCGAAAGAAGAATCTATTTTCACTTTTTGATTAAACAAACACTGTTCTGGATAAGGTTTCCATTTATTCAACTGAGAAACAATAAATTGATGACCTAAGGTAGAATTTATATAAAAATAAATAATCATTTAAGAGATTTTTCCCGTAGAATTTGTATAGTTTAAATCAGACAACAAGAACACTAATATAACTCCCAAAAAAAGTGGCACATTATATTTATATATTAAAAATTATAGCAGAATTTCATGTTTCCATGTGTGAATACTAGTTATTCAGGTAGAAATAATTCACAAACACACACTGAGAAAATAAAATGATTCATGATGAGTCTGATGTAGAAGCAAAAAGCCATGGTCTTCCAGAAAGCCATACTTATTAAATACTACTTTTTTTTTGAGGGAGTTGTGGAGATTTGGAAATATTTCAAGTTGTTATTCATCAGAGACTGACATCAGTTGGAGGAACAAAGGAAACCTGGGAGCACTGGACAGTCGTTTCGTCCTAGTATGGGACTCCTCAGCAGTGCGCACCCACGACCCCACCAGCAGGGATCGAACCCATGACCTTCAGTAGTATAAGTATGAGTATAAGTATTCCCGAAGTTCCAATGACAAGTCGTGACCGGTGGAGTCAAAGCCTGATGGCCGTGAGGACAGTTACTCAACGATGACATTGGGTGGCGGTTTGCGCTATATCGTGAGCTAACAGAAGTTGGAAATATGGAGCATTGGATTGTGACTCAGTGGCTCAATGGTAACGCGCTGGCCACGGAACCTGAAGGTCGCGGGTTCGATCCCTGCTGGTGGGGTCGTGGGTGCGCACTGCTGAGGAGTCCCATACTAGGACGAAACAGCTGTCCAGTGCTCCCAGGTTTCCTTTGTTCCTCCAACTGATGTCAGTCTCCGATGAATAACAACTTGAAATACTACTTTATGTAAAAATATCTAGACTAAAAGGTCAATTAGTTTCAGCATGATCTCATCATGTAAATTTCTTATCTCTGGTGTCCTAGTAAAAATTACCAAAATACTGTGTGTGCCTATTAAAAAAGGATTCTTATGTGTCAAATTAAATTTTTTTAATGGATTTCGATTCTTTGATAGTAATCATAGTATTTGAATAATGTAATCAGAACACGTAGATTATCTAAAAAATGTGGTGTATTAGAGCTATACATTTTAAACAATCTGATCACACATTTACTTGTTAAGACATTATATATGAAAACTGGAAGTGAAGGAAGAACAAATATGACTTGAAGGAATTCAGTAATAAGAAAGATAAGACTTGAAGACAATCTTGGCAATACGATAAAAAAATAAGCATTATCAAGGTAGGCTCAATGTAAGGACAAACTGTTTTTGCACACACAATGAGGGGTTAAATTTATTTATGGCCAGTGCCTCAACAAACTTAAGTATACGCCACTGACAGTTTCGGTACAAAATTGTAAAGGCTGTCTTGATATCAATTCTGTGACTCTTATCAATGATATGTTTTGCAATGAATGATGATGGTTGTCTGCCATCTGCGCTTATCAATGTTTGTGAATCCAGCTGCTTTCGTAACCATTTTTTAACATGTTCCCCTACCCTCAAGTGCATATCACGATTCGTCCTCCCTATGTATGTTTGTCCACACACACATGTAAATTTATAAACGCAGTGGGATGTGACGCAATCGTTTATATAATAGCGTTGAGGTCTAGGTTGCAGCATGTGTTTGGTCTTCTCAACTATGATAAGCTTAGCTGCATAGTACGTTTTGCTAACAGAAGACCTTAACCTTCGTTGTAATATTATGCTGTTAGATTCTCCTCTGTATGGTAACGCAATGTAAACGCATTTCTTCGAAACAGAAAACAGATTAGGTTTTAATCCTTGCTGATTTTCGCAGCAGTTTATGAACCTCAACGGATATCCATTTTCCATTAATGTTCCCGTTAGTATTTTGATATCATCATCCACTGAGTCTTCCTTACAAATACGCTGGGTCCTTTTAAATAGGCAAGTTACCAAACATCGCTTGTATTGGGTTAGAAAAAGCTATGGAAACTTAAATACTTCTAATTACATTATCTAAATTCATAAAAGGGACTAATTGTTTCAAAATCATAGTATTCTTAGACTGTATGCAGCTGAAGACTATTTTTAAAACAAAGATGATGTCATTTTGAAAAGTTAAGGTTTAGTAAGAAAAATATGTAGTTGAAGATGGTGATAACTTTTAGGTGTTTGTTAGTCTCTAATTTTTCTACTTTAGTGTTTCATTGTCAGACTAAGTGGCTTTGTCAGAAATTCCTTAATGAAGAGAGAAATTACCTCATCCGTTAGAAATTAAGTTAAACGTTGCCATAAGTCTGTTTACGAGATCACAAAGGATACTTAACAAATTCAACTCGTTCGGAAAGTCATAGAACAAAACAACTATCCGCAAAAGTGGCTAAAAAGAAGAGGAAGAAGTTTATCGAAAATGGCATAGAAAAATCAACCCATAAAAACTGGATAAGTATTGTAGTACTTCCTTATCGAACATCCACATCTAAGGAAACAAGACGGATCCTTAAAAGTCACAACATCAGAGTATTTTTTTAAGGTACTCAACACTTTAGACTCACACAGTGCAAAGTAAAAAAAGCATTCGCGATTGGAAACAACAGAATTGTGTTTATAAAGTAGACTAAAGTGAATGCGATGCAGCATACACTGGAGATACGTCACATCAAGTTATCACCTTTAACTGAATATGGTCGAAGTTACAAGCGACAACCAAAATTTCCTATGATCTGAAAAAGCTTAAAAAAGCCTCTGTCATCGCGGCTCATGCCTCATATCCAGTTCATAAAACACCATCTTAGAAACCAAAGTTTTGTTGAAGGCATTTCCCTTCTTATAAACAGCTAGCTGTTGCACAAGTTGTGCATATGTCCATACATTTATGCAGTCAAGAGAAAAGATGGGTAAGACATCCCATAAATACCCCAAACAGAGACTCTCATAGATAATTCCAAATACTATGCAAAGAGAAGGTAGAATAAGACTTTATCTCACGCTAACCAAATATATTCAGCTTTGAATAGTTTCTGGTGTCAGTTTGCTTATTGTCTTAATCTTGTCAAAAAAATATTAGTTGTATCTTAAAAACTTGTCTAATCCTATCATATAACACTGTTTTCACTAATTGTACTCTCCTTTCTGAGTTATATACATTGGACGACCCATTCTATATATTACATAATCCATCATACTTCAACTGTTATAATAAGTGTAGGTACCTTTGTTGTTGTCACTATTGTTATTATTACTATTACTATCATTGTTATCACTATCAATAAGTATTACACACTGTTTGATTTTCAAATATTCATCTTACAAAAATAGGAGCGACTTTAAACGCCACTCCAGCAACGACTGAAATAACCAATTAAGTTTCTTTATGATGACTGAAAAAACAGTTTTTTATAAAATGCAGATCTCTCATTGGTTACTCCAGATGTTGTTAAGGTGGCCCTTAGCGTCACTCCCACCTGATGACTCACAACTCCATTGTAATTTTTATAGTCAAACAAAAATTTTCCCGCCCTATTTTCGCTCTACTTTACTTCTGCAACTGGAATAAGCCTCTCTGAAAGATTTAATAATTCACTCATCTACATTCTAATGATTTCTGTTTTATTTCACGATCGTATTAGATTATCGTATAGGTCATCTTCTGTAACTAACTTGGAAACTTAATGTCAGATTCAAACTCTTGAAAAGGATCTTCCTAGCAAGATCGAAACGTTGAAGAATAGCATAAAATACTTTGTTTCGTTATTTGTTCGAATAAACTACACCCGGACTATATAAGTAAAATACACCTTACATGAAGAAAAGATATCCACAGAAATTATCAAATACATTGACATAACTACCCACATGCTAATTTAAAAGGAAGTACAGAGTAGAAAGAGGAACGTGAAAAGGACTTATACGTTGATAGGATTTCGTGACAGCTAGAGAACAGTTTATCGATTTCACTTACATCATAACTTTTAGTTGCTTAATGTAAATATCTCATATCTAATAGGACTGAACAAGATCACTATAATCTGACGGGAAAACACGTAAGTTTTGGAACTTTAAGTACCCAGAAAAGGAGACAGGTAAGAAATGGTGAGGGTATGGAATAGTACCTAAGTGTTACAATCTGAAATATTACTAACTTGGTTTAACTGAGACAAAATTGAAATGTCATACATAAATAACTGATATGTATACGTAATAAGATGCAAAAATAGTATCTTGCCATATAATTGTATCCCGGCGCGAGTTACTAGTCTTTAGCTCACCATATCAGGAAAAAAAGAGAATGGGAAGGTAAAATCACTTGCAAATGACTATAGGGGGTGAATGTGTCTACATCATAATGATACATTCAAAGTGATTTCCAACACAGTCTGAGAATACCCATTTCATGTGTCTGATGAATCCTTCTAAAAAAAAGAACGCGATGCGGTTAATATATCTCATAAACGAGCACCAGGTCTCAGTGCGGTCAAACTTCTTTTTCTTCAGCCTCATTACCTATGAGTGCGGACCGATTTAATCAGAAAAGTATCCACGTTACTCTCATAGAATTATTTTACATAACTAAAGGCCAATGACTTACCATAATACTTGAATGACAACTGTATCGAATCCATCGGCTTCGGAAATCATAACTCAGCTTTATTTTATACGTCAGCCTACGCACAATACAATCGTACTTTAGTACACCGTCAATAATCTCTACATAACAGTTGGTTTAGGTTGGTAAACCCTTATGATTCCTTAAATACCCCTGATGACACCTTTTTGGCACTGAAACCACTAACGTTGACTGGACTTATCAAGTAAGTGAACTGTTCAGAACAGTTAACCAATTAACTTCACACAGTCAAATGAAGTATCCGTTTAGATCAGTCATAAATTAATAGTATGAAATGCGGAAATGATAAGTTCATCCAAAACATTCAGAAATTCTCACTCAAGGTGTGTAGATTTCTTCGAATGTAACTAATGCCTTCATATAACAGAAACATCTTAACTTTATCTTCCAAGGAAGTTGACGTTTTTTCAGTTGAGATAGCAATTCTTGTCAAGCCAGAAGAATGTCTGACACCAGATGATGAGAATATATATGCAGGCAAACTTGTCCTACTTACGTTCGCAACTGTCAGCAATTATCAGCGTGACATATGAGTACTTTTTAAGAAATATCATGTCCTTTAGGAAATTCAAACGTTTTTAAAGTCAGAGGCTGAGTCACTGAGCTATTCAAGCCACAAGTGGTACAGTTTAAAAGTTGGTTGTGTACATAAACTGACAGTTTGCAATGAGGCAACCGACCTATGCGACATGACATTATTGTATGTTGTACTTGATGCCTGATCAGATAGGCCTATCAGCACGTTTATATCTTGATAAATTTTAGCGAAACTGAGACTAAGAATACCTGAGAATATTTCTGACATAACGGTCACTGAGTAATTATTTGCGAGCAGTAATATGACCACGAAAGTTAGTGATAATTTTTTTTATAACCCCTTCGAATATTCTATAAAACCATATAATCAATGAGATTAGTAGCATCACTACTACTCATTCTGATGACAGTAGTAATTAACGTAGAGTGGTTATTCTTGAAAATCATAAGTTTCATCGATGAGAATAAGCACAAACACACATTGGGTGTAATAGCTATCTAGGTGAGATAACACTTTTCTCCATAATTCATTGTTGTATCAAATAACAGTGTTTATTCATTCCTAAATAATGAAACAAAATAACTTGGAGAACTACATTCAGTAATTTATAACTATCATTTTCATCGAAACTGACAGCCACTGACAGATTTATGTCATTCAATGAATTCATAAGATTACCTTCAGCTTACATGATGTTCGCCTAATAAAAAAAGTCATGAGAATTTTCTTAGCAATGAAAATACCTACCATTTTTGTCAAGATTCTGAAGCGTATACTGCAGGTTCCCAGTGAAATGATGAGACTGAAAAATAATGGTAAATAAATTGATGACTTCTAAAAAACGTAATAAATAAATTTAATACAATTTCACGCCATAGATTACAGTTACCTAAAGCCGATCGAACAGGAGCAGTCGAGCACTACTGGGATATGAGCCCTTGTGCAGATCCCTGGATATTACCGATAATTTCAGCTTAACACTAATGATGAGTTGTTGCTGACAGCTGGAGAACCCCAACTGGGATGAGATGTGCATCTTAAATTCCATCACCAACTGCTATCAACAGTGTAAATATATTTTTTCCCCAATATTCTACAATATACACACCATGATGCAAATAGGGATAATGAAGAAATGATAGAAATTGATATATATCGTGTACAACACATGCAAGGAGGTTGAGGCAGAATAGATATAGATCTGAATAGGTTGGAGAATCCATTCAAATTCGTGGTGAAAGTTGAACACACGAAAGATAAATTACTTCACTATGAAGCAAAACTAATATTAATCACAGGAAAGCCTCAAATCCTAGATGTTAGACGAACATTAACAATGATATTAATAAGGGCAAAGTGTTCACATAGTAAACAACTTAGGGTGAAAAATCAAGCAAAGTACTACAGAATAGATGTAATAATTCAGAAAAAATAAATGAATGACCCGAAGGCCAGATAAGCAAGGCTATAATACAGTAGAAATGCAACCAGGTGACCGATTCTGTGGACCGCTGAAAACTTAGGAGCACTAGATATCTGCTTCGTCCTAGCATGTCGTCAATCATCAGGAAAAATGGGAGATACTCACCAACATCCTCGAGGAAACCTGCGTGGAAGAACATTGGAACTCTATGAAGGAGACGTGGAAAGAAACCAGCGTAACCATGTTAGGAAGGAAGAAGAAGCAAGACAGGACGAATTCCTAGGAGGCAAATTCATACTGTATAAGGTCTTGATACTGTGAAACTTGATTTCCAGTCTCCGTCAATTTTTATCACTATAGAGACTTCCAAAATTATCCTTATTTCATGAAAATATACTTTATACCGCGTCTTAGTTTGCATTTTTAGGTTTCATATCTTTATGTATTATGTATTAAAGTATGTAGCGTAATGTACGTAGAGCAATCACTTGGATTTAATAAACCGTGTGTAATAAGTTATCTTCACATAGTGGATGTAAAGTTAAATGTGAATTATGATTGTTACACAGGAAATTTAGAGGCACCTACACAGAAGCCCATATTACCAATACAGACCGATCTATTCAGTCCAACCAACGATGGTACAATACAAGTAACAACTTTAAAACTATTCTCGTTGCACAAGAAGTGGCTGTTGTAGCTCGGTAGCCTAATGGATAACGTCCTGGTGTTTGAAGCCATCGATCCTGAATTTGAGTCTTAGTGAGAGCAACATCGCTTAACGGGAAACAAGTATATCCGGTTGATGAGTCCCAAACAGCACGAGACGTACGTCCTCGATTCTATTATCTATCATTAACATTAAGGAGGAACTATTTAAGAAATTTACCCAAAAATGTTTAAGAATAGTATAAAAGAAGTATTTTAAGATAATTTTGAAAAGAAAAGAAAATATCAACAAAAACTCCAGCCTACTGTTTCTCCCAATTTTAGCCGGGACAAATGATGATACAAATTCCTGACATGCATCTGTTTTATCACACTTTTTATGATAAATGAATATCTACTGTTGAAAGAATAGACAAGAGGTGTCAAAATTCCCTACTAATGTGGGCCTTTCTCAGTAGATACGTTTATTTCAAGTTGTTATTCATCGGAGACTGACATCAGTTGGAGGAACAAAGGAAACCTGGGAGCACTGGACAGCTGTTTCGTCCTAGTATGGGACTCCTCAGCAGTGCGCACCCACGACCCCACCAGCAGGGATCGAACCCGCGACCTTCAGGTTCCGTGGCCAGCGCGTTACCATTGAGCCACTGAGTCACAATCCAATGCTCCATATTTCCAACTTCTGTTAGCTCACGATATAGCGCAAACCGCCACCCAATGTCATCGTTGAGTAACTGTCCTCACGGCCATCAGGCTTTGACTCCACCGGTCACGACTTGTCATTGGAACTTCGGGAATACTTATACTCATACTTATACTACTGAAGGTCATGGGTTCGATCCCTGCTGGTGGGGTCGTGGGTGCGCACTGCTGAGGAGTCCCATACTAGGACGAAACGACTGTCCAGTGCTCCCAGGTTTCCTTTGTTCCTCCAACTGATGTCAGTCTTTGGTGAATAACAACTTGAAATATTTCCAAATCTCCACAACCCCCTCAAAGATACGTTTATCTCAAAGTTGTAGGCTGATATAGTGAAATATTTTAGTATCATATACAGTGAGTTTATACAATTAACATACATCACACCTGTTTTAGATAGATATATATATATATATATATATATATATATATATATATATAACAGGTTATTTCAGTGGTTCGTAGCATTTTGACCTAAATTTAAAGAAAATAAGCCTAGGATTTAAGTAAACGTGTAACAGAAAAATGAGATAAAACTGTCAAATTTCACTCCTTCTGATTTAGAGAACATATATGTAGTTCAACGACATTGATTACTCTGAAAAACCATAAACAAATCACAAACTTTTCGTCATGACAAGCACTAATGAATAACATCCGATACCCGTTACAAAGGATGTGACTCTTGTAATGTTTTGACATTTGAAACAATGGGTACTGATTTTGAGTCTATGAAGGGAGCAACATCACTCACTCACCTGCATTGAAGTACATTAATCTGACAAGACTTAAACAGGAAGAAATCCACGTCTTGCAATACACTGTTAATCACCAAGCAGACTACAACATAATGAATATTCAGGTAACATCAAGACATTCTTTCTTCTGACAAAGGTCAAGGAATTCAACTTAGTATGTCAGCAGGAAATGACAAATATCAATGTACAACAACACAGAATGTATTATCTTTTGCTGTTAAACATTTCCGGTAACAAGTTGAGGAATAATGATACTGCTAAGTATGATGTCCTATGAAGCATAAACACTCAATGTCATCGTACACCTTAGACTAACTCTGTAGTCTAAATTTTAAATAACTTTACTATTTAAATCCTTTGGAATTCTTATGCAACTAATAAATATATTAAAAAAACCATTGATGAAAAACTCACTTGAGGTATTTCAGTTTTCAGTAAGTTGCACTTTTGAATCTCATTTAAACACTTTATCAAAATATCCAACTTTCCAAATTCAAGGTTCTTTATGTTTAAAAAAAAATAATTTCATTTATAAGTAGTCATTTATGTATCAGATTGTATAATTCATTTTAAGTATTCACCTGTCTAAATAAGACAATATATTCTGCCAGCAAGACGGTAGTATTATCAACCTAATGTAATGTGGTATAAAACAGAGTATAGAATGACAGTCACCTCTCTACCTCAACTTCATCGATCTTGAAAAAGCCGGCTTTCGACAGCGTCGACCAATAAGTAATTCGAGAGTTGCTTTAACACTACGGAGTGCTACAAGTCTTCATCAACCTCACTCAACAGCTATATGCTATATGGCGACTCCACATACCAAGTGATCCACAATAGAAAGCTCACTGACGCCTTTGAAGCGAAGTGAAGACAGGTTGCATACTATCGCTGATCATCTTCCTGATTGTGGTCGACTGGACTGGACTGGACTGGATCATGTAGTAAACCATGAGGAGCGAGAAGATGAGCATATGCAGGCTGGACAGACGGGAAGAACCAAGGAGAAGATTTGGATTTCGCCGATGATGATTTATGTGTAGTATCTTGCGGCACAGGCTCGAAGATCTACAAGCAAAAACTAACAAGTTTACAGAAGAGGCAGGGCAGCGAAAATGGACTTCAAGTGAATGTAGAGAAGATAGGGGTGATGAAGATGCCCAACCAACAACAAGCACCAATCCCGATGAAAGAGAAAAACCTAAAGAAAGTTGTCTCTTTTACCTACCCACATTAGCAGCATCGTTTCAACTACAGGCGGCACAGGCACAGATAAGGATGTCAAAGCAACCAGGATCTGAAAAGCAAGACGGGCTTTCATCAATCTGAAAATATGGTGGAGATCTACTGCACTCTACATAAAGCATGAACAACATCCGGATTTTCAACACCACGTCAGTCAAGTCAGTGCTGCTATATGGTTCAGAAACTTGGTGTGTCACGAAAAGCGTTTTCAATAAACTACAGACATTCATCAACAGCTGCCGCCTACGCTCGATACTGAAGATCATAAGACCAGAATAATAAGAATAAGCAACAAGGAACTCTGACAACGAACAAACCCAACAGATATGCGGAAGAAAGTGGATGTGGATTGAACAGACACTGAGAAGGCCGATTGGGGATATCACGTGCCAGGCCCTCGAGTGGAATACAAAGGATACACGATGAGCTGGACGTACTGGGGTGAAATGGAGGAGGTGATGTGAGGAAGAAATGAATAGTTGTGCGCAGTCGTAGAGCGAGGTTCAAAAGACTTCAGAGGACAGAGTGGAATGAAGGTGTGCTACTAAAGCCTTATGTTTCACTAGGAACCCAAGGGAAAAAAATAACAGTAATGTTATATGGTATCTTTGAATTCACTGAGACATTTTGAACATACAGATATTATCTAATAAAACGTTTTACTTTTAATACTGGATAATAATTTATTGTCTGTTGAAAATCCTTGAAGAACAATGAGAAGGCTCTTCACTAATTTTAATAATTTATCATTTAAATTCTAAAGTGTTACTCATCATGGACTGACCTCAGTTGGAGAACCAGTGAAAGTATGAGGGCATTAGACAGTTGTTTCGTTTTAATATGAGACTCCTCAGTAATACTCACCCTTGACACTTAATGCTATATGATATGAATTGTCCAAAAAGCAGAAATCAAGATTTTTATTCATGGATCGTATTGCCGAAATGTCACAATGATCTAATTCCACAGTTTGGTGTGTTGATAAGGCAGACAAAATTAAAAAAGCGTGATTCTTTTAACAGCATATTTCTATAACAACGAAAATTACATGTATATATTTTTCCAACAAAATCTAATATTTTCATGGCTCACTAAAGTATGGTTGTAATGAGCAGAAGCAATAGATATCTCAGGTATTAGTTGGATAGATGCAGCCTACTGGAGGTCTTGGACCTACGTTTCTTGCTTGTTGTCACTCGACAGAACTGATATCGAGCCCGAGATTTGAGCCTATTCCACTCAGTGCCGCAGTTTGAGATGTTATCACTGAGGTATTTGAGAAGTGACTGACCTCTTGCAAGACTGGTCAGGTACATAGATTAGTCACTGAAGGGTAACCAACTTAGAACTATACAGTCTTGAATGATGATCAAATTCTGTTGATCAAGTTTTTCCATATGTTTACGATCTCTAGATAACATCCTATTACTTTTATTTTTTCATGCATTCATTCCTCTTACCGCCAAATTATGTTGTTTTATTCTTCAACAATTTCAATATTTCAATGGTGACGTAACAAACTGATTACAGAGAACAAATTCCGCCTATATATTTTTCCTAAGAGCTGTACAAATGGATCCAAATATAATAGTGAAGAATATTTTCAAAATTATAATTCTTAGCAGGTTTTTTTGAGGAAAAAAAGTAAGAAAAACAAAAATACTTTCTTTACATTTCCGCTTTAATATTTTCAACTTTTTATTACGTAAACGTTTAGTTTAGATATTGCCTTCTTATTCTAAATAATATTCTACTGACAACTTTAGAAACATTCTGTAACGTATTCTTCGCCTGCTTAATTTACAACAGTAAACAGTTCATAATGTCAAATATTTTATTTTATTTTGAATGCAAAAGTTAGGTTTATAAAGGTGGATGACAATCTTTTCTGGTATGTGATGTAAACAAATGAGTAATCCATGTAATATGTCAATTGAAGCTCAGTAAATAGTCTTAGATACTTTTCTAGTATCCACTTGATGTCCACTGTCAACTAGGTGTGTTAGAATAGAGAACATTATTGTTCTAATCTGTCCCCTAGTAAGTCATGATAGGTATTGCTCAGAAATTGGACAACGGATCCGCTTCATCATACCCCCATATTACTAGCTCAATCCAAACAGTTGGAATCCCAGATGAATATTAAAGTAGCAGAATCAGGCTGACGTTACATGGATAACATCTTTGTATTTTCCAAAAATGACACTGATTTTGATAAGGATACTGCTCTTAAGCAGTTTAGTAGTGTTCATCTAGCAATCAAGTTCACAGTGAAACTGCCAAATGATAATACTCCATTTCCAGATTTTCCTCTAGTAATAAGATTGAATGGAAAGCTTAAAACAAGTATACATAGAAAACATACATCGATGGGTCAATGTATGCACTTCTCTAGCACTTTATCTCGTCAACACCACAAAAACCTGACGAAAAGTTTAGCATATCATGCAACAGTTATTTACTCTGACGGTGCTGTAGAGGAGGAGTTCACTACTGGTAGTGATATTCTTAGCAGGAATGGATATCTAGCCAATTTGGTAACTAAGTATACGAGAGTTACGAAGACTATTACAAGAATGCTAACAGTTCGTGGGCACTTTTTCAACTGAGATTTTTTCCTCAAGTTTCACAATGTTAACTAAACACTATGAATAAACATTCTATCATCTAAAAATAACTCGAATACTCTGGTTAGTAATTTTCAAACTACAAAGGATTAAAAATGAAGTTAAAAATTGGGCAGAATATGAATAGAAAAAGCGAAATTTCAGGTTGGCATTCATCGTAGACCGACATCAGCTAAAGAATCACTGGAAACCTAGGAGCACTGGACAACTGTTTCACTTTAGTGTGATACTTCTCATTAGTGCGCACCCATGACCCTACTAGGAATCGAATCTTCTAGTTTTGTGGCCATCACCAACACTGCTGAGCCAGTGGGTCGGAAACCGATGGTTCACATAGATGCGCACTGCTGACGAGTTCTCTGCCAAGATGAAACAGCTGTCAGAGCTACCAGGTTCCCAGTGATTCTTTAAATTACGTCAGTCCATGAGAAATACCAACCAAAATCAATGAATAAATCCCCCTAAACTTACAAATTTAAAATAACATTTATCGTTTTTATTCTTATCCCAAGTCAGTGTAAAATTGTGCTGTTAATGATTATTTTTTTTGATTAATGAATCGAATAGAAAAATACCATACAACTGGTATTGCTTTGAAAGTGACCCAAATTTTTGGACTTTTCGCTAACCTGTTTTGGTAAGATTAACCAACTGTTAACACTTTCTATGAATGGCTTGATGATCTTGATCTAGTGTGAAAGTACCACTTTTTAACTTTTTTTAACACGTTTTGGCAAAATAAAGGTCAGTATAAAGTGATAACTACACCGATAAAACAAAGGCGAACATATTCTAAGCTGAGCAAAAATTCAGAAAGTAAATCATTCTTAGTAATAAGACTAACTAGCCAGTAAACATGTTATATACTCACTTGCATATTCATGAATGAAAACAAACATCCTATACGAGCGCATTTCAGAAGATCGAATTTCAACACCTTTTCAAATACTTCAAAAGTGATAGCATTAGGAATGCATGAAAACTCTACAAGACGTCGACCAAGTATAAAAGCTAGTTGACGAATTATTGTCTGTTTACCGTATCCGGTTGGTCCAACCAACAGTCCAAACTATAAGCAAGAAAATCAAGTTTATCATTAAACTACACTTTATATTGCTAAAATTGCTTTTGCTTATATTCATTTCATGTTGTTCCCACTGACATTCAATGGGGTTCAGGTATATCCAGGTGACAAGTCCCAAATAGGACGAAGCGCTCGTCCTGGATCCCTCTGCTAGTCACAATCAACCAAATTACCGTAATTAAAGTCTAGGCATTATCAAGCCATCCACGTAAGAGTCCACGTACCAACAGAGGTCGAACAACTCAATCCAATAAAACATCAGAGAATCACAACTATATCAACAAATAGTAATAGATACTACGCGTTGTAAAAGAAGGGGCTATCGTTCCTCCGTGGTATAGTGGATAACGCACTGGCGTCTGAAGCGATGGGTACGAGATTTAAGTCTCAGTGGGAATGTGGGTACATCCAACTGATGGTCCCAAATAGGACGAATCTACACTTTATGATGTTGAAAATCTTTATTTACCTCATATTCAATTCATTTAAAAATCTCTACACCTTTATGGTATACATAATTCACTAGTTTTATTGAACTATTTCTGAAACTTGACTAGCACAGTTTGACGAAGTCATATTCCGTTTCCGGTTTTCTATATTATGGATACAATAAGCAATACCTTCTATGTAGTAGAGGTGAGATATCAGAAAAATACAAGTGTAGCTTGATGTACTTTCACTCCTTAACTAAACAGAAAAGAAACATACTTCTCAAACAGACAGGTATATGAAGTAATTTTACCTCAATATAATAATAATAATGACAATGGCTTTATTCTGAAAGCTATTTCGGGAATACTCTAAAGAATTTTCACCATGTCATATAGCATCAGTTAAACAGAAATAGTGTACATGTATACATAACAAAATGAAATAAGTAGAAATTATACATAAAAGATATGAATATTCACTCCATCTACAACTTTCTTGAAAATCTATAGTTAACTCAGGTAGATAATCACATTAGCAATTAGATTCATAATATGTAAAAAGTAACACGCTCATCTTCAGTTAGTTTGCTTTCGTAAACAGAAATTGACTACTTAGTTGAACTAGATGAACTAAATACAACACTATAGAATTTTTATATTTTGTAGTACATGCATAAAGTTTTATGTACTTGCTCCTTGTCTTTCCAGATGTGGCTTTGTTCACCTTATCGTCGATATTTCGTCAGACTACACTTTGTTATAATAAATTTCAGAATTAGCTTTGAAGCAGTAGTCACTTTCGAATGGCGTACTTCTGAGAAAAATATATTCCCAAAGTTTATTTTTTACCTTTTTTGGAAATCGTCCACGATAAAATGATGATCTGCTGAAATCTAATGAAGTTTAACCAGACAATTATTGATGGTAAAAACAATCCTAGTTCCTCCCTTGAAATCCAATATTCTTGATATATGAAAATTAGAAAACTATTTCGACGCTGACTGATGACAGATCTCATGTTGTTGTATGATCATCCTTAGCTTTCTATCCACCTAACTGCACTCTAGCAGTACTCAAAATTATCGATAATATCTGGTCAGTGCATGAAGTTCAGTCGTTAGTAGACTTAATACACCAGTTGTAATAACTAGATTTTTCAGTAGACTTTACAATACGAGGGAAGAATCAAGGGTATTTATCACAAATGAACATGAAAGTTAGATACAACATTTCTCTGTTTTCATAAGTTTTATGGTATGAACACAGTAGTTAGATTATTAGAGAGTAGTCAGTAAAAATACAGAATTTGAAAGTCTACTGCGTCCTTCCAAACGCCTTACCTGTACTTAAGTAATATTGATGTTGGCTGACGGTTGAAGGTGAAATTAAAACCTACGTAGAAGCAGGGTTGGAAGCAGAAACCTTTTGGTTACTGACTCCGGTTTTCGTTTCCTCTTCAATCATCACGCAGTAGCAATAATCCAAATATACTAAATCATAACTATCTCATACAGCCTCAACGATAATTTAAATATTACCTTGTTACACCTTTTAGTCTTTCTAGCATTAGGATTGGTTGTGATTACATGATCAGTGCAATAAATGAGTAATGGTGAATTCATTAATGCACATATAGGGAGGGAGAAAATTAAGTGAAAACGAGAATCAATAGAGATGAGCCAAGTGACTGACATGATACTACTAATATTCCTTCAAGACCAATATAAACTCCTTCTGCAGACTTACCAAAAATATGTGGTTTATAAAAGGATGCATAAATTAAGGATAATTAATTCGGGAACTCAAAGTTCATCTACCAGTTCAACTGCTTTTACACAGCCAGTTACACAAGTCGTACTCAAAGGGTTCGATCCATGTGCGCTGCGGAACATGTATCACCTTGGTTTGAGAAATGAATGACAAAGTGTATCAGTAGTACAGTCCTTACGCATTTATTAGATGTTGGACATCAAGTTAAGGTAGAATACGCCTTTTCTGTGAAATATCGCATCAACTGCAATCCCGTCTGTGGGGACGACTACGCCTCTTATCCATTGAGAAAGACATTGGAATCATCCCAAATAAACCTGATCTAAGTCTTCAAAAGAAATAGATTCAACCCCTTTGCCTAACGTAGCCCATAAAAGCCTCAACACTTTCCTAAGAACTGTTCTACCGTAAATTTCACATTCTGAACTCCCTGCTTATTTCATTCTTCGACTTTGTCTCTCTCATTTTTTTAATGTTATCAGTTTTATGTCCTTGTTTACTCACACTACTAGCAGTAGGCACTTTCAATCGTTATATAACACTTCACATTTGTTATTTATTTATTGGATTTACATGATTTTTCATTCTACTTGAGTATAACTCATCGCTTATATGGCAGCATGCTAAATACCGGTAGTGTTTGGTCCTCAGTCAATAAGGCTATACACTTTCATAACCCAGAGAAATGTCTACAAGTGAATCATTATCTCTACATCATACTATGATTGCTTTGTTCATTTTGGTTTCATTGCGCAACTAACACATCATACTAATTACTATTCTACGTGATAAAAACGTACATCTATTTGATTCGATTCCCATTCACCCATAACATTGATTACTTCGATATAGAAATAATCTTTACAATATGCCTTACTTTGTCTATTGCATTTCAATTATCCTCATACATTTATAACTGTAGAGCCTGAAGATGAAGTTAGTGGTTAATATTATCTCGTTCTGAATAATCTATGGGAACCTTTGAGTTACTAAAATAGAATAGAAGGGAAATTCTCTATTCTAAAAAACTTATCAAAAAGTCATAAGACACTTCTTCTGTGACTTACCTCATGATTAGTCAAAGCAGAAGCCAGTTTAATTAACTCTTGTGATGTATTTAATGGAGGTACAAATGATGTGTTATTATTCAATAATAAGCTTTGATTATCCCATTTATAGAGATGAATTGTAGAAAATTGATTAATGCCTATCGCTGGTATGCCATCGTATTGAGTAAATTCCTTACTAATATCACAATGAGCTTCGTGATTACACTCTGAAGAGATAATCTGCGTTTTAATCAACTGAAGCCAGGTAAAATTATTCTGGTCTAAAATAGACTCCTTTTTTAGATCTGTAAGAGTGAAAAACAAGAAATAAATATCACTTTTATCATGAATAACCCTCAGAGAAGAGGAATTAATTTACCTGCATAAAACTAGCAAGTTGAAATTTTGCATGGCGAGTTAAATACCTTTTCCATTCCCAATATTTTAAAGAATGAAATATTTCTTTGGAAAGTAATGGTTATTTCACGGATAATAATCAACTTGGACACGTCATCTACATGATGCATATTTATATATACACGAAGTAAATACTAGTGAAGTGGTCTAGCGTAGGGACGAAACACCCAGGAACAAGACTCACTAGAGTAGGCTGATCCAATCAATCCCTATTTTCATAGATTCAAGAAGTTCGTATTCATTACGACCCAGTTTGGTGGGAATTTTTTCTTTCCCCTCTTTCTATGAATATACATGGACCAACAACTTCATTTTAATACGGAGCAACTAGATTGATGCCTACTTTTTAACAGATAGATTCTTAACAGTCAACAAGGTTTCCATAATTATACTAGCAAGAAAGCTCTACTTCGCTGATTTTGATGTTTAAAAATAATATTGAAACGTTTTCCAACTAGGACCTCAGCTCAAATTGCAAATCACTCCGACTGTCAACATCTTGAGCTATAAATATTCGTCTATATTCCCAATTATATTTTGTACACTAACTTCTGTTAAATATTCAAGAAGATTGTAACACAGTAAAAAAAAAACAGCAACAAAATTTGTTAATTCACAAAATTAATTCTTTGAAATCTAGAAATATATTGACAGTTATGGTTGTAAAATGTAAAATACAAAAATGCGCTTAAAGACTTGATTATAACTGCTTTTGATAGATAAACCTCTAGGACTTGATAATCAAATGAAAAATAAACCTTATATCTTGGAAAACGCAACAGTGTCTAAGACACACTAATATAAAAATCTAAAGTTCATCGGCTATTCAGTTAGTTAATATCTACAAGCTTTTTACTAAACGTAACTCGAAGAAGCCACCTTCTTGGATCCGTATATTTTGCTTCCACTATGTGTAGTTTATTTTATCCAAATGTTAAAGAAACATCCTCATTGTTGTTAGCATCTACGAGTGTGTATACATATAACTGCTCCTGTGGAGCGAAGTGCATAGCCGATGTCAGCAGAATCCTGTCAAAGTGAGCTCTCAAACATTTTGCAGGCAAAACTGTAGAAAGCAGAACCTAGACCAACTGACAGAGTTATTCTGGAGTACATTATTCTATAGTGTACAAAGTGGAGATATATCACTCAAATGATTCTCCGTTAAATCTTTTTTACAACAGAAGATCTAGCTGTTCATAGCAAAAATCCGTAACCACCAACTATTGTGTAGTAATCTCTCTGATCAGTCTCTCCTCAACTTTACAGTCTCAAATATATCTCCTTTTTATTGTATATAATATGCTTGTAACCAGGTATATATTTCCAAAAAGCATCCCTCAACTCTAATTTATTGCTTAATACCTGCTTACTTATATATTACGCAAACTTAACTCGTTAACTACCAAAGGTATATAACATTTTATCTACCTATTTACAGTGCAATGTATTCTGTTACTAAGTAATAATTAACTTGGATCCTAGCTGACATTTCCCATAATATTTTCAAGTAGGGTAGTTTTGATGAACCGTCAAAAAGAAAACACAATCATCTATTATTGCTCTAATGGAATAGAACTTACAAAACCACAAAATTAGTAAAAAATTAAAATTTTCAGCTCCTTAATACATTAAACTACGAAAATACATGGTTCATACATCCGCATCTGGTGAATAAACTCACTTTGTGTTAAATGAATAAATCCTAATATTGTTCCAGAAAGAATTTGATAAGTTAAATGTTCAATCCTTGAGAACAATTTTTGATTGCATCCATATGAAGAATTCAATAATGTACCTAAACTATCCATTTTTTGTTGAAAATATTCACTTTTGAGATATCAAAAGAGAAATGACACGTTCAATAGGATGTAATGATAAAATAATATGAATGGAATTAGCAGTTTATACTGATAACTTTATAACCAGGTGTTCTGAAGAATAATCATTTAAACGAAAGCATCCTTTCAACATTTCTTTTCAGGATTTACTGGTATGAGTGAATGAGTTACATTACATAGATATTTGCCAACCTAACAATTCATAGTGACAATGATACAATTATCTCAGACTAAATTCTAAAATTTCACCATAGTTTAAATGCTCACAAACTGAAAACTATTTATGGTATCGAAGCCATATAATCTGATTTGCGTGTTTCAATTTATGCAAATTAGTTCACTTTATAAACTTTGACGAAAAACAAAGAGGATATAATTTCTCTGAACCATGCGATGTACTAGGGCAACACATTTCCAGCAATCTGATCGATTAAACACTTATCTTTCATCACAAGGTAATAAAGTGATAAAGGATTACAGTATGCAAAAAGGTCGAGTAGGAAGACCAAACAAAAGTTCGAAATAACAATGATAATCAAAAGAGTAGTCCATTGAAATTTCTCTCAGAGTTAAACTCATCAAAAAAAGGTACAGTGTGACAATAAATTGTTTAAAGACACTACATTTTGGTTTCCCGAAAAGCAATCGTAATGAACTTTTCAAACTGATTGAACTGCACAGTTTGCAAATGACTGATATGATTAAAAGTATCACCAGATTACTCAAACACCGAACTAAAATTTGGATAGTTGAAAGCAATCGGCTTAATAAACAGAGTCAATCCAGATATCCATCTGATGAACATGGTGTCAGATGAGCGCAAAGATGACTTCCTAGTGTCTAGATCACACTAGTTTTCCCAGAAAACACTGAATGGTTTGAAGTTGTTAATATTGGTCAATAGTGTTCCACGTCTTATTATGGCATGGCTTGTTTAAAGACTGTAAGAATTAATGCTGAGATAACAGACATTGAATAAATGAAGTCGAAATTGGAGAATGTTCGAGTTAATGTTGATCGCAATTCAAAAACATACATAATAGACAGGCATCTGAGATACCAGACCATATGATTCTTAAGTAAGGATGTATATAGTTTACCGTTTATGGGAAGTGGATTTATTTCAAGGTAGTATTCATCACAGACTGACATCAGATACAGAACCACTGAAAACAGCGGCGCATTGGACATCTGATTCATTCTAGTATGAAACTCTCCAGCTGTAAGCTTTCGAAACCCCACCAGGAACTGAGCTCAGAACCTTTGCGTCTCACGCAAAGGTGTAAATCATTCACCCAGCCATTCAAAAAGAAGTGGGAAACTATAGACCATTGAACTTTAACTTAGTGACTGAATGGCTAAAACATTTACTGAGAGACTCAAAGGTCCTGAGTTCGATCCCTGACGTAATCTTGAGTGAGTACTGATTAGTAGTCTTATACTAGAACAAAAGAGCTGTCCAGTGCACCGGGTTTTCACTGGTTGCCCACCAGATATATATATATATATATATATATATATATATATATATATAGTTGTCTACAGAGAAGATGAAAGTTTCAGAGGATTGAGTGACAATGGATGCAATAAAAACCATGGAAAGGATAAGACAGCAGCATCAGTCAGATTAGTTCATTCCATAATTATTTTTCAGCGGAAGAAAAAGAAGGAATAAAGAGAACCAAGAATCAAATGGTCAACAAGACTCCTATTTGATGAATAAATATAACTTTGTGCTACACTACAAGTGAGTAAACAAAGAAGTTGAGAGTACTTCTTTCGAATATACAGGTTAAGCCCCTTCTTATATATTTCTACGGCTTCAATCGTGCATGTAGAAAGCGAACATTGTATCTTTTGTAAGATTATTTGATACTTGGTTTATTACCACTCTATTTTATTTTGATGTTTGCTCTGCATCAGATGTGACCAAAATGCACTGGTAAGCATTTCGGTAACATTTTTCCAACTGAAACTGGAATATGTTCGTGCACATATAACGCCAAATTACTGTCTTTTTACGGCCTATGTAACAAATTCCATAGAGATAGTTAAATAGATGTGTAATTCTAGTTAGGGTTCATGTAATCTACAATACAATGCAAACCTGTTTTTTCCTAGCTTGGCATTCCAAAAAGGGTTCTACTCGTAAATCCATCTTCCTAGGTTTAAGTATATAAATAACATAACCAAGCTACTTCATCTTCATAAAGGAATGTGACTTTCTGTAGCACACATTTGATTGGTCACTTTAAGAACATACTTAGTATATACTTTAATAAAGTGAAAATTTTCAAGTTAGACTTTGAAATATTTTTCTCCGGTTGGTCATAAACTACACCGAGCATTATTTTTGAATATCACATTACTGAATGACCTTCTCCAGTAGCAAACGAAAGCAAACTCGAAAAAGCTAAAGTTATGATCTACAACTTCAGCTGAAGAGTTAATAACTTCGGATCTCAAATCCAGGTTATTAGACCTAGGTTTGACATGTTACATGTTGAAAACTTACCTGAGGATCTTTTCAGAAATTCCTTATTTAAAAAGGATAGGTTTACGACATTCTTGTTATACGGGCTAACTCATGTTGCTATGATTTAGTATCAAATTGGTTGGATGATAGGCAGAAGTGAAATAAAACTGCTTACCTCTCCTGGAAGTATTGCCTAACCGATATTATGGTAGAATAATTAGACGATCTGTCTACAAAAAGCTTATTTGGACCGTCAAAGACATGCGAGCTCTAGGTGTCTTTTCATCAGGATTCAAGGAATAACGTATAGTTGGTCCTTGAAAGTAACCTCATAAGAACACAAGTAGTTAAAAATATCATACTGAATAAACCGACTTAATCAGTCCTGGTAACAAACGCCTATGCGCTCTAAGTGCGAAACCCACTTCTTTGAAACACATTCATAGAACATAGGAAAATATTGGCAAGCTAACCTAAGCTTCAGACATTAAAAATTTAAACCACCTTCATGTGTCAACAAACAATTTATCATTATAATAGATACAAGAAACTATATAAATAAAAGTCAGTAAGTGAAAATTACAATTAATAAACCAATTCTTGACCAGTACATTACTTTACAATTTTATAATTACACAGATGTCAGCACAATCACTTCCTTATATCCGCATCCAAGAATAATAAGCAAATTTTATTCCTTGGCATGTTATCTGAGGTTACTGATGTTCACCTACCTCCCTAAACGTTTTTATCCAACCTAGAATGTGCAGACAATATAATCTACTCAGTAAATGTACTGACAAAATGCACAGTCTCATAAATACATTAGGTTATAATTTGACGATGCCTGAAAAGTAAGTCTCATCTTTCGAACGTGAACTACTCGTCTGCAATAATATAGGAGTAAAACTTAGGCACCGTAGTAGATTGTAATTCCATTTTAGTTTGTTTATTAGATATGTTGCACAGTAGGATGAAATAGAGTGACAACGCTGAAAACTATATTAGTTGGAAGGGAGAGTTTGATAACCGAATCTTTGTTTATCAAATCAACACCAAATACATGTGCTAATAGAAATGATTCTACCTACGCCTATCCCAGATATATGAAAAATTCTACTAAGCTTGTCATCACAGAGGGGAGATAATGTGAGGAAAAAATGAAAGCTTGTGGGCAGTCGTGGAGTCAGGTTGAAAAAACTGTACAAAAGAGAGGGAAATGGCGACGTGCTAGTGAGGCTCTATGTTCCACTAGGAACCCAAAGCATAAATAATATTGATAATAATTGTCATCACAGAGAAGTAGAGAAAATTAGGAATACATAAACTGTCTCGAAGTTGTGGAGTTACCTGATATGAATATGGACAGTAAATAAATTGTGTCCAAAACGTTATCTAGTAAACGATAGTTTCACTGTGTGACATATCTAATAAACCGACTAAAATGGAATTAGGCCCTTGTAACCTATTCTTATCAACCTCGCCTGGTCAACTAGTTCACTAGTTACTAGCCGGTCCTAAGCCCGGATAAAGAGGGAGGGTTGGGCACAGGGCTACCAACCCTACCCCGGAAAACAGACCCAACCTCTAAACAAACTTCAAAGCACAAACAAAATACAAAACATAAAAACAAAATGATTCCTCGCTGGAATCGGAGAGGTGAAGTGACGCCAGTTGGTGAAAGCCTGCCTTCGGGAAGCCAATTGGCCGATGTGTCTCCTCTCTCTCAATGAAAGCAGAAATAAATGTGAGGACACGGAATGTTTTCACCATATTTGAACCTACCAAGGCTGCGCAGATTGCAAACGAGATGAAAAGGTTTCGCACTGAAGTGTTAGGAACTTGTGAAAGCAGATGGAATGGGAGTGGACTCTCCAAATTGTCAACTGGAGAGTCAATAATCTACTCCGGTCACCCAGACGCCAACCACGAGCACACTGAACTGTGGAGTGGCTATCATGATGTCCCCAACAGCATCGAAGGCTCTCATGAAATGGGAACTAATCTCCCCCCACAAGATCATGACACCCAGGTTCAACTCAAAAGGAAGGAAGGAAGGTCACATTCATAAAGTGCTACGCCATACACCCACAAATAATGCAGAGCAAGAGAAGAAGGAGGAATTCTACAGACAATTTCAATCAACACTGGACAAGACTCCGCCCCAGACAGAGACATCAAAACTCATTCTAATGGGTGACTGGCATGAATGCGAAACTGGGAAGAGACAAAACAGGAAGAGAACCAACCATGGGTCGAGAAGCGCTCGGTGAGGTGATGAACGAGAATGAAGAATTGTTTGCAGACTTCTGCACATTCAACGATTTGATAATTGGAGTCAGGCAGTGAGTACAAACACTTTTTAAGAATATTCACAAACCGACATGGATTTAATTTCACCAGACACCAGGGCACACTACACTAAAAATCAGGTTGCCTTCATCTCAATGGGAAGAAAGTGGAGACGCAGCCAGCCTACTTGACACAAGGTGAAGAAGAGGAGCAGATGTAGGTTCACACCACTCACTGCCTAGTGCAAGGAACTCAACTTCAGAATCAAGTTGAAAGCCTTCAAGGAAGCTGGTGATAGACCACAGTTCAAGTACAACACTCGGAAACTGAAGGATGAAACTGCAAAGGAAATCTTCACGGCAGCCATCAAGACAAAATGGTAGATATTGAGGAACATCCTTGAAGAAACCTGTGTGGAAGAACACTGGAAGTCTTTGAAAGAGATGTGGAAAGAAACCTGCACAACCGTATAAGGAAGGAAGAAGAAAGAAGATAAGGAATGGATCTCAATGGATGCATGGAAGCTGATAGAAGAGGGAGAGGAGGATGGTGAAGCTTAAGATAAAGCACTGTAAGGATGCTCAATGACAAGAGGAACTGAGTACAATGTATAAAACACTACACTCGACAAAGAAGTGAAGAGTGTGCGGAAAGACAAAAGACACTTCTACAAAACACTGGCAAGTGAAGCAGAACAGGCTGCAGGTAGGCGAGAGAGACCTGACAACATTGTATCAAATAACCAGAGCTTCTGGGCTGTCATGGAGCCAGGTTCAAAAGATTTCAGAGAATAGAGTTCACTAGAGACGTGCTACTGAAGCCCTATAATCTATTAGGAACCCAAGGGACAAATAAAATAATAAAATAACTTGTCCTTATCAGGCCCATTATACCAAAACGTTCATTTTATCAATAACCAGTATAAGCTTCTAATGCTTTTGTAATAATAATAATAATATTCACTTCATTCCAAACAACATGTATGTTACAGTATAGAATATTTCAACAAACTTGTTTTCCGCATAAGATTTTTAAAAGAAGTAATGATGTCTGCATAGTCTGTTAATAATAACAGTATTGAAGGCGTAAGTATGAAACGTGTGTTATGCTAGAATCTGTTCTCGATTCGGAAATTAACACAAAATTGAGTTTAATTCTGATGATGGCAGTTTAGTCAGCCAACACAGAAGTTCACAATCTCATACAGGTATCCTAGAAATAGTAATGTGGTATAATTTTTAGCATTTACAAATTTATTTCAAATCGGGTGAAACGTTTTTCCTTTGTTCTGTTCTTAGCTTGAGAAACGAAAGTTCGAAAACATTTTAAAAACACGCGAGAGTACACGAGATTTTCAGAAGATATTTAAAAATTAAAACAAAACTGAAAGAGAAGAATTTAATGGAACATAAACGGTAAAAAGGTTTTTGGTAATCCAAAAATTAAGCAGCCCGCTTATATCATAAGGAAGGAAAGAGGGATAAAACTACATAGGGTTGTCGAAAAAAGATACAACTCCTTCACAACACTTTTATTCCTACCTTTCTTGATAGCATAACGAACGTTACTTGGTTCTTTTAAATTGCATTCGTTGGATATGTTGAATATGTCATCAATAGGAAACTCTTAAATAATTCCAGTAGGCATTTGTATTCCTACTAGGAGTGGGACCTTGATTTTGATTTTTCAAACGTAATAGCGTTATGCGATATGCAACACTTTGTTTGTCTCAGTGAAATGAATCGATCTGTTCCTACCACAACATTGCGTTATATAATCCTATGCCTCAGTCGTGCTATCAGTTTCGTTGTCTACTAATGGTTAGTGGTGAAGTTTAAATGCCCATTTTGAACTACTTAAAACCCTTCAACTGAATATAACTAATAAGTGATGTAATTGAGTTCCTACAATGAAAGACATTAGGTATCTGGAAGCCGCTGAAGGTTCGGTCCAAGTTCTAGCTGAAAAATAAATCCTCTAGGGGATAAAGACATACATATGTATGAAAAGGCCAAAGTAACAAGAAGCTCATATTCTTAGTCTCACTACTAGCGACCAAATAACGAAATACATCTGTACCCAAATAGTGCATATGTCATAAGAAGTCCATCAACTCTTTATGTGAAGTTAGTAGTGTAAAATAAGAAATTCTAAGGTGCAGTTCAAATTGTTTTAATAAAAACAACTTTAAAAAGACAGATTTTTAGAACTCTTCATAAGAACAAATAGTAATGGAAACTCTGTTAGAATTATGCAGTACACGGACAAGTGAAAAAAAAACATTTGAATAGAACACAGTAATGAATGCTTTTATTTGTTATAATGGCTTACCTAACACTGTCTAATTCATTGGTTCCGCTTTCTTGTGTTACAACCTCCTCTAATCTTCTCCAGCTTATAATTCGTTTGGCTAATTCTAATATGACTATAGGTACATTTTGTTTGATTCCGATTAAATCAGAAATGCAATGACCACTTTCATTCAGTTTTAATGTAGAATCAAGCGTCAGTCTTATCAATGTTAATTGTAAAATGGAATAAAACTGTGAAAACCACTGGCCAACAGATGGCATCCATTTGATTGACTCAAATAATCGGATATTTTGGTTAAATTCATTGATCACTTCAGTAATCTAGAAGTAAATTAGATGAACAATATATGAGGTGAAGTGATTAACAATGAATTAGGTAGTTATAGGCTTCAGAAAAATTCACTGTTAAAGCTAGTTCTCTTCAACACTCAGTAATAACTAAACTTCCAGGTAATAGAAAATTAAAGCGATTTGAAGAACATTCTAAACAACACTGAGTGCCTAATGAATATATTTTATCATCAAGTGATGACTAATAACCTATTGTATCTCATTTTTCTTATCTCCGTGTAAAACAAAACTGGTATGTAAAGTGATTCTCAAGTCTTTTTACACTCTCTTTACTGATCTTATCAGTGTACATACAGGCTAATTTAGGCTAATTCAGTTATTATAAATAAATAACTTGTGAAAGCTGTTCTCCTTTATCCCACTTATTTAAATGAAGTTAAGTACATAAAAAGAATCAGTAATAGGTCACACTTCTCAAAGATCAATCATAGTGAGAGATTTATGTAGTACTTACCTGGCAAAAAAGGTATTGAGTGTTTTGTTACCATATGCCTATCTTTATGATCCAAATTGACAGGCAGACAAAATCAACATAGAACCTCGCACACAAGCGCATTGACTTGGGTTGCCATACTTCGTTCACAATAGTATACACAGAACAAGTGGATGGAACAAGAGTTATATCTGAGGACAAACGTTAGCGTGGATATTCAACCAGTAGACAATGTCAAGAAGTGAATGCATATGCACCACTATGATCAACTTTCAGCAGTGTCACAAAGAGTCCTCGATCAGTCACTCCCGTCACCTCTGGGACCTCAGTTAGACAAATGACACTCACCTATATGGCTCAGACCAACGGTCAGGGAATTCATTGAGTAGCGCCACGTCTTGGTGTGGCTACAATGAGCCTTGTTCCAACCTAATCCATCTTCCCTTAGCATGGAGCGTTGAGGTAGGTGGTGGTTCAGCACATGCAGTGCATGTCCAAGCCACCTCAGTCGACTAAGGTTCACAACCTCATCAATCCGCTTTCCTGTCTTCCTTAGTACCCTCTGCATGACTCAACACTGATTCAATAGTGATTCCACCAAACGCAAACTATGCTAGGAAGACATCTGTTATCAGTACCCTAAAACTACATCACATCTACTTTTAATGGCCATTTATGACAGAAGTAGAAAAGGACTCGTTCTTTAGTCGACGGTCAGATATCTTGCCAGTCCGCGCCACAGGTTACGCGATTTGGAAAATGTCAAACAGGCCTTCTGTATCCAAACTGGGATTTCATCGGTTACAAGCTCGTGAGGGCTAATGCAGCGCCTCAAGTAAATGAAGTGATCTCCACCTATATATGTTCTGTTTTTTTTACCGTAATTCCGTCTGACTTCTAAAGATTTTCTTTCCTACAGTGTTCTTAAACACGGTCGTTCGAGCTGACACACTGTTGGTCAACATCTTAAGCTGTTACAAATGTTTATTTCCTAACCCTTGATAACTTTAATGGATGATACGGAGTTAAGGGCTTCCGTGCCTACTCATCACCACATAATGCTTGTGTAAGATATCAACCAGTTTGAGTAATCTTCAGGCCTTTCATGAAACTTTAGCACAACAGGGTAGTAGGAAGACGGTTTATTGGGTTTGACTAAAAAATCGTCAACGTTTCAATCATTTAAATGCAGGTTCAATGGAATAATAATAGTCAACTGCCAAAACAAATTATACGGTCTAAATAATCAACACTCACAGAGTTCAGCCAATAGTATTGGAATTGTAACTATCAGATTTATCGAGAAAAACTTGAAATTAGAACAGAATTAGGAACAAACACTCACAGCTCCGAAGGAGACTATTTATAAAAGTTGGTTTCAAAGGTGTTATGGTAGCAGAGATCCTGAAGAAATGACTGCCCAAATCGCTGAAATGACTCTCTGCCAGGCTACATATCAGCCTACTAAGTTAGCAAATGGTGCAGGTGTTAGGAAAATGCTATCACTTTGAGCCACTTCAGTATGTCTACTAATTTATTTGGTCCCGTGGAGCTAGTTAAATGGGCCACAAAAATCGCACAGTTCTCAAGCTTATCTCCGAGTAATGTCTTGCATGCTTGTCTGTTGAAAGGAGAATACAAGTCAAATAACGGTCCAATTCACGAACATTTGGTCAAATCTAGACATACAGCTCCACCGTAGTCCTCCTTCAGTCTCACTTACACAGTCAAAGAGAATAGTTAGAAGGGAGCATGCTTTCGAAACTTTTACATGACAGACTTACTGGTAATTCACCAACTCAAGTCTGATCTCTGCATGCATAAGAAATATGTTCAAACTCTTATACTACCATGCTCTTAAAATCTCAATTTATCCCATTCCTTTTTTCGATTGCAGAATTACTTGGGTTATTATTATCACTTTCACTATGACCCCTGTTTCTTTCCTGACTTTTTTACGTATACTAATTGGACATCCAAATAGAGCATTTCGCATCCACTAAAAATCTGCACCTCGTCAAACTTCTTGCCCCTCTTTGAATATAAACTGTCAGACAGGTTGGTACGCAGCTACTTTCCAGTCTTTATTTCAGCTTCGGCACTAGCTTAATGATGCAACTGTACCCTGCTGTCCAATAATGGACCGATATATGTTTGTAATATATATATATATATATAATATATATATATATATTATATATATATATATATATAATATATATATATATATATATATATATATATATATATATATATATATATATATACCTGCAGATCGGAAGAAAGGTTACCTTGTCAAACTTCCTAAGGCGAGAGACGTAAGTGTTTGTGGGAACTGGTGAGGAATCATGCTGCCGTCCATCTCAAGCAAAATATTAGGCAGCATCATCATGAGGAGACTAAGAGGTGCACTGCACTCAAAATTACGACCGGAACAGGCTGGCTGGCTGGCTGGCTGGCTGGTTGGTTGCCTGGCTGGTTGGCTGGCTGGCTGGTTTCAGGAAAAACAAATCATGTGTCGGTCAAATTGCAACGCTACTCATCATCATCATCATCACCATAGAACAGAGCATAGAATGACAGTCAACTCTCCACCTCAACTCCATTGATTCTGAGAAGGGCGGCGTGCGACAGCGTCGACCGATAAGTAATTTGGCAGGTAGCTGCTTCCACACTACGCTTTTTGTGCCACAAACCCTTATCAACCTCATTCAACCGCTATATGCTATGCTATATGATGCTACATGACAAGTGGTTCACAATGGAAAGCTTAGTGTTGCCTTTGAAGCGAAGTGAAGACAGGAAGGAGTAAGACAAGGCTGCCTGTCTACTACCACTGATCATCTTCCTGATTGTGGTCGACTGGACCATTGTGAGGAGTTGTGAGAGGATGGGCATACTCTGGCTTGACCGATGAAAAGACCCCACGAGAAGATCTGATTTTCCCTGATGATAACTTATATCTAATGTCTTGTGGCACAAACTCAAAGATCTGAAGGCAAAAGCCATCAAGTTGATAGGAGAGGAGATGTAGAGAAGATGGGATTTAGGTGAATGTGAAGAAGATGGAGGTGATGAAGATGCCCAACCAACAACAACAGCATCAACAACAAGCAACAATCACCATCAGTGGGAGAAATCTAAAGCAGGAAGTTGTCTCTTTCACCTACCCACCTACCTACCTGCCTAGGCAGCATCATTTCAACTAAAGGTGGTGGTGGCACAGGTGAGGATATCAAAGTAGTCAGGATCGGAATGACAGTAAGACAGACCCTCCTTTATTGATGTGAAATCAGTGTGGAGATCTACTGCACCTGACTCCACTCAGCATAAATCGTGAACAACATCCGGATTCTCAGCACCAATGTAAATTCAGTGTGTCTATTTGATGATTGAGAGAGTTGGTGAGTCACGAAAATGATTTCAAGAAACTACAGACATTCATCAACAGCTGACACCTATGCTCACTCGATACTGAAGATGAGTAGATGGCCAGAATAATAAGAATATGCAGCAGGGAACTGTTGGTGGCAGGCAACAAACCAACCAACAACCCATCACCCAACATATATGCAGAAGAAAGTGGAGATAGATTGGATTGGACACACACCGAGAAAGCCGACTGGGTTCATCGCACACAAGGCCAGACCGTTGAATGGAAACCAAATGGGAAACGATGAGTTGGGTGTCTGAGGTGAGGGTGACATGAAGGAGATGATGTGAGGAAAAAATGAAAGCTTGTGGGGAGTGCTGCAGCCAGGTAGAGAAGACTGCAGAGAACATAGGGAAATGGTGATGCGCTACTGAAGCCCTATGTTCCACTAGGAACCCAAGGGAAAAATAATAATAAATAATAAGCAAAACTGTATTTTGGCATATTGAGCATCGGCACTGAAAAAAGCGAAAGAAGTCAAGATAGAAGTCAGTGAAACCGAAGATATCAGCTGTGAATAACATATAAAATGATAATAGTGTAGTAACCGTCAATTCCGATAAAGGTAATTGAACATGAACAAGTGAGAGATTATCCCAAGAAATATGACAAATATCCAAATGGATAGATATGAAAGGAATAAAAAGCCAACAGACACTACAATCAGTAAGAATTATATTATTATTATTATCATTATTGTTATTATTATTATTAGTCCCTTGGGTTCTCAATGGAACATACGGCTTCACTAGCACGTCTCCATTTCACTCTCTTCTCTGAAATCTTTCCAACCTGGCTCCACGACAACCCACAACCTCTCATTACCTCCTCGCACGATCTCCTCCATGTCACCCTCGACACCGACGCCCAACTCGTCGCTTCCCATGGGGATTCCACTCCAGCAACTGGCCTGACGAGTGATGTCCCCAGTCAGCCTTCTCAGTGTATGCCCAATCCATCTCCACTTCCTTCCAATGCATATTTGTTGGGTGATAGGTTCTTGGCTGGTTCGTTCCCAGAGCTCCTTGTTGCTTATTTTGACTATTCTGGCCGTCTGATCTTCAGTAACAAGCCAGTGTAGGCAGTTGTTGATGAATGTCTGTAGTATATTGGAAATCCCTTTCGTAACGTGCCCGGTCTCTGAACCATGCAGAAGCACTGACTTGACGTTGGTGTTGAAAATCCGGATGTTGTTCCACATGCTGAGTGCAGTGTAGAAGATCTCCACACTGGTTTCAGGCTAATGAAAGCCTTTCTTATTGTATTTCCGATCCTGACTGGATTTGACATCCTCGTCTGTCCCGCCTGTGCTGCCTGTAGTTGAAACAGTTCTGCCTAGATAGGTGAAGGAGGTTACTTTCTTTAAGTTTCTCCCGTGCATAGTGATTGGAGTTTGTTGTTGTTGTTGGAGTTGTTGGTGTGGTATCTTCATCACTTCTGTCTTCTGTATATTCACTTGCAGTCCCGTCTTCCCTCGCCGCCTCATCTCTTCTGTCAACTTGTTAGTTTGCACCTGTAGATCTTCAAGTTTGTGTGACATCAGACACAAGTCATCGTTGGCGAAATCCAAGTCTACTAGGTTTTTTTCCCCGATCCAGCCAGAGTATCTCCTTCTTCTTGCTCCTCACAGTTGTCTGCTGCATGATCCAGTCGACCACTATCAGAAATATCATGGGGGATAGTAGGCAGCAGCCTTGTTTCACTCCTGTCTTCACTTCAAAAGCATCACTGAGATGAGCTTCCCATTGTGCTGTGAATTACTTGGCTGGCATGTGGCGTCTTCATATGGTTGTTGAGTGAGGCTGATAAAGGTTTGTGGTATTCCGTAGTATTGAAGCAGTTTCCAAATTACCTCTCGGTAGACGCTGTCAATGGCCTTCTCAAAGTCGATAAAGTTGAGGTCGAGAGTTGAGTTGACTGCCATTCTATACTCTGTTCTATAATGATGCTCAGTATAGCGTTGCAATTTGGTCTGCACATGATTTGTTCTTCCTGTAGCCAGCCAGCCAGCCAGCCTGTTACGGTCGTAGTTTTGAATCCAGTGCATCCTTTAGTCTCTCCAGGATGATGTGGCTTAATATTTTGCTTGCTCTGGGTGGATAGGAGAGTGATTCCATGCCAGTTCTTGCAAACACTGAGGTCTCCCTTCTTCGGCAGTTTGACAAGGTAACCCTTCTTCCAATCAACAGGCAAGTACCTTCTCTTCCTTCCACACCTTCTGCAATAGTGGTGTGGTGTGAGCATGTCTGCTGTTGTCTCTGCGTCTGTAAGATTTAGAAATCTACAACTAATGTGATACACCGAATTAAACAATCTTTAAATGAGTTTACATGATGTAATTCAATATTTAAAACCATTAGTCCCAGTAGATTTTATGGTACAATTAAGATTCATAAATAAAGTTATCTCACTAGACAAAAAACTGATTTCATAAATACTCTGATAAGTGAACTATCCAAGTGTTTAGCATCAATATTACATCCTGTTAGAAAGAGCCTAAATTCTGCGGCCAGTAACTTCCTACGAAACGAAACTACGCCTTGATTATCTTTTGCATCGAACATGCTAAATAAACGACTAACTCTGATACTGCGGGTGTCTATACCAAGATATTAAGCGATTTGGCACCAGCGGCAGTCAGAAATAAATGGAATGTAGTATCTAGGCCTTATTATGCAACTAAAGTGACTTCTAAACTAAGCTTTCTATGCCTAAAGTTGTGTCTAAACCTCACCATCTTCAAGTTGTGCGGCTAAACATATAGAAAAATGATGGATATAGAAAACGTAAAGCCACTATACCCTACTTAAGCAGATATATTCCTGGAGAGTTGACAGTATACACCATCTAGGAAGTTTAAACTTATTCTTAAAATATTATGAAGATATGCACACAACATATTAACCTTGTTGCAGTTTCAAGGTATCGATAGTTTCCTCACAAATAAATTTAGTAATTGGTGTGATCTGGTTCTTAATACGAAAATTCAAAAAAGAGATTAACGATGTAGGATAGAAGAATACGCAAAGAACAGATGGCAGTTTCGTCTACAGATAATCAGTACACTCCAGAAGGTCATCAAACTTACAATCAACACATTGAATATCATCAGCTGAAGCAGGAATCGTAAAATGTTTAGTTAGCAGTACTAGAAAACTCATCATTAAGTCAAAAGACTTAACTAAGGAATTGAATATATTCATGAAATAAGGTTAACTGGTTAGTTCATAAGCTGTTAAGATGACCGTTAACGTTACTCAAAAGGAATTAGTCAGATTCAGAATGGTAGACTTCAAATAGAGCAATAACTTAGAAAAAAGGGTAGCTATTCAAATAGATTTACACTGATGTACAGCCATATAGTTAGTTAAGTGGAAGAAGAGAAATAATTATTGAAATTTTGTTAATCAAATCAAAAAAATAAGACATATTGAAATGATGTATCATCTATCACGGAAATGTGAGAAATTTTATTACTACTGGAAACAAAGAAAATAAGCTAATTAAAACTGTTTGATTACTTCGATATGATTACGAGAAGTAGTTGGTGCTTGTAACATCATCCAGTAAGTAATAATATAGCATACTATGTCTTAAGTCAAATAAAAAGATGTAGTAAAGAATTATATTCTATCACAATAGCCAAATTCTATCCGTATATTAACGGAAAATAGATTCCACTCATCGTATACATCAATAACAAACAATTCTAGTTAGGACTATATTTAGAGGGAAATGCTTCAAGTAGGGAAAGTAAACTTGTATTATTGAACTGTTAAAGATCTATGACAAATGTAGCGCATATATTTCGAGTCATTCCTCTAGTTTTCTGCTCCTTTAACCAGGCCAGTAACCTTATGATAACTGACCTGTAGAGACATAGAAATCTCCAGTGAAGTGACATCGAATTATTTCTGTTTAACACTGACCAATCATTTATATCTATGGACTATGCTGTTGTAACTTCTTTTCAGTTATATTTCTGTCAAAGTTATGCTTGCATTTATAGCACTTTTATGAAATTTTAAAACTTGAAAATGTGATAGTAAGGAGCATTTTATTAAATTATTACCCTAGTCTAATACAGTTTCACAATTTTTGATTTATTATTTTATTATTAGTCCCTTGGGTTCCTAGTGGAACATAGGGCTTCAGTAGCACGCCTCCAGTGACCTCTGTTCTCTGAGATCTTTTGAACCTGGTTCCACGACAGCCCACAACCTCTCATTTCCTCCTCGCATGACCTCCTCCATGTCACCCTCGACACCGACGCCCAACTCGTCGCTTCCCATGGGGATTCCACTCGAGGGTCTGGCCTGACGCGTGATGTCCTCAGTCGGCCTTCTCAGTGCATGGCCAATCCATCTCCACTTCTTCCTGCATATTTGTTGCGTGATAGGTTCTTGGTTGGTTCGTTCCCAGAGTTCCTTGTTGCTTATTCTTTCTGGCCATCTGATCTTCAGCAGCGAGCGTAAGCAGTTGTTGATGAATGTCTGTAGTTTATTGGAAATGCCTTTCGTGACGCGCCAACTCTCTGAACCATACAAGAGCACTGACTTGACGTTGGTGTTGAAAATCCGTATCTTGTTCCGCATGCTGAGTGCAGAAGATCTCCACACTGGTTTCAGGCTAATGAACACCTGTCTTGCTTTTCCGATTCTGTCTTTGACGTCCTCGTCCGTCCCGCCTGTAGTTGAAACAGTGCTTCCTAGATAAGTGAAGGAGGTTACTTCCTTCAAGTTTCTCCCGTTGATGGTGATTGGAGTTTGTTGTTGTTGATGGTGGTGGTGCGGTATCTTCATCACTTCTGTCTTCTCTATATTCACTTGAAGTCCCGTCTTAGCTGCCTCTTCTATCAACTTGTTAGTTTTTGCCTGCAGATCTTCAAGTTACAATTTTTGATACAAATACCTTATCTACGATTATCAGTGTAAATAGTATCAAATTTACCGCCTAACTCAAAATATCTCAAGGTCTTCTCGGATATACTCAATTAGATTGAATATAAAATTTACAAAGTGAAAAAAATATCTAACCTTCCAACAATTTTCCTTCTTACACCATACCATATTGCAATTTATTAGAAATGGAAATAAACGTGATATCCATTTAATCAAGTCAATCAATCCACCATCAGGTAAATTATTAAAATGAAACTGATAAAGATTATTTTCATTATTGACAATATCTTTAATTGAACACTTGAATGGAGCTGCATAATCATGATATGGGATATACCAGTTGGCTAAAAGTTCCATTCTCTCAGTATTTGATAACAGACAAAATAATGGAAATACCTGAAATAGAAAAGTTAACTTGAGCAACTATACGTTTTAATGAGTTCTTACAAATATATTTTCATTTATTTGACAATCTAAAATTACGGTGGTTTGAAAAACTAATAATATTGATATTGGTTAGTGAGTGTAGGTGAAATGAAGATCTAGTTAGTGGCAGGATTCGAACCAGCAGGCTTCTCTATTTGATTTTTATTTAACTGAAGGTAATTTCCAGACAAATGCAACATCATGATCAAATTTTAAAAGTGGCGTTTTAATGAAATACCTCAGTCAAATCCATTAAATTCTAATCTTACATTATTCTGATCTTGATATAGCACACAGATTCAGTGCAAAGTAGGAATTAACGCGTCACAAATTAATATGTTAGTCAGGTGACCCTTAATGGCTAAAGTGAAATATAAATCTGGTCAGCAGCCAAGCCTCGTAGTTCAGTTGGTACAGCAGTGGGGCCTAAAGCCGGTGGTCTCCGGTTTGAATCCTGCCACGGTGTGAATTTTCATTTCACCTTCGATCATCACCCAATATTACTTCTATACTCAAAGCAATATATAAACTTTTTATTAATAAGCTAATGTGAATTAGTTAGTCCAGTCAAGAGTGATCATCTGTGTTATGGTGGGGACCTCACAGCTAATCGATCAGTTCAGTTGGAAATAATCAAAGCAATGAACTTTTACAGTCGTATTTAATGTTTTACTTCATAGGTTGGATATTTCCAATACTTGACTGAAATTATCTGGTTTTTTTCCCTCAACAGACTAATGTTGACTACTATGATAAATTTTTTTGAGAGAGATAATTAACTGGAAGAGAAGAGATTATGCTCACATCTATAAAACTGTATTCACCAGTTAAATAACTCAGTGATCAGTTTTTCAAAAACTGAACATTCATAAAAATGCAAAAAACTGAAAACAACGATAGTAATATCTGTTCCCATTGCCTATAGACTTTCAAATCAAACTTTATGTTTCTATTAAAGAACCATGAATTTAAGTACCTTGTTTGGTTAGTGGAAAGCAACCAATTTCATGTTGTCTAGTCCTGAGTGCTGATCGAATCCTGGTGACAATTTTTGCAATCCAGACAACAAATTACGGGCTCATTATTACAGTTCACTTTAATGAAAGTCAGTTGGTTGGAAGCAGTCAGCAAGAAGCCTTGGATTCAGATTTCATGCTTGCTGACACTCGTCAGCAAGGTTCATGTCTTCCTGATGATTACTCCCAACTAAATAAGCTTCATTAAAGTACACCGCCTCCTAGCCTGCTGGCCAAATTGCAAAAACGATCGATAGAACTCGGTCAGCACTCAGGACCAGACAACATGAATTTGATTTCTCCTCAGCTGTCAGCCAGTGTATCTTACCCAGTCCTACAGGTCAATTGCGGCAAATATAGCTCAATGGTAACATGTAGCACTACAACATTGGGTGACATGGCTTATAATATCAGAAGCGACATGAATTCTTTCGAGGTCATTGATACGCCTTGCTGACGAATGTTAACAATCATGAAACCTAGGTACTCTTGCCCATTCTTAAAATATCTCTAACTTATCACCAAACAAGTTAACAACAAAATTACAAAAAACACCATAGTAGATGACGGTGACCTCTTGAGTTCACAACTGTTCATCACCTAACTACTTACAAGGATAGTTAGCAAGAACTGAAATTTTTTAATCTGGCTGAATAACCCTCCACCAACAAACCTACGGATGCATTTCTATTCGTCCGCCCCCATGCAACAACATGCCTACACAGTAGACAATAGCCTAAAAACAACTGGTATTTGTGTTTTGCTGCTTACCATACTGTTACTATTAACATTTCTTAATTGAGATGGTTATTAAATTTGAAGATATTGTATAAGGAGTAAACCTGTTGAAATATCACAGTGAAAATTCTATATATTAGAAAATTATTGTTTGGAATAAAATGATTATTCTTATTCTCATTAGGTAAACTAGAGAATTACTTGATGTCTATCCTAAAGAAGAACAGCTACCCACAAAACTTTATCACAAGATGCACACCGTACATGAAGAATATATCACAAATCACGACAAGATTACTGAGACCACTTGGAATTGGTGTAGCTCATAAATCAACAAATTCCCTCCAAACCACATTATGCAGACCAAAGGATGCGCTAACCAAAGAAGACACACCTAACATCATTTACAAAACCAACTGTAATAACTGCAGTCAACACTATATTGGATAAAGTGGTCACCCTCTTCACCTTCGTCTACATGAACACCAACTGGCCATTAAACGTCACACACGACATCTCATCACTCATTTCAATGCACGTGGATAATTATGGACACGAATTTAATTTCGACAATGTTTAAATTTTAGACAGAGAGGGGAAACACAAAGAGTATCAGAGAGTTCCTAGAAGCTTGGTATTTAGGTCAGTCAGTCAGTAATCAATAGATCTATAGACATAGTCTCAATCTACCCAACCAAAAGAAAAATGATAAACGACAGGAAGGTCAGAGGTGAAGCAGAGGAACCGTCAACAGGAAAATCGATGTAGTCAGTCTATGACACAACAATTAAAATAGACAACCAATCACAAACCAGTTGATCAGGGCAGGCCACTGAATCACTCACGGAGAGATATTGACAGCTCACTTCAAATTGAAGTTAGTGCTGATGATGTGTAGAAAGACTATGAAAGCTTCATGATTGAGCAACCCAGCTGAGAGAACACAATACAACCAAGACCATCCACCTGAGCTACAAATATTCTCCACCATTCCAAACTAGAAGTAATCTTGTCTCGCTATACCATATAAGAAAACTTAAAATCACATTGTGAATAGTTCTAAGATCGATATTAGTAACGGATATAGGGCTTAACGAAATGTCATCCTTGCTACTCAGTTTCAATGAGATAAAAGCAAATATATGAGATTACCGTGAATAATTCAAAAGAAGATAATGCAGATTGCAAAGATGGAGTTAAACAATTCAGTAAATTAAAAAGGGCTTCGACTTGGTAGAACAGTTAGAATTCTACAAACTCTACAAATAAAGAATTTTTTGAAATCAGCGACAACCTTGATTGGTGGCCTTCAAATAGCCTAACTGAATAAAATATAATGTGCAGAAATCGTTATATCAAAAGAAACATTTCAACAGAACTGATTATTTCTGGAAATGTTGACAAGTTACAGAACTCAAGGTGTTGCTACTAAAAGTTTAGACGCAGTGGATCAACGTGTATTATTAGTAAAGCTTTAAAACTGATCTATTCACACTTAAGATTTCTTCAGTTAACACTCCAATGGTAACTTGCTGACCACGGAACTTGAAGATCCTGGGATTAACCCTAGGTTGGTGTCATGAGTGCGCACCGATGAGGAGTCCCACCCTAGGACGAAACAGCTCTCCAGTATTTTTAGGTTTTCAATGATCCTCCAACTAACGTCAGTCTGTGATGAATACCACCTTGTAACCAATAAAACCTTACTAACCTCCAAAATGAAGCTTGAAATTCTTTTTTGTCAATGCAATGAACTGAAGTGATCAGTTTTAATTGAAGTATATTGTATTTGCATAAATTTTAGGAAAACGTCCTTATTCTAGACCATTGTACTTTTAGTAACAAGGTGAATTAGATGATTGTATCTTTACCCGATTTCTACACAATTCTACTGAAAGTAAACACACTACTCATTGCTTCAAAGATTGTTCACTAGACTACTGAGTGGTATATTTTTCAATCATATCATAAAACTCATAAATTGCCTGGTTACGTTATTGTTGATGAGTTCCAAGCAGAATGTAGTACATGTTTTAGAGTCAAAGATTGAGTAAGGCTGCGGTAGGGAAGACAAACCAGTCATTAGTGTTTGTGATTCTGTACTGACTAAAGCGTTGAGGATAATTTCCACCTTCGGAAAACTGAAGTAAGCTGAAGAAATCACTCAGAATAAACTAAGTGTATTCATACTGAAGAAGAGCTGGACTGTACATTTCAAGACCAACGAAAGTTGTGCATGTATTCATTTTTTATACCTTTCAAAAGATATAAAATATCCTGATAACTTTCAGTCACCTCTTCTCTTTCCTAATATATACTTCTTCATTTAATTCCTCTTGTCATGATGTTGCTTAGTATGGCATCTTGAAACACACACGTACTATAGCTTTCTATGGGAAAATGAGAATTTTCTGTGTTCTGTATGCATATGTTCTGAAGCGGAAACTGAAATGATAAAAACGTTTGGCTGTTATTTGAAGTCCCTCAATTAACGCATTTTAATTTGTGAAGATGATTCTTCATTAATAACTATATTTACTTTCTATTTAAGACCAAGAAGTGTACACAAATATACGATGCGGAACATGATTTCATGACGGATGTAATTGTAAAAAACTATATGAATGGGTGAAATATGCACACAGAACCGGGAAAATACACATTTCCATATAGAATGCGATAAAATCTACCAAGCACGATCACACGTTACCTTCCAGCCTCACCTATAAAATTAGTCGAAATAGATAGAGATTTCAATGGGGATTGATAGTGTAGATTTATATTTTTTATATAGTTTGTTTTTCCCTTGGGTTCCTAGTGGAACATAGAACTTCAGTAGCACACCTCAATTGCACTCTCTTCTCTGTAGTCTTCTCAACCTCGAACAACCACTCCCCACAAACTTTTATTTCTTCCTCACATCATCTCCTTCATGTCACCCTCACCTCAGACACCCAACTCATCGTTTACCATTTGGTTTCCAGTCAACGGTCTGGCCTTGTGCGCGATGAACCCAGTCGGCTTTCTCAGTGTGTGTCCAATCCAATCCATCTCCACTTTCTTCTGCATATTTGCTGGGTGATGGGTTGTTGGTTGGTTTGTTGCCTGCCACCAACAGTTCTCTGTTGCATATTCTTATTATTCTGGCCATCTGCTCATCTTCAGTATCGAGTGAGCATAGGTGACAGCTGTTGATGAATGTCTGTAGTTTCTTGGAAATCATTTTCGTGACTCACCAACTCTCTCAGTCATCAAATAGAAACACTGAATTTACATTGGTGCTGAGAATCCGGATGTTGTTCACGCTATATGCTGAGTGGAGTCAGGTGCAGTAGATCTCCACACTGATTTCACATCAATAAAGGAGGGCCTGTCTTACTGTCATTCCGATCCTGACTGCCTTGACATCCTCACCTGTGCCACCACCACCTGTAGTTGAAACGATGTTGGCTAGGCAGGTAGGTAGGTAGGTAGGTAGGTAGGTAGGTGGGTAGGTGAAAGAGACAACTTCCTGCTTTAGATTTCTCCCACTGATGGTGATTGCTGCTTGTTATTGATGCTGTTGTTGTTGGTTGGGCATCTTCATCACCCCCATCTTCTTTACATTCACCTAAAGTCCCGTCTTCTCTACATCGCTACTCCTATCAACTTGATGGCTTTTGCCTTCAGATCTTTGAGTTTGTGCCACAAGACATTAGATATAAGTTATCATCAGGGAAAATCAGATCTTCTCGTGGGGTCTTTTCATCGGTCAAGCCAGAGTATGCCCACCCTCTCACAACTCCTCACAATGGTCCAGTCGACCACAATCAGGAAGATGATCAGTGGTAGTAGGCAGGCGGCCTTGTCTTCCTCCTTCCTGTCTTCACTTCGCTTCAAACGCAACACTAAGCTTTCCATTGTGAACCACTTGTCATGTAGCATCATATAGCATAGCATATAGCGGTTGAATGAGGTTGATAAGGGTTTGTGGCACAAAAAGCGTAGTGTGGAAGCAGCTACCTGCCAAATTACTTATCGGTCGACGCTGTCACACGCCGGCATTCTCAGAATCGATGGAGTTGAGGTAGAGAGTTAACTGGCATTCTACTCCGTAGTGTGGTGTAGATTAGTAAACAGTTTTACACTTTTAATTGGGAAACGTTCTCAAAAACACATATTGGATTCAATGGATTTCGAACAAAAAATATGTTTACAATATTAGGTGTTAACCATTAATTGTTTTTCTCATATTTGCCTGTAGGATAAAACTATCAACAGACTTACATCACACATATCATCAATCGACTGACTAAACATTTTTACACCTTCTTGTAGTTCTGACTTAATAGTTGACCATAAATTCCATTTAGGATTGATTAAACTAATAAATAACTGTAAATTTATACTTTTTCGTTGAAATTGTCGAACATCTTCACGTTCAGAGTAGACAATCGGCTGATTTACGACAATTTGATCACTTGATAAAAAATCATTTTCCAACTGAACAAACTTATTTGTTAAATGAATAAATTGACTTGAGGAAATTTCTTTATTTGGTTGTTTGAATGAATAAAACCGGTATAAATATAACCACTACGATAAAGTAAATTAAAAACAAAAATGTGCATTTAACATTGAACATTACTAATAAAAAAAGGATGGAATAAACAATAATTTGATTTTACATGAGCATCACTATGACTCCAACAGTTATACAAATTAAAGTAATATTATACTGATTGATAAGAATGAGAGAGACGCAATTACTGAAATAAGAAAATAATTGAAGGTGAAATGGAGATTTGAATCACCTTCAATCATCACCACGTTTCAAAATCACGGGTGTAACAAACGTATTTACTCCTTTTACATGTTAACAGACGATAAGAATTAAAGCAACCTCCATCGCGGTACATTTTTTAAAGAACTATACGGTTCATTATTTTGGTATTTCTCAATGAATATAAAACCAAATAAATCGTTTTTACTAATGTTTCGCTATTTAATGCTGATACCTCTATCAAAAATATAGTAAACCAAAATTTACAATATTGAAGCATATATATATGATTATTTGATAAAGGTTACTCTGGATGGATGATTCTACGTTGCCAAATTATTAAACAAAGCTGATATCTATATGTTGTGTATTATGTGGTGTATGAATTAGAGACTGATATTTGTATGTACACGTGTTTTGATAGTTCTTATCATATCCATGTTGGTTGTGTCTGTATGTGTATGCATTCCATCATTCCTATCTAGAAACTTTTGATTCCCCTTCATATGAAGAGATTCTGCTATGAAACTTTCCTTATAATTTCTAAGGTTTTCTAAATGATTTCGATACTGTCAAAGTCAACTTTATCATCTGAAATTATTGCTTATAGAGTGTTTGAAGTATTTTCAAGCTTTTTCAACATAACTGGATCATTAAGGGGGTAGAGTAGAATCATTCTGGTGTTCACTTTTTCTAATTTTGATTTCACTTGAAGTTTGTCTTATGAATATTGCATCATAGTTTGATTATTTTATTTTATAAACATAATTAGGTCGTGAATTCAGAGGAATTTCGTTCTTCACATAGACTGTAGTGTTCTGTCGAATACTCTGTTATTGCATTTGTTGAGAATCCTCCTAATCTTATCCTAGATATGTGATCTATTTGAAACGACTGTTGTTGAGTACATTGCTATCGAACTTAGTGGTATTTTCTTTTTCGTGGGTGAATTTCACTGGATAATTACTCATTTTAAGTATCTTGCTCACACATTTAACTCCTTAGATATTTCATTTTCATCCGTTGTTAGAGTTTGCAGAGGCCTAGAGGAAAGAGATATCTTCATACTGGTAGGATATGATAAACTGCAATGTGAATATTTGTTCGAATCTGCTACTTTTCTGAAAATGATGATACCTAAATGTCCATTCTCTTTTCGCTTAACAACAAAATAAAGGCAATGTATTTCACTACTATCCATTTCTTCTTCTTAGCTGAACTTGGCACTAGGTGGTTTAGAGTTGGGACGCTCTAAGAATACCTGATATCAGTTACATTTCAAAACAATGGGTGTTTCATCGACACATACCAGTCAAATTATCGATTTTATTGAGCATCCGAAGACAGTTTCTTCAAATTTACTCATAAAAGGGTTTGCTTTTATGGGTAAAATAAGTGAACCCGTAAGCACCCTATTATTTTGTTTACATAATTTTCCTTTAAATATGAAGTATTTAGTCCGTAAACAAAATTTTATTGACTTGGGGATATCACCGGTATTCAGTAGACATCTTTCTGTCAATATTGTGTCTAGGTTTAATGAACTGGAAATAATACCTAGGCTTTCATTATTTGAAATGCTAATATTTAATGAACTGATATCATAGCTTGCCATAATTTCATCTTTCTCAATTTAAAATGAAAGAACTTTGAGCTTAAAGTCAAATGAGTCACTTATTGTGCATCCTAAGTATTTTATAGAGCTTTAAGTAGTGAAGTCAGATATTCAAATAGGTTGTACGTTAGTGTGTTGATAAAGCCCGTGATCAGTTTCAGTCGAATGTGGAGTTTATGAATTTTAAATAAACCGCAAAAATCTTGAGAGTGTAAGACTTATATTTGGGTCTGGACCAAATTGAGCTACCGATTTTAGGTTTTAGTTCTTGAAATAGTCTGTTAGTGTCCAGGTTTATTTTATTTAGTTTGATGGATCTAACCTTGTCACCAGTTAAAGAATGTAGTCTTTTGAACAAATGTTCACTTGCTTTTCCTTCACAATCTATTCTGTTCCTAATGACTGCTATATTCCCTTTGTCTCCTTTTGTTTTTATACTGTCCTCATCTTTCCTGAAACTTTCATATCCAGAAATTCCAGTTTGTTGCTGTCAGAGGGTTTATTTCTTTAGGTTGAGAGGATATGTGAAGCTTAGTGAGGCAAAATGTGTGCTTCATCATTAGGTAGTGATTTTATAGCTGGATTGATTACTGGTTCATCAACTGGCAGACATGGACATCATTTTATCCAACAATTTAACAAGGTGGAATTATGCGTTTTAGAAGAAAGAATATCAAGCAGTCATATATCTGTATAAATCCCTATTTAAAGAGTTTGTAGCTTTCTTCAATGAGTTTGCTAGTATATGCTAAAAAATTACTAACAACAGTTTCATTCAATCAAATAAACTTATAACAGTGAATAAAGGAAGATAAATTCTAAATAGCACATGGTCAATCTACTGATAAGACTTTCTAAGTTCACCGACAGACAAATGAACGTCTGGATCAGTTAGTTAGTCAATATCAACATGAGAACTAGTATTACTGCATAAAGGTACAAGATTCCAAACTTTATTTCAGTACATAAAGATACAAAGTGCTGATACGTAGGAAAAGAAAATAGGAAGGAAATGTAACCAGGACTCATACAAAGTAGGAAGAAGATAACAGAAAGTGAAGGAGGTGGCAAGGTTCTATATGACGGTTAGAATGGACATAAGGCAACGTAACAAATTAACTCACGTCTTTGCCTTTTGACAAATCTATGACGTATTGATTAACCCTAAAAGGGGACGGTCTTCATATCCGCGTAGCCTTCTTATTTTCTTCATCTTTAATAAACATGTCTCACAGCTGTAAAAGTTTTCAGCGATATGCTACATAGTACATTCAAGCCTTAGTAGACAATCAGATATCTCAATGGTATCGTAAATGGCGTAATTTGACAAAAGACAATCAAGCCCTTCGTAAGCGTGCCAATATTTTGTCAATCCCTAACCACCACAACTGATTTGGTTCTCCAAGTCAATGAAGTAATTAATCCATGCAACCACTTCTCTCTCTCATTGCCAAACAACTTGTTGAAGTATACCAGTTCTGAAGTATGTAGGCAGACCAAACGATGTAAGCTGAAAAACTTGAATTGAAGCAATATTGAAACCAGGTACCTATAAGTTACTGACTCCTATAAAACTTTTTACGTCTAAATTAAAATTAAAAACTAATTGGTGGTTGTATCATTTAACACAGTTAGAGAGATGCCATACACGTGACTCAGTGATAATTCTTTAAAATTTTATTGAAATTGAAGTTTTCTTTCAACTGCATATATGAACCCGTTCTAAAAATTTATTAATTTATTAATTTTTAAGATATTACTCATTGCGGACTGATATCAGTTGGAGAAACAGTGAAAACTTTGAAGCACTAGATAGCTGTATCGTCCTAGTACAAGACTCCTCAGCTGTACGCATCCACAATCCCACCAGGGATCAAACCCATGACTTTTACCTTTCATGAAGAACACGTTGACCATTGAACCAGTGGATCAAAGTTCAATGGTCTACAGTTTACTACCTCTTAATTTATTGACTAACTGAAAAATAAATAAATTAATTAATTAATCTATCAATATACATACATGAACTTGTATTGACTTGATATCTGAAAGTATTCTAATAATTCGATTTATTTTTTTTAATGAATACCGTGCAGCTTTTGTACAATCATCATTGACTAACGATGATGAAGATAATGATTTCACCTTGATTGGTTTTATTAATTCTAAGTGTCCAGATTGTAGTATATTTTCTATCTTAACTGATATATTGTATAATTGTTCAGTTAAACTGCTCATATTTAAAAATATCCATGGAAGTTGCATATCAAATTCCAGATGATTACTATCTGACAAACTTTTTTCTGAAATAGTCTATGACATAAAAAGAAAAATTAAAGCACTATCTTATAATTCATAATGAAGTACTATATACGAAATGATATTGAAGAGAAGAATAACTATACAAAGCCAAATTATAAAAATCAGAATAATTATCACTTAATTTAAAATTTAGTTAATAGCAGAATACCTTTCATCACATATAGAAATTGACTAGAGACCTACTGATTGAACTAGACCCTCAATTTCTAACCAACTGGCTATTGATTTGAACCCCACCCTATCTACGGAGCTTAAGACAACTAGACTATATCAATAACCCTTATACAATAGGCTTGACGCCTTGATTACTGCTTGGACATCCACGTGGCCGCTAAGTATATTACAATTTTTTGATCTGAATTAATGAGAACTGTTGTTTAATCCTAGTTTGTTAACAAGTTTAAAAACAAAGTCGGCAAAAATTTCTTTCTTTTACATGAATTTATTATTAAAACCCCATTTTTATATAAATTTCAGACATCATTTACTTGTCTGTGAAGTTATAGCTCTAATCATTCTCCCTTAGTGTTATTGCTTGCATTATACCGTCGTTGATTGGACCGAATTAATCGGTCTCTATTGGTATATGGGCTCCTGTACGGATGCCTCGATATACATGTGCGCTAGTTATAGTATGCAGTCCCAAATAGAACGGAATGAGCATCCTGGATTTCACTGCTAGCCACTATCCATCACTACCATTTTCCTTGATTCCTATTTATTCGGGGTCGGTAGTAGGTACTCATAACTAAGAAGGCTTAAAGTAGCATAAAATAGCTCTAAATTGTTCTTAAGTTTTTCATCGCTCTCTAAATGTTAGTTAGCTACAATGAAAACCCGAAGTTGTTATCTGTCATAGACTAACATCAGCCAATGATTTATGTCTAATGTTTTGTCACACAAACTGGAAGATTTACAGGCGAAAAACCAACAAGTTGACAGAAGTGGCAGGGCAGCAAAGACGGGACTTCCTTCGGGTGAACGATGAGAAGACAAAGTTGATGAAGATACCCAACTAACAACAGCATCAACAACAAGCACCAATCACCATCAGTGGGAGAAATCTAAAGCAGGAAGTTGTCTCTTCCACGTACCAGCCTAGGCAGCATCATTTTAACTACAGGTGGCGGTGGCACAGGTGAGGATGTCAAAACCAGGACCAAAAAAGCAAGACAGGCTTTCATTAATCTGAAATCAGTATGGAGATCTGCCTTCACTTCACTGCAATCCACTCAACATATAGCGTGAACAACATCCGGATTTTCAACACTAATATCAGTCAAGTAAGTCAGTGCTTCCATGTTACGGTTGAGAGACTTGACGCGTCACGGAAATCATTTCCAACAAACTACAGACATTCATCAACAGCTACCGCCTACTCTCACTCGATACTGACACTGAAGATCAGATGGCGAGAATAACAAGAATAAGTAACAAGGAAGTCACTCTGGTAACGAACCAACCAAGAACATATCACCCAACAAATATGCAGAATAAGGTATTGGAGATGGATTGGATTGGCCTACACTGAGAAGACCGATCGGGGACATTACGCGACAGGCCAGACCCTCGAGTGGAAGCCGAATGGGAAACGACGAGTTGGGCATCCCAGCTGAGCGTGACATGGAGGAGGTTGTATGAGGAAGCAATGTAAGTTTGTGGGTAGTAGTGGAGTCAGGTTGAAAAGACTGGAGAGAAGAGAGTGAAATGAAGACGTGCTACTGAATCCCTATTTCCCACTAGGAACCCGAGGGACAAATAATAATAATAACAGCTGGAGAGCCACTGAAAATGTGGAAGACTGGGTAGGTGTTTTGTTCCCGTATTAGAGGTATGGACGATAGTTTTTCTACATTGCTAACTGATGGAAATAGGAAAATGTAGGCTACTGGATCCCAAACATGTGGCTCAGTGGTAAGGCGCTGGCTAGGGAACCTGAACGTCCTCTGTTCGATCCCGACATAATCACTGGCGCGAGCCATTTAGGAAATTTACACTGGGACGGACGAGCTGTCCAGTGCCTCCAGATTCTTCGACTGATGTCAGTCAGTGATGAATATAAGCATGGAGTCGATAAATCCCCACAAACCTCCAGAAATGACAAACGGCTTTGATGTCATTGAGACTTTATAAACCAGAAACCTACGGTCTTGCTAGTAGTCCCTATCAGGGACTACCGAATTTGCAGTATACAATTTTCTTTGTAACTTTCTCCACAAAACAACTTAAATTAGTGGTACCAATAGGCTGTTTTATTGTCACGCTGTCTCGTATATCAATAAAAAACAAACAAGACCAGTCAGAAGCTTGATACAAACAAACTTATTGGACACTGAACATAAGGTCAGTGTAAATAAGACCTTCATATCTGTGTTGCATCATACTCGGTATTAACACTATTTTATGAAAAGCTTTCCTGTATCCGAAGAGAAGTTTAATTGGATTAAACTAATGAACAAAGTTTACTACCCTGAGAATATGAAGCTACCTGTGTGCAACTTTCGAAGTCATGCAAAGTGGCATTTTTCGCGCAATTTCTCAAAGAAATAAAGTTGACATATTTTTGATAAGTACTTTCCCGGATGATATCATCTAGGCTGAACACTGGAATCAACTAGTTGTGGACGAGTACAATGACCAAATGTCAGGTAAAACACACACTGATCAGCGAACCAAAATCATACAGAATCAATTATTCGCCCCCCTCCCCCTTCCACCAGTTTGATAAGAATTCTCCAAACCAACAATAAACGAAGATGTAGCAATTTCGCAAAGAACACCGTATAAGAACATTGATGCCCTTTATTGAAAATACTTACAAGCATACTACTGTACTCTCACTAAAATTTTCGTTTCGCCTGGACCAATTGTGGTAAGACCAAAAATAACCAACAAGCCAATAAATAAACAGGAAAGAAACACTAATAGCAGTGAAAGGATCAGTCTGGAGATCGTTCGAACACAATTCATCATATCACGCAGTAACCTAAGGACTTCTGCGTAGAACACTGACACGACTCAAGTTTTCACCGGAAGTATTATGATTCAAACATGTTTCACTGATTGTCATAACATACGACACACTACCTAACTAAATGGTGAATTCCATTCTCTTTCGACTATTCTGGGTTGGACAATCATTTAATATCACGAAATCGTAGATGTCATGTCTGACTGACAGTTTAGAACACATGTGTCAACTAGATCACCAGGTTACATCACCCCAACATTATCAACACCAAAATAACATCTATGTCACTATGAAGTAAGTAAAATCTCGATGGTACACACTACTTTTGTCTAATAAAGTGTTTTTCAACATACTACTCAAATAAGACTCAATTAGAAGTCATTGTCATGCTTCTAGTTGATTGAACCTTCTACAAATAACAAACTTTTAACTTATTCTTAATAAAAAAGTTTAGAAATGATAAAATTTTATCATGTTCCAAAGTGAAACTAAAAAGAAAAGTATGCTATAGTATTTAATAAAAATATGTGTTACACCTATTTCATTACAAAGTAAAAATATTTAAAAACAATTTTAATTATTTTACTTAAGAGTTACACTATACTACCTGGTTCAATTGTTCAATATATTTGTCATGTAGTAAAGAATGAACAGCTTTCATCATATTGGGATATGAATTTATTGAAATAAAATGAACATTGAGTGATAACCATTGACTTTCAAGTGTTATATACAACTCTCGAATTGATTTCAAGTATTGAAATACTCTCCAGATTTCTTCTAAATTTTGTTTTCTTTTCAAAAGATTAATATCAGGATTTTTCATGAGATCACCAATTGGACAATTTTCCCATTTAACAGATAATGAAATATTCAAAAGACTTGAACATTTATTCCAGTAGTCTGATGATGAATGCTGCAGAATAAATTCAACAAAAAATAGTTTCGCATAGTGTTCTAGTTTTGTAAAAACTTCATCAGGAGCGTGAAAATAGCCACAGCTTATACCTGAAGAGCAAAACGTATGTACCAGTTTCTTCGATTATGTCAAACACACGCTATGCTGGAAAAATATGGTTCTTATGTTGACAGCCTTACCCGGATCTGCCTTTTGGTCGGAAACTTTAGTAGCCAATTAGTGTAATTAGTTCACTCCTACAAGAGATCAATCGCAGCCCGAATGCCTCAGTGATAACGTCTCCAACTGTAACACTAGATTGTGTCTTCCTCACAGGGGACAAGAGCGATACCTGCAGAATTACCGTTGAAAACAAGGGAACACTAAACAGCGGTTTCTTCACAGTATGAAGAAACTCAGCAGTACATAACCGACTCCATAAAAGGTCGGCCCGATGACCCTAGTGTAGTCGTGACTGAGCACTGCTTAGGAGTTTCAAAATAACACACAGCAGCTATTTAATGCTCCACGGTTTTCAATGGTTCTCTAACTGGTGTCACTCCATGATGAACACTACCTTGAAACGATAATACGGAATAGAAAGTGGTAATTTATCATGAATAATCATTATTACAAAGTCTGAATAAAAGGAACCCCATGTAAAGGTTTTCCGTACTAACTGACGATATATTTTGATAATTATTCATAGAAATCCAAATATTCTACTGTAGAAGATGCATAATACTCATCAAAATGTTCAACAAACAAAAATCTTGTTCCGATTTTTTAAACGCAGTAGATGCGAACTGCTGAGGAGTTCCATCCACCTACGAAAGAGCTGCCCAATGCTTCCAGGTCGGAAGCGAAGCAGATATCAACTGAAAATCTTGGTGGATAGTGGTAATACATAGCAATTTGATCGAAGTAGGGAACTGTAGACTACTGAACTCTGACCCAGTATCTCAATGGTTAACGCTTTTGTCGTGAAAAAACTGTAGGTCGTGAATTCGATCTTTGAAGAGGTCGTGATTGCGTACTCCTGGGGAGCCCCACTTTAGAATGAAGTAGCTATCCACTGCTCCCGGTTTTTCAATGTTTCACCAACTGATGTCAAACCGTGGTGAATACAACCTTTAAAATAGAATCCCCTTAAACCTAAGTGGAAACTGGAGTTATTCTAAGCATACATATTCATCATACACTGCTCTCAATTTCAAACACTATAATTAGATAAGATATAGTTTTTAGTTGTGTAGTTCCCAGTATGTTTGAAATAAAACAATTTCAACGTTTCACAGGGAAGTTTGGTTCAAAGCAGAATGTCAAACTTTGACTCAGTCCCCAATATTTACAAAATTATTCTATCAAATCTTCACCATTTATTATTATTTTTTTTCTTTAGGTTCCTAGTAGAAAATAGGGATTCAGTAGCACATCTTTATTGCACTCTCTTCTCTCCAGTCTTTTCAACCTGGCTCCACTACTGCTCACATGCTTTCATTTCTTCCTCACACAATCTCCTCCATGTCACCCTCGTCTCGGAAGCCTAACTCCTTTTTTCCCCTTTGGATTCCACTCGAATGGCTGGCGCGTGATGTCTCCGAATAGTCCTCCCAGTGTATACCCAATCCAATCCATCTCCAATACCTTATTCTGCATATTTGTTGGGTGATATGTTCTTGGTTGGTTCGTTACCAGAGTGACTTCCTTGTTACTTATTCTTGTTATTCTCGCCATCTGATCTTCAGTGTCAGTATCGAGTGAGAGTAGGCGGTAGCTGTTGATGAATGTCTGTAGTTTGTTGGAAATGATTTCCGTGACGCGTCAAGTCTCTCAACCGTAACATGGAAGCACTGACTTACTTGACTGACATTAGTGTTGGAAATCCGGATCTCGTTCATGCTTTATGCTGAGTGCAGTAGATCTGTACACTGATTTCAGATTAATGAAAGCCTGTCCTGCTTTTTTGATCCTGGTTTTGACATCCTCACCTGTGCCATCACCACCTGTAATTAAAACTATGCTGTCTGAGCAGGTGAAAGAGACTACTTTGTTTAGGTTTTTCCCGTTGATTGTGATTGGAGCCTGTTGTTGATGCTGTTGTTAGTTCGGTATCTTCATTACCTCCGTCTTCTCTACATTAATTCGAAGTCCTTCTTCTGTCTACTTGTTAGTTTTCGCTTATAGATCTTCAAGTTTGTGCGATATTAAAAATAAATCATCGGCGAAATCCTCGCCTGGTTAACTAGTTCACTAGTTACTAGCCGATCCTTAACCTGGGTAAAGAGGGAAAGTTGGGCGTAGGGCTACCAACCCTACCCCGTAAAACCAATCAAATCGCTTAAGAAATTTCTAAACAGTCTTGACCATATTTCATATAAGTTGCTAATGTTAGATTTTACAAATCAACTTGAAATAATAACAATCAAGTGGTAAACAGTTAGATTAAAATCTCCAAAAATGATAGCAAAAGCTTAATTCCTTTTTAATAGATCCACTAGGAATAATTTACAAAAACGATTCATTCAACTATAACTAACCAACAATTCAGTATCTGAGATATATTTTAAAATTCCCAGAATCTTCTTCATTCTTTTTAACCATTTAGAGTTAAATTGAACAACTATATCATTGTTTGACAAACTGTTACATATTAAAACAAGTTTCTCATGTTTCTCATTGGTTGTCGTCAAGCAAATCTACAAATTAATACAATTTATGGATATACAGAATATGTAAATATATTCAGTAAAACAAAATGAAAAACTCATGTTAAGATATATAATCTAAACGTCTTCTGTAAATAGAAACTAATAAACCGATTCGAACGACTAGTAATGATGAATAGTGGACGCATATTTCAACCATCAACTGGACACCGGTAGAGACCGATCAGTTTGCTGCAATCAATAATGGGAATTTTCAAGCAATGACATAACAACTATATCTCTAGCATAAGGAGTGGCTACTGTGATTCACTGGCCTGGTCTTTTGAAGTAAATGATCCTGGGGTTGAGCCTTAGTGAGGTCAACGTCACTCACTGAAAGGCAGACATTACCAGTTGATGAGTCCAAAATAGGATAAGTTGCGCGTCCTGGATTCCCACCCACCGTTAGCAACTATCCATCATTACTGTCAAACTGAAACTATAGACAATATGAAAACAACCACATAGGAACCCATAAGCCGCTGGAAACCAATCAATGACAGGAAATTAAAAGTAATGACATAATGTGAACAAAGTTAACACACCACTTATAGCTACATTGTTAACAAACAATTAGGCATCTTCTCAATATCTTGAACAAATATTTCATTCTTGATGGCAGACTTATAGAACTGAAAACAATTCTGAGGGATAAGTCTGAATCTAAACATAACTTTAAGGTAAAAAGTGGATTTGTTGAATACATACATCGTTTTTATTTGTTTATCTATTTAGGAGATCAAATCAGTTCTGATGTACTAATTCATCAATAAAACACTTTGCTTTATCTAGAAATCAATAATGACTACTGATAATGTAGAATGGTTTTTACATCACAGTGAATTTAATAAATGACTGGGGAAAAAACTGAGTTCAAAGTCAATATCTTTGGCAATCTATCTCAACAGACATTTCTGTAATCTAAGTGATCTCATTGGTCAGTTTTATATGTGGTCAGTCGACTCTAGATCATTTATTTAACCAACTACCTACTGGACTTTCATTTCAGTTTAACATAAGAGTGTAATATTTATTTTTGTGACTAGGACACTCGTTTCGTCCTATTTGGGACCCGTCAGCTGGATGTACCTGCATCCTATTGCGGAGTGTTGTTCCGACTGAGACTCCAACTCAGTGACAACGCTTTAAACACCAACGTGTTTTTCACAAGACCACTGGGGCACTATAGCCACCTCTTTTGCAGCGAGTAGCAGTCGTTGCTTTGATACTTCTCATTTGCTGTTTGCTATACAGAGCTGAACTGCAGGTACATCCAGTTGACGAGTCACAAATAGGACAAAACACACGTCCAGCATTCCACTGCTGGTCACCAAGATGAATATAACATAGTGAGTATCGAGGCGTTCGCATAGGGGCTTATCTGCCAACCAAGGTCAAAAAATTCAACCCTGTATAGCAACAGAAAATGATAAGTATCAAAACAAACACAGACTAAAAATGATTTGACCAACAGATCATTCTCAAAGGCACAAGTAGGCCGTTATCTTTTGTAACCCCGTTACTAGTAGTCGCTTCAAATTCATTCAATTAATTTCATATCATTATTCACGTCTAAATTCACTTTATCAATACAATGGTCAACAGACCGCATTCCGATAGTTAAAGTGCAATGTATGGCTAAGAAAGCGAAATTCCTTCGTTTTCCTTTTAATGAGGTCAACGATACGAACTAATACAGCTGTTCCACTACTTCCCTTTTAACAGCTCACTTCTCAATAAAAATATCTGACTTTGAGCTGCTAGTTTCGCAGTTGGTCTTATAATTTGTTAACTTGAAGATAGTTTGAAAAGATTGTTTAGAACAAAACCCTCTTGCTTTAAACTGTTCATAAACATTGTAATGATTAGTGTCTCTGTTTTATAGTGTTAAAACAAAAAAATCTAGAAGTTATGATAGGCGAATTCCGTATCATGTAGTATTGTTTTTCATCACAACTTTTGAACAGCTTTACAAGTTGGTTTCATAGTCCCATTACCAAAATGTTTCATAGAGGAGTATTGTGTAGTAAGCCCAAGTTTTGTAATACCTACGGGCTCAAGTATACAGGGTTTCATTTTTACTAAATATAAAAGTCCAGCTGCACAAGACACAAGTTTCTTTTCAATTTCTAAGCAACCATTTAAGTTCCCTCAACGCGGCATTCTCACTTTATGGATACAAGATAACACTAAAACTATGCCCATGGCACAAGAAGTGACTAGCGTGGCTCGGTAGCCTGGTGTTTAAAGCTCTAACGTTTGAAGCGACCGGTCCCGAGTTACAGTCCCAGTGGGGGCAACACTTCGTGGGAGGCAGGTGCACCCAGTTCACGAAACGCGCGTTCTGGATTCCACTGCTAACCACTATCAGTCATTAACTAAAGGTCCAGTTTGATCTGATGAACAACCCAAAGGTAGATAGTGAAAAGGTCTAATATGTCATCCAGTTCACTTTCTGGAAAACAACATCAATTATATGATGTTGATTACCAACGAAGTCTTTTGAGGTATACACAAAGCTCATTTGCTATTAACTAGTGTGAGGTGATTCTAATGCTGACGTCCCAGTGCTGAAAAATATCAAATTCCTTACAAAGAACATTCTCGGAAACAATGTTGAGAATAGGATTCTCTTGTCACCCAATGATTTCTAACAATTCAACTTGTAAAAGTTCATATCTGACCACTTCTATATACGTATATCAATTCACCTGCTAGTGCAGAGCCAGGTATATTGGTCGTCATTCAAAAAGGTTAAAAAGTACTACCACAACTGGTTACAAAGAGGCAACATACATCGATAAGGAGCTCAGTAAATGGACACATGCTGAACAATGGCCACTCTCACTGAAGGACATTCTCGATAACTTATAAAAATGAAAAAAACCTAAAAAGGATATATGCTTGATATACTCTGCATCAGTGAAACTCGTACCATCTTTATGAATAAAACTGAAATTTACATGTAAAACAAGATTGTTTAACACCCTCTGCATTCAGAGTTTCAACCTTCAGTCCTTCAAATAACTTATTTCTTTACACAGATAAACACTCAGATGGTTTCCTATTCCGTGTTGTTTCACATATTCCTGAAATGATCACCTCCATGTCACCCTCGCCTAGCACGCCCAACTCATCGTTTCCCATTCAGCTTCCACTCGAGCGCCTCACCTGGCCTGACACGTGATATCCCCAATCCGTCTCCTCAGTCTATGCCCAATCCAATCCAATCCATCTCCAATTTATTCTACATATTTGCTGGGTGATATGTTCTGGGTTGGTTGGTTCGTTGCCAGCCACCTACAGTTCCTTGTTACTTATTCTTAACATTCTCGCAATCTGATCTTCAGCAACAGGCGTAGGTGGTAGCTGTTGATGAATGTCTGTAGTTTGTTGGAAATGGTTTCCGTGACGCGTCAAGTCTCTCAACCATAACATGGAAGCACTGACTTACTTGACTCACATTGGTGTTGAAAATCCGGATGCTGTTCACGATTTATGCTGAGTGGATTGCAGTGAAGTGAAGGCAGATCTCCACAGTGATTTCACATCAATAAAGGAGGGCCTGTCTTACTGTCATTCCGATCCTGACTGCTTTGACATCCTCACCTGTGCCACCACCACCTGTAGTTGAAACGATGCTGCCTAGGCAGGTAGTTAGGTAGGTAGGTAGGTAGGTGAAAGAGACAACTTCCTGCTTTAGATTTCTCCCACTGATGGTGATTGCTGCTTGTTGTTGATGCTGTTGTTGTTGGTTGGGCATCTTCATCACCTCCATGTTCTTCACATTCACCTAAAGTCCCGTCTTATCTACATCTCCTCTCCTATCAACTTGATGGCTTTTGCCTTCAGATCTTTGAGTTTGTGCCACAAGACACTAGACATTAGTTATCATCAGGGAAAACCAGATCTTCTCGTGGGGTCTTTCCATCGGTCAAGCCAGAGTGTGCCCATCCTCTCACAACTCCTCACAATGGTCCAGTCGACCACAATCAGGAAGATGATCAGTGGTAGTAGACAGGCAGCCTTGTCTTACTCCTTCCTGTCTTCACTTCGCTTCAAACGCAACACTAAGCTTTCCATTGTGAACCACTTGTCATGTAGCATCATATAGCATAGCACATAGCGGTTGAATGAGGTTGATAAGAGTTTGTGGCACAAAAAGCGTAGTGTGGAAGCAGCTACCTGCCAAATTACTTATCGGTCGACGCTGTCGAACGCCGCCCTTCTCAGAATCCATGGAGTTGAGGTGGAGAGTTGACTGTCATTCTATGCTCTGTTCTGTGATGATGATGATGAGTAGCGTTGCAATTTGACCGACACATGATTTGTTTTTCCTCAAACCAGCCAGCCAGCCTGTTCCGGTCGTGATTTTGAGTGCAGTGCACCTCTTAGTCTCTCCAGGATGATGCTGCCTAATATTTTGCTTGAGATGGATGGCAGCATGATTACTCACCAGTTCCCGCAAACACTCACGCCTCTCACCTTAGGAAGTTTGACAAGGTAACCCTTCTCACAATCATCAATCAGCAGGTTCCTGTCATTCATCCAATCACTCCTTAGAAACCTTGTGCAGTAGTGGTGTCAGCATATCCGCTGTTGTCTCTGCATCTGATTTCAGTGCTTCTGGAGGTATTCCATCTGGTCATACTGCTTTCCCGAATCTCAACAACTTTATGGCATTCAGGACTTCACTTCTGGTTTTGTCGGAGTGCCTGTGTTCACTGGTGGTTCTGTGACTGGGTTGCTGATGGTATTTCTGGACGAGTTGCAGGTGGTTGTAGTGGTGGTCGATTCAAGAGTTTTTTGAAGTGGTCAGCCCATTGTTTCTTTCGTTTTTCTTTTCTGTGGGTAATTAGCTTTCCTTCACTATCGTTCATTGGTTTCATTTGCGTTGGTCTCTTCCTGGATAATATGTCAAGGATAAACGCAAGTAAAATGGTGTACGATACGAATCAATGGATACCTCACAGCTAATTAAACATGACGACGATAGTCAAACGACAGAATTATAAAATATCTGAGCCAATGAGACAAGTGAATTTTGTATATCATACAAGTGAATGCAAACTACTTACTTCGCCTACTGTTGATTTATATAATTCTTGTTCATATTCCTTCAGTTTTTTGTTTAATTGCCATGCAGCATATCTACAGTTGACTTTTTTCATTTCACTATCCATCAGCATTAAATCTTCATTATTTTCATTCAAGTATTTATTTAACACTTTCATCTTTGTAAAATTAGTTTTGTCTTCTCCAATATGAACCTTATCAAGTCTGGTGGTATTCATTACTTTAGGTAGTGAAAGAGACAGATTCATCTTCTCAATAGAATTCCCTTTCTCCAATTCCTTTTCATATTGTTCACAATTTTGAACAGTTCTATATTGTCTGACAAGCTGATGAACGGAAGTTTCCAATTTTATCAAATGAGAATATGGCTATGAACAAAAGAATAAACGTTAATTAAATTGACAAATTAAAAGAATGTTGATGGAGTTGTATTCTCTGAGCTAGACAATATCATCAGTACGAAACTTCGGTAAGGAGTGAACTATAAGGTTCTCTGTGATATCTAGTTAGTAGTTTGTCCTGATAACTGTGTGGTGGTTTTTGTCAGGGTTTTGTCACTGTCTTCATTTTGATTGGTTGGCACTATTACCTGAAATCTGATCTTGTTTTTGGTTTCTTATTGGTTGTTAGATTTCTTCAATGTCAGTAAGTCTGTTAAATAAAAATGTCAACTTTTATCAACTCATAAATATAGCCTTGATTGTACATGATGCAAAAGACTTATCACATATAGGCTTCTTTGTGTCATCTTTGGAATTGTATCATTTATCTATTATAGTTTACGCAATCTTCATATTAAATCCGGAACTGTGCTAGAATCTTGCTTAATAGTAAAATATAGATTTTCGCTTAACAAATAATTCCAGAGCTATTAGCTTTAAACAAGTTCAACCCCGTCATGTATACTGGTAGGAGGAAAAAATTGGATTGCTCAAAAATTGAATCCTTAACTCGGCTTTTCTACTAAGCCTAACTCACTTCTTATCCCAACACAGCCATGAAATAAAGGATGCAATGTAAGATGAAAAACATTTAAAAATTCATGCATGAAGTAATCAACAACACTTGTGTTATGACTAATAACACCACTATATTTTTCAAGCAAACATCTAATAGAAGACATTAGAATACTTAACCCTGTTCGTGAAAAACCAATCTCCTTGAATCGTGCATAGAAGAAAGGCAGCTCAATTTGTCACAATTCCAAATAGCACAAGGAAATTAGGTGACTAAGCTGAAAAACTTGAGCACTTGCGATACAGTGTAGTTCCAAATTATATTATTTAAAGTGATGCATATAACTAAGTTACGAAGCCTCATTTACAGGATGACATTTTGAGTACAATTTATTCTTCGAAATCACGTACGACATGATATAACTACGAGAAATAAATTCTACTTAAACTTTCCTTATATAGTAAGTAATATTGCATCACAGCGTTTTATCTCAAATAAAGTAATCTAATTTAACGGTTGAAAGAAAAATAGAACCATATTAGATTAAACACATGGAAATTACTGCTTGCAGTACCCATTGGTCACATAAAAATTGAAAGATGAATCGTCTAGACTGGTTCTTTCCCGTTTTAGGTATCAGTTTGACAGCTCCTATGAAAACAATTGCATCAGCTATTGCTCGATGGAGACATCAAAATTCATTCTCATGGGTGACATGAATGCCAAACTGGGAGGAGACAACACAGGAAGAGAACTCATCATTGGCCGAGAAGTACTCGGTCAAATGATGAATGGGAATGGAGAAGTGTTTGCAGACTTCTGTGAGTTCAACGATTTGGTGATTGGAGGCGGGACAGTGTGTACAAACACTTTTAAGGATATTCACAAGGCAGTGAGAGACATGGATTTGATTTCACCAGATTTCACCAGGGTACACTACACTAAAAATCAGATCGACTTGATCTGAATATGAAGAAGGTGGAGATTCAGTCAGTCTACTGGACACAAGATCAGATGGAGAGGGGGAGCAGATGTAGGTTCACACCACTCACACCACATGGAAGCTGATGGACGAGGGAGGCTAAGGTGGTGAAGCAGAAAGAAGATGAACCAATGCAAGGGTGCACAACGGAAAGAGGAACTGAACACAACACATATAACACTACACTGGACAAATGAGTGAAGGGGAGTGAGCTGAAAGACAAAAGACACTTGTTCGTCACACTTGGAAGTGAAGCAGAACAGGCTGCAAGTAGAAGAGACAGACACCTGACAACATTATATCAAATAACCAGGTCACCATGTGGGAGGGGAGAGACCAACGCAGATGAAACCAATGAAAGATATTGAAGGAAAGCTAATTACCCACAGAAAAGAAAAACGAAAGAAACTATAGGCTGACCACTTCAAAAAACTCTTGAATCGACCACCACTACAACCACCTGCAACTCGTCCAGAAATACCATCAGCAACCCAGTCACAGAACCACCAGTGAACACAGGCACTCCGACAAAACCAGAAGTGAAGTCCTGAATGCCATAAAGTTGTTGAGATTCGGGAAAGCAGTATGACCAGATGGAATACCTCCAGAAGCACTGAAATCAGATGCAGAGACAACAGCGGATATGCTGACACCACTACTGCACAAGGTTTCTAAGGAGTGATTGGATGAATGACAGGAACCTGCTGATTGATGATTGTGAGAAGGGTTACCTTGTCAAACTTCCTAAGGTGAGAGGCGTGAGTGTTTGCGGGAACTGGTGAGTAATCATGCTGCCATCCATCTCAAGCAAAATATTAGGCAGCATCATCCTGGAGAGACTAAGAGGTGCACTGCACTCAAAATCACGACCGGAACAGGCTGGCTGGCTGGTTTGAGGAAAAACAAATCATGTGTCGGTCAAATTGCAACGCTACTCATCATCATCATCACAGAACAGAGCATAGAATGACAGTCAACTCTCCACCTCAACTCCATGATTCTGAGAAGGGCGGCGTTCGACAGCGTCGACCGATAAGTAATTTGGCAGGTAGCTGCTTCCACACTACGCTTTTTGTGCCACAAACTCTTATCAACCTCATTCAACCGCTATGTGCTATGCTATATGATGCTACATGACAAGTGGTTCACAATGGAAAGCTTAGTGTTGCGTTTGAAGCGAAGTGAAGACAGGAAGGAGTAAGACAAGGCTGCCTGTCTACTACCACTGATCATCTTCCTGATTGTGGTCGACTGGACCATTGTGAGGAGTTGTGAGAGGATGGGCACACTCTGGCTTGACCGATGGAAAGACCCCACGAGAAGATCTGGTTTTCCCTGATGATAACTAATGTCTAGTGTCTTGTGGCACAAACTCAAAGATCTGAAGGCAAAAGCCATCAAGTTGATAGGAGAGGAGATGTAGATAAGACGGGACTTTAGGTGAATGTGAAGAACATGGAGGTGATGAAGATGCCCAACCAACAACAACAGCATCAACAACAAGCAGCAATCACCATCAGTGGGAGAAATCTAAAGCAGGAAGTTGTCTCTTTCACCTACCTACCTACCTACCTAACTACCTGCCTAGGCAGCATCGTTTCAACTACAGGTGGTGGTGGCACAGGTGAGGATGTCAAAGCAGTCAGGATCGGAATGACAGTAAGACAGGCCCTCCTTTATTGATGTGAAATCACTGTGGAGATCTGCCTTCACTTCACTGCAATCCACTCAGCATAAATCGTGAACAGCATCCGGATTTTCAACACCAATGTGAGTCAAGTAAGTCAGTGCTTCCATGTTATGGTTGAGAGACTTGACGCGTCACGGAAACCATTTCCAACAAACTACAGACATTCATCAACAGCTACCACCTACGCCTGTTGCTGAAGATCAGATTGCGAGAATGTTAAGAATAAGTAACAAGGAACTGTAGGTGGCTGGCAACGAACCAACCAACCCAGAACATATCACCCAGCAAATATGTAGAATAAATTGGAGATGGATTGGATTGGATTGGGCATAGACTGAGGAGACGGATTGGGATATCACGTGTCAGGCCAGGTGAGGCGCTCGAGTGGAAGCTGAATGGGAAACGATGAGTTGGGCGTGCTAGGCGAGGGTGACATGGAGGAGATCATGTGAGGCATAATTATAAGTTTGTGGGCAGTGGTTTTTCGAGGTTTTAAATACTGTAGAGAAGGGAGTGCAATGGAGATATGATTTACTGAATGCCTATTTTCCACTTAGAACCCAAGGGACGAGTGTTTATATTAAATTATTATTTATGCTAGAATCGTCAACTGATGAATAATACTATATGTCAATGTGTTATATATCAAATAAACGAATTAAATATGGTGTTTGATTTCAAGATCACGTATTAGCTCAGAAAATGCTTCTAGATATGAATGTGTATGTAAACATAACGAACTTTACATACTACTAATTTAACCCACTTTACACTAGTCAGACTTACTTCTTTCATATCATTCAGGATACTTGTTGGATCACCTTTAATGTCAGAATATTTACCAGTGGTAATCAAATGAACTAGATTTTTAGCTTCGTCTAGATATTCCTAAGAGTAATAAAATGATGAAAAGTTAAAGTTATTTCAACGACTTTTTCATATAAATATCTAATGATATCTGAAAATACTACTTTATCACAAAATTTGCTCAATAATCACACCTACTTGATGCATTTTATATCGGAAATAATAAATGATTCCTAATTTCAGATGAAATGCAAGTTGACTGTGTAATTCAATAAAAAAGTTTCCTTTGACATCTTCTTTGACTGACAGTAGAATCCAGGATGCACTTCTTATCCTATTTGAGACTCATCAGTTGGATGTACGCGTGGTAAAACTTTACACTGCTACTGGAAACCAGCACCAATCACTTTAAATGACAGAGTGTTATCCTCTAGACCACTAAGTCATATGAACCTTTTCTCTTGTGCAAAAAGATTTTCGTTTGTGATTTATTGATTCTCTAAGTTTACTGTTTATTATCCCTCTGAAGCGAGCTGATCCATCACAACTAGCGTATGGGCTGTTTGAACAAACACCACCATATTGCCTTATATTTCATTCCAATGTTCTTCTTCATATTAGTATAGTACATGAATTTGACGAGCTACAAGTGTTGAATGATTCACGCTTGGTTGTTGACAAGAATGCCTGAGAAGAGGTTTACCGTTTCTTGATGTTCATCGCCGTAGCATGCATACTACTTCGAGAAAAGTAATATTTACTCTAATTTTAAAACTGTCACCCAGCAGCACAATTGGAAAAGTACGTACCAGAGACTATTTTTTTTGGTAGGAATGCATTAAGTTCACTAAACAATTGTTCGATCGTAACCATTGTCACATAACCTGGTTTCAATGATCCTGAAAGAATTTCATAGATCTAGTCACAGAAAAACCAAAACAAATGAATCAAAACTTCTAACCATCAACACAGCAGACTAAGATTGTGAATGTCCGTTTTCACAGACCAAATGTATGATTTTTTTAATGATTAATACTTTACCCGTAGATGCTGGAAGTGAATAAACTGCATTATTAAATATTCACCTTAACCATGAAAGCTTCTGGAAATGTGTAATACATAAGGGTTGCATAATTTAAAAAGTTGCGTCTATAGCACACAACTGGTGGTAATTCTAGCTGTCTATCACCACAGCAGATTACTGTAAAATTACACCAAGGTAAATAAATAAATTTACGAAGAAACTAATACTACTTACGGAAGTTAAGTAAGATACTTTAAAACAAAGTTCATGTATTCATTTCGAGATTTAAGCCAATAACCGATTTCTTTCGACCTTTATGAAGTTTCCTAATCAATCCACCATTCTACGTCTTAAATTAATCAACAATATTTCAAGCTACCACACAACGATTAAATCACCCTCAGAAATATTCTCACTGTAAATGACTTCTGATAATCATCGGTCCCAATGAATGGGTCAGGTAATATGTTTTAAACATTGTGATGCATATGTTTAGAAAGTGAATATTGAGAACGGCATACACGCCTTACTCCATATGAACAAGTGAATCAATAGAAGCATATGGAAGTGACCAAAATGATTTAGCTGATCCTATACGTATAGCTGAATCACTGGGTATGTAGAGAAAGTTATTCTCAGTTCGGCACTATAGAAGGTCTCTCCCAATTACCACGTCATACCATCTCTTAGTATTTCTACCAAAACGTCTCCACTGAACTATGAATTCATGAAAAGGAAGTAGAATGATTAACTTCTATCACTACTACAGTTTTTGCAATGAAACGTTTGGGGAAATGAAGTTCATCTTCTTAAGTTTCAGGATTGCAGATAATAAGACTTCTATGGTTCAAAGAGTGAACCAGATTTGTTTTTATGTTTGGAGGCACTCGATTATGCTTATTCCTAAAATGCTCGCCCTATACAGGTTTTCTGTAGATCCATATTTTGAGTGTTTTATAGTTACATCATTTTAGCTGTATATTTAAAAAGGATATCTTAGAATCGATTTCACTCTTCAGTGTGAACTTGACTGTATAGTGACAGTTGGAAACGTGACACAGGTTATCTTCAAGATTATCTGTAGCGTTTGAGATGATGAAAGTGTCAACTACACATTGCCTATAAGGTTCGAATCCGTTAATAATCCTGCTCAAAAGTTTTTCAGCTTCGATATTAAGAAGCCTGTAAGCAAATGACCCAACGATGAACCTATAGCTATGACCTTTTTTAACCGTATCCTTAATTTATGAAATAAGACTGAAAGTTCAAGATACATTTCAGCAGGTGGGTATCACGACATTTAAACCATAAGAACCAATATAGTCACATAAAGGACATAGTGTCTCAGTCAGTGGGAAGCTTTTAAATAATGAGACCACATGTAAGGAGTACATAATATAGCCAGAGCAATTGATATTATTGATAAAATTAACAAAGATAACTCAGACTTCCCTTCTGATAGACCCCAAAAGTTTGAATAACCGTAGTACAATACGATGATCAGGTGATCCTGTCATTTCGAGAATAGAACATGGAGACACGCTCCCTTTGGCCACCTCTGTGTGCCTAACAATTCATCCCTTTCAGTGGAGTCAGGTATTTTGGCATTTGCTTTCCAAAAGTATTTTCAAACACATACCAGACTGATTTCACAAGAGAGAACACTTGACTGATTCTAAACACCTGATAAATGCAGAAAACAACTTCTCTGTCATTTATAGAGTCCGTGAAAACTTCACGAAAGGTGTACTCCTGAAACGTTTTAAAACTACAGAAGCCACGGCAATTCACATTTTGAAACCTGAACTCCACATTCAAAAAGTGTTTCTACAATCACTCTATTTCCAATGGAAATAACCTGTAAGAACGTTTTAACCCCAAAGTCTTTCTTTGACTTCCATAATAACATATAACATCTTTTCATATATGAAATCCTTCCACCATTAGAATTTTGGTTTCTCATCACACTCACCAACCCCCTTAAAAATACTACATAATATAACTTCATCACTTCATATTACTTTGACTTTGATTGTACTTCTCACTACCATTTTAAGCATTTTTAAGATATGATTTATAATCAAAGTTGAATTTCGTTCAAGCATATTTTATGAAGCATTCCTTTTCTGTTGCCATGTATGTGTGACTGTACAGCTTGGGAATGAAATTTCTAAAAAGAGTGACTCTTTGCTAGACACCTCTTACTTTGTTCTGTTCTATGATGATGCGTAGTGTAGCGTTGCAATTTGGTCAACACATGATTTAAACTTCCTGAATCCAGCCAGCCAGCCAGCCTGTTCCGGTCGTAGTTTTGAATACGGTACATCCTTTAGTCTCTCCAGGATGATATGGCTTAATATTTTGCTTGCTCTGGGTGGACAGGAGAGTGATTCCGTGCCAGTTCTTGCAAACACTGAGGTCGCCCTTCTTCAGAAGTTTGACAAGGTAACCCTTCTTCCAATCAACAGGCAAGTACCTTCTCTTCCTTCCACACCTTCTGCAATAGTGGTGTGAGCATGTCCACTGTTGTCTCTGCGTCCGTTCTCAGTGCTTCTGGTGGGATCCCATCTGGTCCTGCTGCTTTCCCACATTTCAGTAGTTTTATGGTGTTCAGGACCTCCACTTTTCTTGGAGGATTTATGTTCACTTGTAGTTCAGTGGCTGCGGTGCAGGTGGTATTTCTGGATGAAGTGCAGGTAAGAGAATTTTGAAGAGAATTTTGAAGTGGTCACCCCATTGTTTCCCTTGTTTCTCTTCTTTCATAATTAAATATCCGTCATCAGCCTTTATTGGTTTCGTCTGCGTTGATCTCTTCCCTTGCAGATAGTAACCTGGCTATTCGATACAATGTTGTCAGGTCTCTCTCGCCTACTTGCAGCCTGTTCTGCTTCACTTGTCAGTGTTTCGTAGAAGTGTCTTTTGTCTTTCCCCACACTCTTCTTCACTTCTTTGTCCAGTGTAGTGTTTTATACATTGTACTCAGTTCCTCTTGTCGTTGTGCATCCTTGCACTGGTTTATCTTCTGCTTCACCATCCTCCTCTCCTTGCTCTATCAGCTTCCATGTATCCGTTGAGATCCATTCCTTATGTTCTTTCTTCAGATTGGGTGTTAGTCATAACTTTTTGTTGATATACTTGTAATTCTCTATTGTTTCGCTGGATCGTATTGCTTGACTTCAGTTGGCAACTGGGCTCCAATACAGATATCTTGATATTGCCTGAATATTTATTACAGTAATTTACTTAATCGAATAATTCAATCCAGTATAACAATAGAGAATTACAAAGTTATTTTGATAAACATATAAAATCTTATTATTCAACGATCAAAAAACATAAAGAATTTTACCTTTATTTTTTTATTATAACATTGATAAAAGTCTTCTCGATTTCTTAGGAATTTTTTTCGCGCCCATTCAATTAGATTTGTGAATTTTTTCCATTTAATTATAAATTGTTCATAGTATGACCAGTTTATTAGTTTAATCTCTTTCAATTCATTACAATTAACTAAGCATTTTTGGAAATACTGTAAAAACTTGATGAAAAAATATATAAAAACACTTTTAAATTTATTTCTTTACATTTTTGAAAAAAATGAATGTTGAACATTGGACAGAATTTATTTAATTATATAAAATTTCGACTCGAAAACACTACAAAAGGTCAATGAAATATCACTTTAGTCAAAGCAGATAATATTGGTATATAAATTATTCTCATTGATACATGTAATTCCCCGTTGTGTTACTGAATCGAATTGATCCATTTCGGTTGGCATATATACAGATGCTTCAATATTGCCTGAATATTCATTGATGTTTTGATTAACTTGATGGTCTTATAAATAACGTTTTGAGGTTTGAAGCAATGAGTGTTGGTTTTAAGTCTGAGTGAGAATACATCACCACTCATTGAAGTTCAGGTACATCCATCGGACGAGTTCCAAATAGGACAAATGAGTGTCCTGAATTCCATTGCTAGCCACCAGAAAGAAAATTAGAGTTGGCATACAAATGTTATTAAAGCTAAAAGTGGGTACAAGGAAGCTGTCTGTTTCACCTTAGCCATTACGTTAAATTAGTGACTAAAACTATTCTTAACCATTTAGATTATTTCAGTGATTGAAAAGTTCCAGCTTTTACCAAAACATTTATTTCCAATGAGACTTAGGGGAACAGAATACACTGTTAGTTTAGCCTATTTTGTAAATAAAACCACCTACATACCTCACTATATATCAAGAGAACTACTGTCATCGGAAGAGGAGATTGAATGAGTCCATGGGAACACAGAGTGAATAACTTAAGTTGTGACCATCACCAGATGGGTGATATATGAACCAGGGGAGACAATGACTCCAGATCTAGTTACATCAAAATCTACACACTAAGCACCAGCCATCGTGGTTGTGCAAGGGACAAATTAGAACGGTAAACAGCTCCACACGTAGTTGACACGGGACTTCAAGTGGGGACTAGAAAAGCTTTCAAAATTATTTGTCACATTGCACTCGGATTACGCACTGGCTTACTTCACATAACAGAGGCGATTGCAATCCACCTTTACAAACCTAACCTTTATGTTCAAAAAATGTTTGTTCTACCACTTTCATTACCGTGGCCGTCAACATGATGTGACTTCTATGTTTACTTTCTACACATCTTCCTTCTCTTGCTTCTATTAATATTCATTTGTTTTCTTATTATTACGTAATCGCTTATTATGAATGATTGAACACTCATCAAAAATCACCCTATTTACCTATGAATAACCTGCTTCACATTTCCAATTTTAATAACTCTATTGATTATTTATATCATTATTTCTAAAACATCACCAGGTGATTGGTAATCTGACTAAATTGTAAAACTATATATTAGTGTAGAGCTCAAGATGAAGACCTAATTGAAAAGAAATATATTTCTTCGTTCAATCTATCTTTTTTCTAAATGCCTAAATGAAAAATTTGAACTTGCTTGAGGAAGCAGATACATAGATCGTGCAGAGAACCATCTATTTACCCTTATGACTTAACATTAACCTTAGTGGTTAAGGTAAATCTGAAATGAAAATCCCATGAATCTCCAGTATGAAGCATCTAATGGACTACGGACACGATATTGACACTTCTAAGGCCATCACGGTTTATATCAGAAAACAGAACAAAAAAATTCTTACCAATGTAGAAGCCGGTGCCATCAAAGTTCGCAAGCTGAGCCTTTGTGTGCGGAAGCAGATGATAGTCATCATAGATCTATTATCCTGGAGGTTTCAGCATGCAGATTATTACTCTCTTTATTTCTTCCTTTCCATAGTATATTTACTTATTAATTATTTCTATTCTGTCGCATTACCACTGCCTCTTAAAATTCCTTATTTAACAGGCAAACCCTAAAGGTATTATTATTACCATCACAGTTGTGATTACTAATATTATTGCAACTGCCTTCTCAAGTTCTTCACTGTTACCAAGTTTCTTAACTAATCGCCATTTGGTCTGTTCAAAAATGTTGTAATTTTTAATCTTCTCAATTTTTACTGCCACTCTCTTCATAATCTCCCCTTTTATTACTATTATTATTAATTATTATAAATACTCCTTAGCTGTACACTGCTATCAAGCTATTTAGTTGACTGTTAACTGTTCTGTTCAAAATGATCTAATTTATTTATGGTCTTTCAGTTTAAAGGTTTATGGGGATTTATTGTTTTCAGTGGGGTGTTCATCATGGATTGATATGAGCTAGAGTGCAAAAGAAAACCCGGGAGCACTGGAATGCTGTTTTGTCCCAGTATAAAACTCCTGGACAGTCCGTCTCTATTGCTGCACCCTACCAGGAGTGCGCTACACCGAGAATGGACAAGAGTAAGTATGTGGACCACTAGATTCGGACCTAGTGGCTAAGTAGAAAAATAATCGCCACGAACACTGAAAGCTCTTGGTTCATTTCCTGACATGATTGTGGGTGTGCTTTGCATGGGACAAATGTGATAGGATAGAACACCTGTACAGTGCTCACAGATTTACACTGCTTCTACAACTGATGTCATTTATAGTCTTCTTATTCTTCATAATTAATTTTTTACCACTCTTTCACCTAAGTCCCTTTCAATGTCACCCTAGCAACTGCTGAAATAACCAACCAGCTTTAGAAATTTCGACTGGGAAGATAGTTAAGCATAAAAGAGAGAACCACAATTGGTTATCCCACTACTCGATAGGATGGCCTTCAAAGTAACTCTTTAATCTACTCGCTACTCCGTTTGGTTTGTTTAAATTATTCACCCTGCTTCGTCATGCCTCACTCAACGTCTTAGTTTGCTTTATGTGTGCATGTATTCCTTTATTGCATAATTATATTATTATTATTTTTTCCTTTGGGTTCCTAGTGGAACATAGGACTTCAAAAGCACATCGCCATTTCATTCTCTCCCCTGCGGTCTTTTCAACCTGACTCTACCACTGCCCACAAGCTCTCATTTCTTCCTCACACAATCTCCTCCGTGTCACCCTCAAACGTCCAACTCGTTGTTTACCCTTCGGATTCCACTCGAAGGCCTGACCTGACGCCTTATGTCTCCGAATGCTCCTCCCAGTGTATACCCAATCCAATCCATCTCCAATACCTTATTCTGCATATTTATTGGGTGATAGGTTCTTGGTTGGTTCGTTACCACAGTGACTTCCTTGTTACTTATTCTTAATATTCTCGCCATCTGATCTTCAGTGTCAGTATCGAGTCAGCGTAGATGGCAGGTGTTGATGAATGTCTGAAGTTTGTTGGAAATAAGTCGAACTAGCCGGTCGGGGTCAGTCAGAATGGCCAAACATAGGAATTTAGCTAAATATAGAATCACAGACCCGAATGAGACCAATAATCTCGAAAAAATTCGGCTACTGCAAGGTATGCAATAACACACAACCAAACAATAGGGTGAGATAAAGTCCCTGTACTGAAGTCCAATATAATCAGGTGCAGAGAGAGGGAGATTGATTACTGAATCTTTGTTCATTGAATCAACGTGCAACACATGTGACAGAAATGACGCCACACCTATACCAGAAATATGGAAAATTTTACTACCCCAAAATTAAAATGTCGAAAGTAGTGTAATTACATCGGTAGGAATATGCGCAATAATTTATGCTCGAAATGTCATGAAGTTAATAATACTGTATCACTGTGTGTTATAAATCAAATAAACAAATCTAATCCTGTTCTTGTTCTTAATACTGAGTGCAGTAAAGTATATCTCCACACTGATTTCAGATTAATGCAGTAAGGCCTGTCTTGCTGTCTCTCCGATCCTGACTGCTTTGGCATCCTCATCTGTGCCTGTGCAGCCTGTAGTTGAAATGATGCTGCCTAGGCAGGTAGGTAGGTGAAAGCGACAACTTAGTTTAGACTTCTCCCATTGATGGTGATTGCTGCTTGCTGCTGTTACGTTGCCACCTAATTATTCAGATTGTGATTGGCCTCCTTAAAATCGATTATATACACTAACTGGCCACTAGACAGCAATAAATTTCATGTTGTCCAGTCCTTAGTATTGACCGAATTCTATCAATCATTTAGGTCACCACTAAAGATTAGACAAGATTAAATTTGTTGCCCATTAGTGACTAGTCAATGTATATTATCAGTATGTACTAAGTTTTCTGTTTCATTTTGAAGGCTTTATGTAATCCTTTGTACTCACTGAATGATAGATTTGCAGCCACTAAAAATGGATATTATAAGTGAATGATATGAGAGTAGTGGTTTTACTTCAAAAACATATTCGAAGTATGTCCAGCATAGAATAGGACCCATACAGTAAGCAAGTCTGGAGTTGCGTAGACACATAGACAACAAACTAAAACCTCACGATTCATATGAAGAATTATCAAAATGTTAGAATCAAACCTAGAAAAAGTCATGAACATCTTTGGCAATCTCAGATACTTAAAACGATAATCAGTATGATGTTCCACCTTTCTAATTCAGTTAGGCAGCCAATATGAGTACGATCAAGCGATAGTAACACGTCACGAATTCACATAATAATCCGGCAAAACCTATAGTGACTGAAATGAAATAAAAATCTTGGCAACAGTCGAAACCCGTAGCTCACTTGGCTGAGCATCAGATAGGAAATCTGACGGACACTGGTTCGATTCTGGACACCATCCAAATCGTAATTTCATCTTCAGTTATCATCGAGTATCTTTAGAAACGTTGTCTTACTGACTCCTATCCGTAAGATGTTAGAAATCAACTACCGTAAAATATAGGCGATGCGACACAAATTCGATCTGAATGCGATTCGGAATATCTCTCTTCTTTCCAAAAAGTAAACATCTTCAGTAAACAAATAAAGATGGGGCTTGATACGAAGCTACCGAAAATGGAAATAAACATTTTAAGTAATAGGTTATTGGTGTGGAAGTGATTTATTTCAGATTTCGATTATGTTAATATGTGGACGAAATAACCTTATTGAACGATTCCGTATGTGATGTAGCCAATAAGATTGCGTTATTCTGTTTTTTAGCCTACAACATCCTTAAGTGTATGAGAATTGTATATATATATATATATATATATATATATATATATATATATATATATATATATATATATATATACAATATATATATATATATATATATATCCTATAGTTTATCAAATGAGGTCGTTCTTGTAGTCATAGGTCAGCCTTTGTCCTTTGTTACATACATAATTCAGTGAAGAATAGTGTTCTGAGGGAGAATAGTCATACTGGCATTCCGTTGTAGTGTATCACTGTGTTCAGTATTATTATTACCTACATCTTATTGAACTCGGTCACTTCAAGGCTAAATTTTGTTTTAAATTTGTTCAGACTTATATACACACTTACTTCAACTTGATGACATAGGATACCATGATTTTTAAATATATCATCATGACTAATACGTATACGCTCCAGATAGGTAACAACTTGCATAAATCCATCAAAATCGGTTGAAAGTTAGTATGTGTCTACAATGAAAATAAAAGTTACTTATACAGAAAGTGAAAGTATGAATAGATCACTATCAGATAAACTAAATAAATGCAGAACTGCATTCACAAGTGTATCGGTTCAAGTCTCCACACTTCCCAACAGTATACAAAGAACAGGTGGATAGAATAAGAGTGATGTCAAAGTAGACGAAGCGGTATGACAGAATAAAGAATTTGAAGATAACGGTTAGAGAGAATATTCAAGCTTTAGAAAACGTCAAGGAGAGAATACATCTGCGCCATTGTGGCCAATTTTTAGTCCTCAACCACTGATTCCCATCGTCTTCGGGACCGCAGCCATATGGCTTAGACCGAAAGCCGGAGACTTCATGAGGCTGGTGCCCCATCTTGTTATGACCATCCAGGACCCCCTTCCAACCTAGTCCAGCTTCCTTTAGAAGTGCACGTCTAAAATGGAGGTGGCTAAATGTGCTAAAAAACTTGATTCCGTTACAAAGATACTGTGAATTGAACAGTATAGTCATTTGCCCTTTTAATATTGATGAACAAAATAACAGATTTTGATGTTTTTACCTTTCGTACTTTTCAACTTGATACGACACACCATATCGTTTTCAGTTCATTCTTTCAGGTTCTCCCTACTATACTGGGAATATATTTCTAAAATGGAATGGAAATGACAATAATTATTGCTGAATCGTTGCCTAATCGTTCCCTATTAGACAGTTGGATACAATAGCGTCACCACGAATGGAATAAGTTGATGAAAGCTATGACAGCCTTTTGAATCTGCGCAGAGATTATTAGACAGAGCACTAGTGGTAACCAGTCCATTTGATTGGCACGAAATGCATCCCAAACACTCTCTAGTTGCCACTCAGCGTGCTCAGAACACTATGCATTTTTACAGTGTCTTAGTTTAACAGAATTACATCACCTGCATACTCTAAATCTGCCAAGGATTCTTCTGTGATAAGAATAATCGTTGTGAAATCAGATGATGGGAGGGAGACCTACATAAGTATGTCTGTGACAAAGTTGGAAAAGAATGGAGAGATTGAACACAGGTGACGGACAACACGGTGCACATAACTCAGCATGGGCTCTAACATGTCAACGGCTATTTGAGAACAGAACCTTCAACAGAATGATGTAGTTACTTGGCATTTTCTTCCTCAATAAGCAAAATGCAGAGTAATCCACTGTATACTTGTCTATATATTTGAAATGTGACAGGTGATTGAGGATTACGTAACGCAACTACTGATGTTTTATCATAGATAGCGTTATTTGCTTACAGCAGGACTATGGTGTAGGTAATCCAAAGATTGAGAGTGGATTCTCAAGTACAATAAGTTAATAAGTCAATGAGACTATGAATCTGAACTGATTCACCCATCTGGGAAATGTTACATATGCCCACCAATTTCTTAGCATGAAATATGACATTAACAGAAAAATGACTGAATTTAGTGAGAGTTAAGCATAAACAGATCAACAGAAGAAACCAACCCATGATGTTCTGTTACACTTGGTATAATCTGTGCAGAATAGTATAAGTTGCCAGGCTGGAATTTTTAAAAACATTCGAAGAATTTGTTTAAAATCGCCTTAAATCAATCACAACGGTATAGATGAAGTGACTTTTCATCTACCTCAAAATTCTTAGCAGTGTGTCACTCTTTACTAAGTCGTTCTGATTTGTTTTACATTCAGTCTGTTTACTTGATTTTCTGTATCGTTCTACCAATTTCTTCTGTGATACACCGAAATGTGCACTAAGACACCAATGTATACGGCACCTGTATATTTTTTGTCATTCTTACTTCAATGTATTTCAAATTTTAGGGAAATTAATGTGTTAGACAATCAAGATGTCCAATCTGGGTTCTGGTAACTGTGATATACTTATTTATACACAGATTGATGGGTCTGAAGGGAAAATTAGGCCTCATGATAACATGTAACATTACTGTACAAAAACATATTCAATGTCTTTGGTGAAAAACCTACTCATCTGGTATACATCTGAAGCTGTCTAACTGAAATACAATAATTTTTTCGTAAAATAGTCTTCATTGTAGATAATATGCAATAAAAAAGTGAAAGAAAGACGATGAAAATCAATGTAGAACCTCGTATACAAGTGCATCTGTTCAATGAGCCACACTTTATTCCCAGTAGTATACAAAAAACTGGTACCAAAGTAGACAAAGTGGTGAGAAAGAACAGATATTCTGAAGATAAAGGTTAGCACAGATAACCAAGCCTTAGAAGGACTGGAAGACTGAATAAATCGGTGCTGTTGTGGCCTATTTTTAGTCATGAAACCAAGAGTCCTAAGGTATCACAGAGTCTAGCCAGGCAATCTACACCTCAAATCAACAGTCAGACCCTTCATACACCAGACCAACATTTTAATCTAACCATCCTGAACCGTCTACCAAACTAAACTAACTTCGACAAGAATTGCAGGCTGAGGTAAGTGACGAGTCACCAGCAGATGTCTAAGCTATATCATTTGATGAAGGTTCATAACGTCATCGACTAACTTGCCTTCGTTGCCTAGTACTCTTCACTCAGCTTCAATACAACTCCAATAGGTCATAGAAACACCAAAATTGTTAACACACCTACAGACTAGTAATCCAGAAGTGGTTACTTAAAATTCTGCCATCATTCCTGTATGGGTTTAATTTAATCATCAAATAATTTTATAACTTACTTGAATCAAATCATCAAGTTGATTATTCATTGATACTAATGAACTGCATACAACTGCTATGAATGGTGTAAACAGTTGATTCAACATTCCTGTTATCTCATGGTATAATAGAGTCAATAATGGATCATAGTCAATTAAAATGAAGAAATGATTTGCGTTCGTTTCAACATTGTCATTGAAAAGACTTCCATACCTAAAAGTACTTTGTATATTATTAATCCAGTCAACAGAGACTTGAATTAAACGCTATATAGGGGGAGATTTTAGAAAAGAAAAAGAAGAAATGCTTGATTATGCAACCATTACACATCTGAAGATAGCTTCAACCACTTCTCATATACAAGTAATAAGGAAATTAATCACTTTGACTATCTGAGATAGCCGTGGTTTGATAGACTAGTATTGATAGTGGATGATGACCGAACCTGAAACGGAAATTTTGACTGCATGGGGACTAGAACCAGTGAACACTGGGTTTCCGACCTGGTACTGTACCAACTGAGCTACAAAGCCTGACTGCTGACCAGATTTTTATTTTACTAATCATTTGTTTCTCTTTGTAAATCTTTTGTGGTAAATACTAATTACCATAGGTCTAAACTTCAATGATCATCTGTAAAGTCCTCAGGACTACTTGTAGTGAAAATATCGAATTGGTCATGTTTTTCATTTCTGATTATTTGTCCATATGGCTGACTTATTGGTTTATACATACAGTCTGTAGAGACTCACTGGCTAATGCTGCTTGTATCGATTTTCATGTGTTTAGCAAGGCTTAATTCTAGAATTCATTGCTTTAAACGACAGACAATTATTTCCTGTGCAATCCACGTTTGAATGTAAAAACAGTTTTCATGAAGATTTGACTTCTTAGACGGAATAACCTCTACCCAAATATCAGCTCCTTAAATGGATATCTCGAAACTACGTTCGTATGATAGAACATTAGGTTCCAGTCTTAGTTGTGAAAGTAATGCGAGAGTGAAATATTATCATTATTAGTATTGATCCCTTGAGTTACTAGTGGAAAATAGGGATTCAGTAGAACATCTCCATTCCACTCTCTCCTCTCCAGTCTATTAAACCTGAATCCATCACTTCCCACAAGCTCTCATTTCTTCCTCACACAATCTCCTCCGTGTCACCCTCAAACGTCCAACTCGTTGTTTACCCTTCGGATTCCACTCGAAGGCCTGACCTGACGCCTTATGTCTCCGAATGCTCCTCCCAGTGTATACCCAATCCAATCCATCTCCAATACCTTATTCTGCATATTTATTGGGTGATAGGTTCTTGGTTGGTTCGTTACCACAGTGACTTCCTTGTTACTTATTCTTAATATTCTCGCCATCTGATCTTCAGTGTCAGTATCGAGTCAGCGTAGATGGCAGGTGTTGATGAATGTCTGAAGTTTGTTGGAAATGACTTTCGTGACGCGACAAGTCTCTCAACCATCATATAAAAGCACTGACATGACTGAAGTAGTGTTGAAAATATGCATGTTGTTCTCACTATATGGTGAGTGGAGTGCGGTGAAGTGGGTTAGATCTCCACACTGATTTCAGGTTAGTCTGGTGTCTTGGTGTTTTTCCCATCCTGTCTGCTTTGATATCGTCATCTGTGCCTGTGCTGCCTGTAGTTGAAATGATGCTGCCTAGGCAGGTAGGTAGGTAGGTGAAAGAGACTACTTCCTTTGTATTTCTTCCACTGATGGTGATTGTTGCTTGTTGCTGATGCCGTTGTTGTTGGTTGATATCTCCATCACCTCTATCTTCTCTACGTTCACTTGAAGTCCCATCTTTGCTAAATTGCATCTCCTATCAACTTATTGGTTTTTGCCTGTAGATCTTCGAGTTCGTACCACAAGACATTAGATGTAAATCATAATCGGCAAAATTCAAATCTTCTTCTGGGGTCTTTTCATCGGTCCAGCCAGCATATTCCCATCTTCTCGCTCCCCACAGAGTGCTGCATTATCCAGTCCAGTTCACCAGAACCAGGAAGATGATCGGTGGTAGTAGACAGGCAGCCTTGTCTCACTCCTTCCTGTCTTCACTTCGCTTCAAAGGCAACACTAAGCTTTCCATTGTGAACCACTTGTCATGTAGCATCATATAGCATAGCATATAGCGGTTGAATGACGTTGATAAGAGTTTGTGGCACTAAAAGCGTAGTGTGGAAGCAGCTACCTGCCAAATTACTTATCGGTCGACGCTGTCGCACGCCGGCCTTCTCAAAATCGATGGAGTTGGGGTGGAGAGTTGACTGTCATTCTATGCTCTGTTCTACGGTCATGATGATGCTGATACGTAGCGTTGCAATTTGACCGACACATGATTTGTTTTTCCTGAAACCAGCCAGCCAACCAGCCAACCAGCCAGGCAACCAGCCTGTTCCGGTCGTAATTTTGAGTGCAGTGCACCTCTTAGTCTCTCCAGGATGATGCTGCCTAATATTTTGCTTGAGATGGATGGCAGCATGATTACTCGCCAGTTCCCGCAAACACTCACGTCTCTCACCTTAGGAAGTTTGACAAGGTAACCCTTCTCACAATCATCAATCAGCAGGTCCCTGTCATTCATCCCATCACTCCTTAGAAACCTTGTGCAGTAGTGGTGTCAGCATATCCGCTGTTGTCTCTGCATCTGATTTCAGTGCTTCTGGAGGTATTCCATCTGGTCATACTGCTTTCCCGAATCTCAACAACTTTATGGCATTCAGGACTTCACTTCTGGTTTTGTCGGAGTGCCTGTGTTCACTGGTAGTTCTGTGACTGAGTTGCTGGTGGTATTTCTGGACGAGCTGCAGGTGGTTGTAGTGGTGGTCGATTCAAGAGTTTTTCTGAAGTGGTCAGCCCATTGTTTCTTTCTTTTCTCCTTTTTGTGGGTAACTAGCTTTCCTTCACTATCTTTCATTGGTTTCATCTGCGTTGGTCTCTCCCCTCCCACATGGTGACCTGGTTATTTGATATAATGTTGTCAGGTGTCTGTCTCTTCTACTTGCAGCCTGTTCTGCTTCACTTCCAAGTGTGACGAACAAGTGTCTTTTGTCTTTCAGCTCACTCCCCTTCACTCATTTGTCCAGTGTAGTGTTATATGTGTTGTGTTCAGTTCCTCTTTCCGTTGTGCATCCTTGCACTGGTTCATCTTCTGCTTCTCCACCTTAGCCTCCCTCGTCCATCAGCTTCCATGTGGTGTGAGTGATGGCAAGCCACATCTGCTCCCCCTCTCCATCTGATCTTGTGTCCAGTAGACTGACTGAATCTCCACCTTCTTCATATTCAGATCAAGTCGATCTGATTTTTAGTGTAGTGTACCCTGGTGAAATCTGGTGAAATCAAATCCATGTCTCTCACTGCCTTGTGAATATCCTTAAAAGTGTTTGTACACACTGTCCCGCCTCCAATCACCAAATCGTTGAACTCATAGAAGTTTGCAAACACCTCTCCATTCCCATTCATCATTTGACCGAGTACTTCTCGGCCAATGATGAGTTCTCTTCCTGTGTTGTCTCCTCCCAGTTTGGCATTCATGTCACCCATGAGAATGAATTTCGGTGTCTCCATCTGGGGTGGAGTCTTGTCGATTACTGATTGCAGTTGTCTATAGAATTCCTCTTTCTTCTCTTGATCCCCATTGCTTGTTGATGCATAGCATAGCATAGCATTGAATGATTGTGACTTTCCTTCGTTTTTGACTTGAATCCACCCTTGCTGTCATGATCTTGATCCTGGAGGAGGAGATTGGTTTCCACTGCATGAGAGCCTTTATACTGTCAGGGACATCATGATACGGAATCCGTCGGTGTGTTCTTGGTTGTTGTCTGGGTGACAATATCAGAGTAGATTACTGACTCTCCAGTTGACAATTTGGAGAGTTCACTTCCATTCCATCTGCAGATTCCTTGCAGATTCCTATCACTTCTATGCTAAACTGTCTCATCTCTTTGTCAATCTGGGCAGGCTTGCTAGGTCCAGACATTGTGTGGACGTTCCTTGTTTCCATGGTTACTTTCACCTTCATCGAGAGAAGACATATCGGCCAATTGACTTCCTGAATGCTTTCACCAACCGGCATCATTTTGTCTCTCCTATTCCAGCTAGGAATAGGTTTATTTTTATTTTTCATATTTTCCTCGTGTTTTGAAGTTTCTGTAGCGGTTGGATTGGTTTTACGGGGTAGGGTTGCTAGCTCTATGGCCAACCTTCCCTCTTTATCCGGGCTTAGGACCGGCTGGTAACTAGTGAACTAGTTAACTAGGTGATGTTAGCCTGAAAAATAGCACCTCACTTTCAACTAAACAAGAAGTATCTCACGTAAGTTTTCCCTTAATTAAGGCTGCATCAAGTTTTAGGATAGCATGAAGCATAATTTCATGAATTTTAGTATAGTGCTTTAACTAGGCTAAGACTCCAGTTTGTTCATGAAGCTGGAAAGTTTCGAGATTACCGGCACGACTTGCATGGACTATGAACTCCTTTTTTGATGGGTTATAAAGATTTAAGATCAGTTCTAAATTATCCTTCTGAAGTCATATACAAAACAGCATTTTGGAAAGTACAATCTTGGGTCCTTCACAATCGTCCCTTTATCACTATAAATTACTAAGTACAGTGAAATTTCTCATAGTTCCATGAAAATTAAGCCCATGCTAAGGGATGACAATACTGTATGCACACAGCAGACAACCGCATCATTTTCCACCTTGTTACACAAAATTATGGTTGATATTAATTGGCGTAGCCAAATATAAAGTGATACAGTAATTAATTATAGGTTCCAGCAACTACAACACTACGTTGACAGTTTGTTTTACGAGTTCACGAAACCACCTGACAATAGCTGTTGGGCTAACTAAACAATTTGGTTTGAACAGTTGGATCGGTTTCGGTGTATACCACTGAGAAGTTTCGTTTGAAAACAAAGTAACAGTTGTCTAGTTTTCAAATAGTCTACCGACCAGTCAAAGTGTTTCCTAACTTTTCATATCAAGCAGCACCGAATATCATGCTGTTAATCTTTTTTTTGCATAGTTTTATGGTCAACAGTGATTCATACTGTATCTTTAATTTTCACTCTTACCTTATTCTGTAAGCTTCAGTTACATGAATGTATACTTCAAGGCATGATCCATTTGTTATCATGACATGAAGTATTTTTGCTCATATTACAGCAATTTCTTGCAATCATGAACTAATCAATTTCAACGGGAATTTCAGAATTATGCTCTCCTCCAGTTACATTACCCATTTACAAATTTAAATATACTCTATATAACAAAATTAACCGAAGTTACCGAGTTGAATAAGATGTAGATAATAACGGTACTGAATACAGTGATAAACTAGGGCTGAATCCTGATATAACTATCGCCCCTCAGCGTGTTTATTCTCTCCTCAGTCATGCAATATCAAAAGACAAAGGCTGACTACAAGGACGACTTCATTTGATAAACTATAGGATATATATATATATATATATATATATATATATATATATATATATATATATATATATATATATATATATATATATATATATATATATATACAACTCTCATACACTTAAGAATGTTGTAGGCTAAAAAACAGAATAACGCAATCTTATTGGCTACATCACATACGGAATCGTTCAATAAGGTTATTTCGTCCACATATTAACATAATCGAAATCTGAAATAAATCACTTCCACACCAATAACCTATTACTTAAAATGTTTATTTCCATTTTCGGTAGCTTCGTATCAAGCCCCATCTTTATTTGTTTACTGAAGATGTTTACTTTTTGGAAACTGTTGGGCATTAAGTTCTGACTCAGTAACGCAGTTGTTATATCTACGCTACACTACCTGAAGGTCATGGGTTCAACCTCTGATGAGATTATGGGTCTACACTGCCGAGAAGTCCCATACTACGCCAAAACAGCTTTCCAATGCTTCCAGGTTTTCAATGGTCCCTAAACTGATGTCAGTCTACGACAAATGCCACACAGATATTAATACCAGATGTTATTTTGATAATAACCACCAAATAATCACTATTCACCATGAGTTATGTCGTGATGATTTATCAGTAAATAAACTATACAAATTAAAAGTGGAAGTTTTGCCCCATCTCACCTGATATTTATATAGTTCTGAATGACAATTATTTTTCCTTAATAATACCCTTAATTCATTGATTGTTAAATCTACATCTTTGATCCATTGCATAGATTGAATTACTTGTCTAGTTTTTTCGTGTATTGTCTGACTCCAAGGCATCATTAGAGTTTCATAAAGCTGCATAGATTCACTTCTATAGATAATAAATTAATACATAAATGAAAGAAGAAGAATAAAGCATCATATAAACCTTCTTAAATCTGGTTTTCTTGAGCTATGCTACCGCTTACTTTCGATATGAAATTAAAAGATCTCATTATTCTTGTGGTTATCATCAATAAAAAAAACAGTTTCCAATCTAAAAAGTGAACAGCCTAATTTCCTATCATTCTATATGAGGAATATCATGTGAAATATGCCTTGCACTTGACAGCTTCAGTTCATTTTGTCTTTTTTGTCTGTTATTTAAAAATTTAACAAAATCATTTGCTTAAAACATAAAGTTGGTTTCTTTTGCTTGTGAAAGAAGCTGTTTTTACTGATATTATTATTAATTATTGGGTTTTAAAAGGCTTTTAACATATTATATGAAAAGTACTAATGAGTATTGATAGATATTGGAGTGTCAACATGACAAATCTCAGCCATATAACACATGTATAAACCAGAAAAACTAAACTTCTGTACACAACGATGTAAATATGCACATAATAGTTGTACATCATTATTAGTTCACAATAGCTGAACATCAAACAATAACAAGTGATTAGCGATGAATACTGAAACGTCTGAAATGATCCAGTATGCTGTGCATTATTAATTTAAAAGTTAGGCATAAATATTAAATTCTAATCTTTCTTGGAATGTGATAAGATTGATGCTAAGTATAGTAGTAAGTTGACCTCCTCTGCCCAACCTATAGACGGCTGGATAGGTAGACTGTAATACACAGTCCAAGTAATAGATGTGGTTTACTGTCAACTACTGTTGTCTATTTTCTACCTAAAACTTTAGAATATTTAATTTTTCTATTGCTTTCTTTCTTCTCCTGATTTATATCTTTGTTCTTGTCCAGTTTAACAAGCTTCAGTGCTCATCGGTAACATAGTATGGTAACTTGAACCGCGGAAGTATTGTAGTGAACATTACTGATAACAATGGATATAAGTAGTATATGTTGAGAGGGCAGCAGAAATCAAAGACAATTACCAGCAATGGATAAAGATTCTGCCCACAGAAACGCAATAAAAAAAGAGGGCGTATTGAGAGCAAAGCAAGATAAAAGCAGAAGAGGAAATAAGGCACATTATGCGAATGACTGTCTTAGTGCAAGATATACCGTATTTGATGACTACGGTTCAAGATGTCAATAATGAACATCCCTTCTTTCATCTCTGTCTTCTCGTTTCCTTAAGTATTATGCGTAAACTTCTGTTTATATCTGTAACACTTAGTATATTTTGGGTTTCGTGCTTTTTTATAATAAAAAGAAAATATTTGTATAAAAATTGTCACTAATGACCAGTAGTAAGTTCTGGGTTTGTTTTCAACCTCTCATTGACTTACTGTTGCTCGAGTATCGGCAAAATTTGAAATTGGGCAGCATTATCAAATGAAGGGAAGAAATTTTGGCCACTAATGTTCAAATGAGAGTGAGATGAATGCCAGTTAAACGATGATAATTCATTGACATATGGTACACATTTCGGCAAGAGATCTGAAAGATAATTTTTCATTAAATAAAAAGTATTTAGCGGTAAAGAAACTGGTTATGTTAAATTTTATCTTAGAAACAATACTAGGCTAGACAACTCATGAGATATTAGGGTGTTTTTTTGTTTATTAAAGAGGGTAGTGTCTAACTGTTCAATGTTGAATAAAATGTGAATATGCTTTAAAATGAAAGTAAACCTTGGCTGTAAAAAGACTCAGACTAATAGCTTTCAGGTTGTTGATTGTGTCCTCCATCGATGAAGATTCACTTCAGTCAGTAATTGCCTAGTTACCATAAAAATAAGTATTGTGTAATTGTCCATCTTTCCTTAAACTATTTACCCGAGTATGTTCATTTCCATTAATTTAAATTCATATGAATTGAAAATAAACTTTGACTGAGTGATTATCAACTTTAACTAAGTGGAAAAAAGGAAATAAGGTCGACCAATGTGACCCATTATAGCAACAAAGGAATACAAGTATCCAACAACAACTGATACTCATTGCACAAGAGGTAGGTCCCGTTCACCAGTGACCTAGTGGATAGCACTTTAGCATTTGAAGTGATGAGTATTGGATTCAGGTGTCAATGGGGACAACATCACTCACTGGGGTGCAGGTATACTCACTTAATAAGCTGCAAATTGGATGGAACGAGCATCTTGGATTCCAATACTAGCCACCAAACAAAAAATAACGTAATGACTAATCGGGTAGTATTGAGGCATCCTTGTGTGAGCCTATCTGTCAACAGGCATAGAGCGATTTGACCCAGTATAGCAACTGGAGGTTACAAGCAAACTAACAGCAAGGAAATAAATTCATGATTAAGTATCCAAATGTATGTAACACAAGACTTATGATGCAGAAAATGCAATCAACTATAGAAATCTCTTACGATCTCAGGAACTTTTTCAGCTGAAGATTTTATTTCCCTCATGATAAACTACTAAAAGTGATAATGACTTTTCAATTTTTGGTTAATCTTCTTCATATTTGTGCTTAGTGTCTGGCAGAGGAATCCATAAAGTGTGTTTCTTTCTCTTTGAGAACTCATTATCTCAATGTGTCTGCTTCAGTGCGAGGAACATCACTGCATAGGAAGAAGAGGAATCTAGCTGACGAGTCTCGAATAAGACGAAACGCACGTACGCGATCTAGCTGTTATTATTATCATTATGAGGCTGAAATACCCGGCAATTCTGAGGCAGCTACACAGAATCCCACGTACCAATACAAGCCGGTCATTTCGTCCAAGCTATAGAATTCAACTGTTTATTTATTAGCATGAAATTACATAACTTTAATTGCCAATTAAATCATCAGATATTTTTGGTATCATCCCATTCACTAGAAGTCTTGATACTTATCATTCCACTTTGTTTTAGATATAATGATGGTGTGGAAACCGACACCCAAAAGATAAACAAGAAAAAGAATTCGGGATAATTGAGAAGGCTCTTATAGAGAATGAATATCCGAAGAAATTCATCATGAGGCATGAAAAAGAATTTGTTGAGAGACCAAAACATCCAACTGTTGAAAAGAAGCCTGTGTTCCTTCGTCTAACATTCAAAAAGTGATGAGACATTTCAAAGAATGAACAGAAGAATAAAAATTGCACTGAGAAGGAGCTGTCCGCTGGCAGATTGATCTCAGTTTACAATACATTATGCTAAATAACACAGTAAAAAGTATACAAATATCCATCTCACGTCATTTCAAACTGTGTATACATAGGATGAACTGAAAGAAAGGCGTCTACTCGACTTTATGAGCACATTCCGACAAATCTGTGTCTGAATGGTAGCAAGGTCTTTAAAAGCGCAATCGTCAGATATCTGATGGAAACAGGATTTCAAATAGACGTCTCTTAATTCTTCAGGATAATCAACAAACAAAGAACACCATGCTTATTACGGTTTGCTATCAAACATTTTCAACCTGACCTATGTACTCAGCAGGAGACTATAGTTAACTTTTCTCTACCCTGGTGAGTGTATGTAATTTTTGCATGTGCATGTACATAGTCTTCCATTTTCTTTTAATTGTATCATCTCGTTATCAATAACTTAATGACTGTTAATCACTCAACGATTTCCAGTTTTTAAAGTTACTTTAAAGTCACTCAGCTTTAAAGGCCACCTTAGCAACAACTGAAATAACCAATCAGACTCCCGTATTTTTTTTAAATCTGCCTTTCCAGGAGAAATGAAGAAGGCTGATTGGTTATTTCGATTGTTGCTAGGGTGGTCTTTAAAATCGCTCTCAAAGTCACTCCACTAGAAGCACCTAGAAATAAAAACAGTGCTTGATTTTCGTAGGGTTAAACAATCTACCGATAAGCTTGAACGATCAACCCAATAGTACAAAAGTGTCAATGAAATTATCATACTGATGTAGTAAAGTAAATAAGCTAACTGATAGTCTTGTACAAACAGCGCATAACAGTAGTCCAGTGAACAGATTTTCAAATATTTCCCAGGCCTTGACAACTATTTTAGACATCTGCCATCTACAAAACCGGCTGGTTCAATTATCATTCTGTTACTGTGAAAAGCTTTAGAAAGCAGCAATTGCTAATTCCATATAAGGTTTGTTTAGTTGGTTTATAATACACAGTCCAATGCAGTATTATTTATGCGATGACGTTTTGAGCATAAATTATTGCTCATAATCATATCAATGTAACCACACTCCTTTCGACATCTAATTTCTATAGTCTATCGCCTCATATTCTTTGTTTGTAGTTATATAAAAATTTCCCGATTTTCCGGCATAGAAGTTGCGTCATTCCCATTACATGTGACGGCTTTTGGCTCGATCAGCAGGGATTGAGTAATCAATCTCTCTCTTCTTTCCACTTAATCATACTAGACTGAAGTGCTATGGTTTTATTCCACCCTATTACGTAAGTGCATTACTACATACATCGCAATAGTCGAGTGTTTTCTAGATTATTGATCATACTGAGATTCATCATTCTAGATTACCCTAAATTCTTATGTTCCAATCACCTCTCTGACCCTAATTGACCAGTTTGAGGCGTTCAGTTGACTCCACAGTCATGACATGGTATTTGGGTGGTCAAATCATTTTAATTAACCGCATTAGTTTGTTCCTTAAGCCAACGTAGCCTATCTCTAACTTAGTTTGTAGGTTTAGATGCCACCCTAATTGTTGAGGATCCCACTTTAAGTTTCTGATGTTCCTTCCTCACGGGTCAACATAATAGAAGCTTTGAACTCTATTCTACTGGAGTTGTTCTTACTATTCATATTCATGCCACTACCACTACAACTATTTCGTCTCTTGTGTTCACAAGAATTTCTGAACAAACTCTAAAAAATAATTATTAGTAGTGCTTTCCCCGTGTGTTTCTATTCCTTAATTCTTTGCATTGTCTAATGATTATTTTGGCTCTATTATTTAAATAACCTCGCCTGGTTAACTAGTTCACTAGTTACTAGCCGGTAATAAGCCCGGGTAAAGAGGGAAGGTTGGGCATAGGGCTAGCAACCCTACCCCGGAAAACAAATCTAACCACTAAACAAACTTCAAAGCACAAACAAAATATAAAAAATGAAAACAAACTTATACCCCGCTGGAATCGGAGAGGCGAAATGACGCCAGTTGGTGAAAGCCTGCCTTCGGCAAGCCGATTGGCCGATGTGTCTCCTCTCGATGAAAGCGAAAGTAAACGTGTGGACATGGAATGTCCGTACGATGTTTGAACCCAGTAAGGCAGCCCAGATTGCAAAGGAGATGAGAGGGTATAACATCGAAGTGCTTGGGATTTGCGAAAGCAGATGGAATGGAGTGGACTCTCCAAACTGTCAACTGGAGAATCAATAATCTACTCCGGTCACCCAGACGACAACCACGAGCACACTGAGTTATGGAGTGGCTATCATGATGTCCTCAACAGCATCGAAGGCTCTCATGCAGTGGGAACCAATCTCCTCCAGGATCAGGATCATGACAGCAAGATTCAACTCAAAAGGAAGGAAGGTCACAATCATACAATGCTACACTGTGTACCTACAAATAATGCAGAGCAAGAGAAAAAGGAGGATTTCTACCGACCACTTCAAAATTCTCTTAAATCGACCACTACCTGCACGTCGTCCAGAAACACCACCTACAGTCCAGCCACAGAACTACAAGTGAACATAAATCCTCCAACGAAAATGGAAGTCCTGAACACCATAAAACTACTGAAATGTGGGAAAGCAGAAGGACCAGACGGGATCCCACCAGAAGCGCTGAGAACAGACGCAGAGACAACAGTGGACATGCTCACACCACTATTGCAGAAGATATGGAGGGAAGAGAAGGTACCTGCCCATTGATTGGAAGAAGGGTTACCTTGTCAAACTGCCGAAGAAGTGAGACCTCAGTGTTTGCAAGAACTGGCGCGGAATCACTCTCCTGTCCACCCACAGCAGGCAAAATATCAAGCCACATCATCCTGGAGAGGCTAAAGGATGCACTGGATTCAAAACTACGACCGGAACAGGCAGGCTTCAGAAAGTACAAATCATGTGCAGACCAAATTGCAACGCTTCGCATCATCATAGAACAGAGCATAGAATGGCAATCAGCTCTCTACCTCAACTTCATCGACTTCGAGAAGGCCTTTGACAGCGTCGATCGAGAAGTAGTTTGGAAACTGCTTCACTACTATGGAGTACCGCAAACCTTTATCCGCCTCATTCAGCAACTATATGAAGATGCCACATGCCAAGTAATTCACAGCACAATGGGAAGCTCAGCTCAGTGATGCTTTTGAAGTGAAGACAGGAGTAAGACAAGACTGCTGCCTACTATCCCCCATGATATTCCTGATTGTGGTGGACTGGATCATGCAGCAAACAGTGGGCAGCGAGAAGAGGGGGATACACTGGACTGAGGAAAAAAACCTAGAAGACTTGGATTTCGCCGATGACTTGTGCCTAATGTCACATAAACTTGAAGATCTGCAGGCAAAAACTAACAAGTTGGCAGAAGAGGCTGGGCAGTGAAGACGGGGCTTCAGGTGAATATAGAGAAGACAGAGGTGATGAAGATACCGCACCACCACCATCAACAACAACAACAAGCTCCAATCACCATCAGTGGGAGAAACTTAAAGGAAGTAACCTCCTTCACTTATCTAGACAGCACTGTTTCAACTACAGGCGCCACAGACACAGACGAGGATGTCAAGGTCATAATCGGAAAAGCAAGACAGGCGTTCATTAGCCTGAAACCAGCATGGAGATCTTCTGCACTCAGCATGCGGAACAAGATACGGATTTTCAACACCAACGTCAAGTCAGTGCTTTTGTATGGTTCAGAGACTTGGCATGTCACGAAAGGGATTTCCAATAAACTACAGACATTCATCAACAACTGCTTACGCTCGCTACTGAAGATCAGATGGCCAGAAAGAATAAGCAACAAGGAGCTCTGGGAACGAACCAACCAAGAACCTATCACCCAACAAATATGCACTGGAAGGAAGTGGAGATGGATTGGGCATGCACTGAGAAGGCCGACTGAGGACATCATGCGTCAGGCCAGACCCTCGAGTGGAATCCCTATGGGAAGCGATGAGTTGGGCGTCGGTGTTGAGGGTGACATGGAGGAGATGGTGCGAGGAGGAAATGAGAGGTTGTGGGCTGTCGTGGAACCAGGTTCAAAAGATCTCAGAGAACAGAGTTCACTGGAGACGTGCTGCTGAAGCCGTATGTTCCACTAGGAACCCAAGGGACTAATAATAATTATTATTATTATTTAAACACTTAAATTAATGCGCCTTAACCAACACTGCATGAGATGACCTGAAGTCTAGGTACCTGTTATAATATGCTGGTTTCCTGTGGATGGTAGCATTTAAACCACTATCTGTTCTTCGTTTTACTCTATAATCTAACATTGCTAATCCTCCTTGTTCATTTTCTACCTCGTAAGTGAACCAGATTGCATCTACTACTTAGTTTTAATGTGTGATGAAACTGTCGATACCTTTCAATTTCAACACAATAAGTGTTTTATTCACATGTTTGTAAAACCGTTTTTTCTCAACTATCCGTAGATGTACCTCCAAGGGTTAGGGATTGGAAAATAGAAATTTCGCCAAATGTAGAATAACAGAACCCAATAAGTTTAATAATCTCGAAAAAAAAAGTCAATTGCAATGCATGCTTTAACGCACAACCACACAATAGGATGGGATAAATCCATTACACTTAAGTCCAGTGTAGTTAGATGGAGAGAAGTGAGAGATTGATTACTGAATCTTTACTCGTCGAACCTATACCCAACACATGTAAAAATTTCCATCATGTAAATTAGAACAAAACATATATTATTATTTACTATTTTTCCCTTGGGTTCCGAGTGGAAGATAGGGCTTTAGTAGCACATCTCCATTTCATTCTCTTCTCTGCAGTCTTTTAAACCTGGCACCACCACTCCCCACAAGCTTTCATTTCTTCCTCACATCATCTCCTCCATGTTACCCTCAGCTGGGACGCCCAACTCATCGTTTCCCCTTTGGATTCCACCTGAGGGCCCGGTGCATGATGTCCCCAATCGGCCTTCTCAGTATATGCCTAATCCATCTTCACTTTCTTCTGCATATTTGTTGAGTGATAGGTTATTGGCTGGTTCATTCCCAGACATATAGGTGAATAATATTGTTTTCAGTTGGATCGTCTTCAGGCTTTACTCTAGTAGAAATAGCCTAACAGAAGTTGGAAATATGGAGCATTGGTTTCTGACCCAGTGGCTCAATGGTAACACGCCGGCCGCGGAACTTGAAGGCCGTGGGTTCGATCCCTGGTGGGGTCGTGGGCGAGCACTACTGAGAAGTCTCATACTAGGATGAAACAGCTACCCAGTGCTCCCAGGTTTTCTTTGTTCCTCCAACTGATGTCAGTCTACGATGAATAACAACTTGTAATATATATAATTAAACTTACTGTATTTGTTTAGGCTCTGTTTATCCACTTACCTCGCCCTTCCCTATTACGTAACTTTTATTTTCACAAGCTTTTGACCCATTTTGATTATCAGAGTGTCTACATATTCATGCTTCTTTCTTGGTTCTTATCATCATTATCATCTATATTGCATGTAATTTAGTCAACGTTATCACTTTTATCATTATAATAACATATTACATATCATTCTAGCTACCAAGCATAGTAACAAAATAACAAACGAAACAAAGATGAATAAATAAAAATAACCTTTTTCGAATTTCTCGTATGTAGGCACATACTGATTAACCATCTCACGAATGTATATATTAGTTTCTTCTAGTCCAACAGGGTTGATTATATCCCAAGGAATAGTAGTTTCATGTTTTTGAGGAGTTGGGTCAATAAGGTGAGAATTTTTGTAAAAGTTTTGAACAACTGAATTAGCATAAAGTTGATTTTCATTATATTCATTGATTTTTTCAGCCTCATCCTTCTCACTAAAGTATATCTGAGGCAATTCTTTGTCTGATATAACTTTATTTAAGTGTAAAGAATGTTTAAATTGCTCCAACGTCAACTTGAATATGGTTAATAAGGTAGATGATTGAGGCCAGAGAAGTAGTTGCGTCTGTTCGTCATTTTCAGTAAAGGAGTCTGTGATTGAATATACAGTCAACAAAATTGAAAACAATAAGGTATTGGCTTCATGAAATGGTTATATTTAAGCTTAAGTTATGAACTGAAGTCACCTCAAGGTTATGTGTAAGTTCGATTAATAATAATCATACTCTTAAGGTTTATAATAATAATAATAATAGTCCCTTTATTCCAAACAATACGTGTAATAGTAAGGAATTCTTAGAATGTAATTTTTCAACAAATTCACCCCTAGAACAATACTTTCAGATGAAATGGTTATTGCATTGGAATGATGTTAATAATGTGAAATATTCGACTAGTTCTAGATGAGCATTTGGTCTATAATGAAGGACCAACAGAAACGCAAGTGTAATGTTGGTGGTGGTAGTGGTTCATACAGACGATACAAAAATCTGCAACTCAAGCTAAGCATCTAACGGATAGACATATGATGTACTTTTTTGAGCCAAAAAGCCCATTTCCGCATAACTTAACATTTTTTTCTCTGCTTTGTTAGTGACTCGAGAAACGGAGAGTAGAAAACAGTTTAAAAATGTGCAAGAGTACACGATACATTCAAAGGACATACTTAAATGACTCAAACAAATTGAAAGGAAAGAATATGATGAAAAATGTTCAGTGGATAAATGTGGTAGCCTAATGTTCAAGTAAGCTAAATTAAGCCGCATAAATTTCTAATATTCTTAACACACCATAAATTGGTTTTGACAATAAAACGGATACATTAATTTTTACGTGCATAGTTATTGTCATATATGCATCTTATAACAGGTTAATGTTGTAATGCAATGAAAAGGTCAGTGGAATCTCTCAGTTTTATTTAAGAATATATAGTACAGCGAGTAGAATATTTAGGTTTCATGAAATCTAAGTTGATGAACTCTTTACTAGATTTAAATAATCTATACATTTTAATTGAGCACACTTCTGTGGTATTTGAGACTAAATTTCTTTCAGAGACTAAGAATCGACTTATTAAGTATATCTCATCAATCAATAAACTGATAAAGGAAAGCAAAATTGGCTGCCAAACTGCAGTAACTTTTGAGAGCAGACTAAGCAACAAGAAAATCTTAAGTAAATAATTCCTATAAAACAAAATAAATACGAACTAAATCATCCAATTCTATTGTTCATCAGTATATGGGCATGTCCTATTTGAAAACGGATCGTGATAGTTGTAGACATTTAGAACATATTTGTTTTGAATGTCTTGGAAGAAGTTGAGTACCTAGTCTAATTAAATTATTTTAAGATTATATTTTAATATAATCTATCCGTGTTTAAAAAAATCCAAACAAAAACAGTAAGAATCATAGTATTTCCAAAATATTCAACAAAGACATATTCAGAAATTTCAATATCCAATCAGTTCGAACAAATCAAAATCAGGTGAAAAGAAGCACTCAACAGAAACAAGAATGGTATGTAATTTATTTATCAAACGACTGAATGAGCATGAAATAATGCTAATAATAATGATAATGGCTTTATTCTGAAAGCTATTTCGGGAATACTCTAAAGAATTTTCACCATGTCATATAGCATCAGTTAAACAGAAATACTGTACATGTATACATAACAAAATGAAATAAGTAGAAATTATACATAAAAGATATGAATATTCACTCCATCTACAACTTTCTTGAAAATCTATAGTTAACTCAGGTAGATAATCACATTAGCAATTAGATTCATAATATGTAAAAAGTAACACGCTCATCTTCAGTTAGTTTGCTTTCGTAAACAGAAATTGACTACTTACTTCATTTCTAACACTTTCTTCATCGCACGGGAGATGAACTAAATACAACACTGTAGGATTTTTATATTTTGTAGTACATGCATAAAGTTTTATGTACTTGCTCCTTGTCTTTCCAGATGACCAAAATGCAGAGAGCATCCAGTGAAGAGGATGCTAGTCATCTGATAAAATAACTCATGCAAGATGTTTACATGAGTTAATATGTTTGTCTACGACTGTTTTTATCAGAAGATTTAGAGATGCATCACTAGTTCTGTTGACAATCTTCAAAGTTCTATACAATATAGTATCGTCTTCTTTCGGCAACCCAGGAGAGAACAAAGGAGAACAGTAGAAGAGAACAGATAAGACGCAGGAGTTCATAAAACACAAGAGGAGAGACTGAGTTATATCAGATACTCTCAGCTTCCTAATCTAAAAAGTTAGGCAGAGAATTCTTCTGGAAATTAGTGAGATATGAGAAGACCAGGAAAGGTACGAAGAAAAACACACCTAGATAAATCACACTTGTAACATTCTCTAATGCACAACTACCAATAAGTCAGGAATCATGAGAACTAAGCAGTTTACATAGGTTACGTTCACGTCTAAAACTGAAGTTTATAGTCTGACAATTTGAAGAATTAAGCATAAGACCATTCTTGGAGGACCATCGTCTAACAGTAGATAGAAAATTATTCACTTGTGAGCAATCTGTTGAAAAGGAGATAGGAGTGGAAACTGTTAGGTCATCAACATACTTAATGGAATTGATACCAGCTGAAGATGGTAGGTCATACAGAAAGAATGAGAAAAGATAAGCGGAAAGGATAGCTCTTTAGGGAACTCCAGCCACGGCAAGCAATAAGGTGGAGCACTCCCTCTGTGAACAGTGTGTTGTTTCCTACCAGAGAATGAGAAATGCAGCCAGCCGATTACTGAAGAAAGTTTTAGTCTATCCATAAAGCCCACAAAAATGAAAGAATTAGCCCCAGTTATGGAACCAGTATTATTACTTATATCAAGACAAGAAGCACATGCAGTACGCTATAAGGTCAGAACTATCATAGCGAATCTGAACCCTAATACTCCGAAGCTAGCGAAACCAGAATGACTTCTTTTGAAAACATTATGGACCATTGGATTCCGACCCAGTGGCTCAATGGTAATTTTCTGGCCATGGAACCTAAAGGTTTTGGGTTCGATCCCTGGCAAGGTCGAGTCATGGCTGTGTGCTGGTGAGTAGTCTCAGGACTAAACAGCTGTCCAGTGCCCCCAGAATTCCAATATTTGTCCAAATGATGTCAGTCGCTGATGAGTACAAACTTGAAAAACCACTAAATCCCCACAAACCCCTAAATTCAAAACATTAATACCTGACAGATCAAATCATAATGGAAGCAGACAAAGGTGATGTCACTATAATTTTGAATAAAAAAGATTATGAAAAGAAAGCATTGAAGAATTTAGAAATACGACCGTATAAACTTATCCCTAGTAATAAACATTAAAGTTGAAACATGCAAAGTATTTAAAGAAGAAAAACTCAAATTCGATACGAAAAAATCTCCTCACGCATATAAACCCTACAGTAGTCGCAATTCAGTTCACATACGAGGCAGAAAATGAACAAGGAGAGTTTACTACGTTGGACCTCAGGGTAAAATGAAGGTCAGATGGTAGTTTGGATACTACTTTCTACAGGGAACTGACACATTCTAACAGGCATCTAGACTTCAGTTCGTCTCATCCAGTGTCAGTTGAGGCAGATTTAGTCAAATATCTAAATGATGGAGCTAGAAAACTGACTAATCACTGCAAGGACTTAAACATGGAACTGAAGCATGTGAAAGGAACCCTAATACTTAATAGTTATCCTCAACAGTTTGTGAAGAAATTAGTACACACAACAAACGAAATAATAACGACAACAAAAGTAAAGTAGGAAGGAGTTCAAAGCCACCATTGTGTTACCATTTAAGGAAGAAACATCAGAAACTAAACGTGGAATCCTCAACAAAGCTGGAATTAGGGTGACATTTAAACCTACAGAATCACTCGACCAGCGTAAAGATCCGATGAAACCAATTAAACAAAATAATCTAATCTGTCAAATTCCATGTAATGACTGCAAGGTCAATTACATAGGTCATACTAGTCAATCAGGGTCAGATAGAATAGCGGAAAATAGGAATTTAGCTAAATATTGAATCATAGAACCGAATGAGACCAATAATCTAGGAATAAATAGGTTATTCCAATCCATGTATTAACACACAATCACACAATAGAGTAGGACAAAACCACTGTACTCAAGTCCCAACTTTTATTAACCTCATTCAACAACCATATTCTATTTGATGCTACATTCCAAGTGATTCACAATGGAAAGTTCAGTGATGCCTTTCAAGTAAAGACAGGAAGGAGTGAGACAAGGCTGCCTGTCTACTACCACTGATCATCTTCCTGGTTCTGGTGAACTGGACTGGATAATGCAGCACTCTGTGGGGAGCGAGAAGATGGGCACACTCTGGCTGGTCCGATGGAAAGACCCCAGAAGAAGATTTGAATTTTGCCGATGATGATTTATGTCTAATATCTTGTGGTACGAACTCGAAGATCTACAGGCAAAAACCAATAAGTTGACAGGAGATGCAATTTAGCAAAGATGGGACTTCAAGTGAACGTAGAGAAGATAGAGGTGATGGAGATATCAACCAACAACAACGGCATCAACAACAAGCAGGAATCACCATCAGTGGAAGAAATACAAAGGAAGTAGTCTCTTTCACCTACCTACCTACCTACCTGCCTAGGCAGCATCATTTCAACTACAAGTGGCACAGGCACAGATGACGATATCAAAGCAGACAGGATGGGAAAAACACCAAGACACCAGACTTACCTGAAATCAGTGTGGAGATCTACCCCACTTCACTGCACTCCACTCACCATATAGTGCGAACAACATCCATATTTTCAACACTAATTCAGTCATGTCAGTGCTTCTATTTAATATTTGAGAGACTTGTCGCGTCACGAAAATCATTTCCAACAAACTTCAGACATTCATCAACACCTGCCATCTACGCTGACTCGATACTGACACTGAAGATCAGATGGCGAGAATATTAAGAATAAGTAACAAGGAAGTCACTGTGGTAACGAACCAACCAAGAACCTATCACCCAATAAATATGCAGAATAAGGTATTGGAGATGGATTGGATTGGGTATACACTGGGAGGAGCATTCGGAGACATAAGGCGTCAGGTCAGGCCTTCGAGTGGAATCCGAAGGGTAGACGACGAGTTGGACGTTTGAGGGTGACACGGAGGAGATTGTGTGAGGAAGAAATGAGAGCTTGTGGGAAGTGATGGATTCATGTTTAATAGACTGAAGTGGAGAGAGTGGAATGGAGATGTTCTACTGAATCCCTATTTTCCACTAGTAACTCAAGGGATTAATAATAATAAATACTCAAGTCCAATAAAATTAGGTGCAGAGAGAGGGAGATTGATTACTGAATCTTTGTTCATTGAATCAACATGCCACTCATGTGACAGAAATGACGCCACACCTATACCAGAGATATGAAAAGTTTTACTATTAAAAGAAAAACCAATAATATGAGGTGACATGAACATAAAATTTAAATGTCGAAAGTGGTGTAATTACATCGGTAGGAATATACGCAATAATTTATGCTCGAAACATTATCGCGTAAATAATACTATGTCAATGTGCATTATAAATCAAATAAACAAATCTAATTTGGAATTAAATTTTGTTTTAATTTCCTAAACACACTGGGATTATATTAAAATATTCTCTTATAAGGATAACTTAACAGTTTCATGCTAGTCGATTCTACAATCGTCTTACTGTACAACATTGTATATTAAAAGTAAACATTTTGAATTTAGACAACTGCATGAGTAATAGTTGAAAATATTCGCTCAGTATTATTTCTTTAATACAAGAGAATGGTTAAGATAAACACATATTAAGTTAGAAGGATATACACACTTTGTAACCAGCGTCTGATTTTCACTTAACTGTAACTAAAAATAATGACTCTTTACATAAGTATATACTTAGTTTGTACCTGACAAAGAAATGGCATGTAACTTACAACAGATACTAAATTAGTTCCAAGCTTAGTCCTTAATGGGCAGATTCAAACTTATCTTTGCTTCTGTTGAATTTTTGATGATGTTTTCATGAAAAGTGTAACATATAGGTTCCATATTTCTTCTTCTACCCTTTATGCATTTTTTTGAAATCAATATAAGTAGTAGAAAACTTAATAGGAAAGCCATTGTCCTATAAATGTGTGTTACTGAAAAATAAAATCGAATTCCTTTTCTAGGGATTTAAGAACAACCGCGTAAAGTGAATCATCACTGTGCAAGTTATATGTAAATTCAATTGATATGGTATTTCTGCAGAAAGTAAATCGAGTGTGAACCATATTGGGTTGCATTTTACTTCTGACCTTTGTTGGTCGTCCCATATTTTATTGACTTGTAAAAAAATCTTTCGTTTAACTTCTTACATAAAGAAACTGAGGCTTTCTTGGTATAACTCAACTGCTTCTTTTACAATTATTAATTCCTGCATTTGACCTATTCTTCTCTATTGTTTCCCATTAATCTTTCCTGGTCTTCTAAAAAAGGACTATATTATGTTGCGTAGAGCTTTGAAGACCGTCAGTAGGATGAGTGTTGTGTCTCTGACTCAACTGATTAACACTGCAGTTGATCGACATATAAATTCCTGCAAGCAACTAACTGCAGCAATTTTAACTGACAGTGAGCATCCACTTTATTTACAGCTCTCTCCATATATCTCCTCAAGGAGGACAAGGACAGACTACATAAGACTGTATGCTCGTACAGCTAAGAATTCTACTGTACCTTACCTGGCATACATTTTGTGAGGAAAAAAGTGTTAGAACAGAAATCACACATCAACTTTGTGACAGTTAAGAATCTCATTTCAATAATTTAACTTACAATGCAAAATTTCCTCGTTTTTAATATTCTTCACACAACTTAAATTTTTATAATAAAACAGTTCGAAAGACTGCAAAGTAGTATGTATATACTTATATTTCCCTGTTATAGCAATATACATTACGCCAAGAATTCTAAATTGTACCACAAATTGTTTGGAATAAAGTGAATTATTATTATTATTATTATTATAATCCACGCCAATATTAACAAGTTTTTCGTTGGTAACCATTCATCCAAAATCATAAAGTATAATCTTTGACTTTTAAAAATGCTTCAGTAGTCAACAAGATACACCAGTGAACAGCACAAGTATTCAGAAACCACCAAAATTGAATAGATATTTCTCTTTCTGAAGACTAAGCTCAACCACAGTGAAATCCGATCACCTAGTTATATACTCGTAAAATTAGTTGATCTGAAGGCGAGATTAACATACAGATACACAAGTACATAAATTTACCCGGGCTATATAGCAAAATGGTTACTGAAGATGATGAATTACAATCATGATTTAGGTAACTGAAGTATCTTCTAGATACAGAATCCCACTCATTTTTATAAGCGTTATTTGACCCCATATATTATAGAGAATAAGAGCAAAAGTTGACAGGTGGCTTTCCAATGTTACCTTCAACTATGTATATCAATGTACGTGTAGCTGGTAAACCAGATACATTTACAGAAGAGAATGAAGGAAGTACCTAAGACTTTCTGAACACATTCTAAAGAGTCTATGACTAAGAGGTAGTAACATCTTGAACAATACAATCACTCAGTATCTAAACGACACTGAACATGCTCTTTTCAAATGTAAAGAGTGGAATTTGTGCACAAAAGAATCTCTCTGATAACTTTCAAACTGTTAAACCGTCTACTAGTACAGAAAAAACCCCTTTTCGGTAGTTTCACTTTATGTTTGTTTCTTGCATTTTTATTGTATTTAGTCTATATTTTTACGCCTTTTCTTTATATGCCGATGTTAGGCGACATAACACATAACATAGGTCCCATTTTTCATAACTTTATATCTACATAATTCAGGTTAATTTTTATTAGTTATTCACCTTTAATTTCATCCAGACAGCAATTTATTCACTTCAATTAAGTGTGTGTCCTGACTAGATTAGATTATATTCTGATTTTAGGTCATATTCAACAGGTGACTTCATTTACCTACTACGGAGTATGTTATGTTAAAAGTAATTACAAAAATTCATCTTCAATAGTATATGCTCACTACACTAAGAAATTTAATACCAGATGAATTGAGGACACTGAACAACTTTTCTACTAGGTGTAATGTGCTATAGTTTCATGTCGCTGATTGATCTGGAGCAAGCAGATAGACCACCCTGTTAGAATATTGGTTCTTATGTACATATCTTTATAGCGGTGGGATTTTTAGCTTGATAATAATGATAAATAGTGACTAACAATGAAGTTCAGTATATGTGCATAGCAAACTGGATGGTTAATGTAACTCCATAGATTAGTGGACAACACACCAATATTCGAAGTTATTGGAATAGGATTAGAGTATCTACGAAAAGAAAATCTTTGGAACGCATTGGATGTCGAGAGCATGACTCTCAAAATGAAATAAATGGTAGCCCTGAATTATATTGTTAGCTAATAGTGTTCGTATTAAATTTTCACACTTTCCCGAATAGTAATCAAATAAATGGATAAAATTCATCTTGTTACAAAATAATTATATACATGTAATCTTATCAGCGTCATATGATTGAAAACATGGAAGCATTTACCTCCCGATAACTAAATGGAATACGCGATCTGATCCTGGGCTGCATAACTTGATGGTCACGTCAACTGTATCAGGGCTGATCTTGTCAATCAGCTAGACGTTTCAGATATCTCTTTGAGATGAGTGCTAACCCGAAGTTGAAACTCTTTTAATAATCCAATACCAAATGTAGCGCACTAACATATCACCAAGCTTAGTGATAACGAAATCGAAAAATATAGATCAGTACTCTGGACTAGAAAGTAAGATATGTTTTATTATGTAACGAACGATCTAACACTAGTAAATAGACCAACTTATCACTGATCTAAGCTGTTTCTTTACAATTTATGAAATTCCAGTACAGCAAGTTGAAATACTAGTCTTATAATAGGTCCAAAGTGGATATGGATTGGACATACACTGAGAAAGGCATTTGGAGACATCATGTGCCAGGCCAGGCCCTCGAGTGGAATCCAAAGGGGGAAACAGCGAGTTGGGCATCCGAGGCGAGGGCGACATGGAGGAGATGGTATCAGGAAGAAATGAAAGCTTGTGGGGAGTGATGGGGCCAGGTTGAAAAGACTTCAGAGAACAGAGTACAATGGAGACGTGCTACTGAAGCCCTATGTTCCACTCGGAACCCAAGAGACAAATAATAATATTACCATAATAGGTCCTCTCTTACCAACCAACTGATAGATTGGCAAGTATATCTTTGTGCGTTAACTATCTGTCACATGTTAACAATCCCAGGCCGAATAGCTCAGTGGTAATTTCTTTGGTACGAAACACCAGCTCCTTGAAGGTTTCAAATACGCCATACTGATGGATGGTGATAAACACAAAACATAAGTCGAGTACGGGGCTTTCTACCGATTGCCTCAATCCAAATAACATCTGTAAACAATGTCCTTCACCATTTGATGAATCCACTACACCGTAATGAGTGAATGCGATCAGGAAAAACAATCCATTGTGCATTCATAATCATGTTAAATGTTTCTAGTCAATTATCAATGGTAAATCAATACAAAATTGATCATTTAGCTGTAACTTGATGGTATATTTGAAATATGAATCTACCTTGAGATATTTTGAATAAAACGGGATGAATAACCAGACGATAATTATTCCTTGTTGTTTCTTCATTAATTTTATTCATAAATTCATTGTTTTTACTTTCATTATTATTCATATTCACTTTAACATAAACATAATTTTGTATACTTGACTGAAATTTATTCAAGACAAAACTAATCAACTGGTAACGTATACAATTAATCAGGTTAGGGAAATTCTCCATGTGATTGTATAACATTTCCAGTTCATTTCTAATTTTTACACCTTTCTTCCATGTTTCAGACATTGGTAAAGTTTGATTGATTTCTCTTTGAAAAAGAAAATATAAACCAGTACATATAAAGTAGAATAATTGCCAAATTCCAACTCTTACTTAGTTGACACCGAGTGATGACTGAAGATGAAATGAAGATAGGAGTCACGGAAGGATTCAACCCAACGACCTCCGGGTCACCAACACGATGTTTTATCAGCTGAGCTATGAGATCTGGTTGCTGACTACGTATTTGATTCACTTCAGTCACTAAACCTTTCATACGATTGCCATATGAATTCCGGCTGGTAACTCGGAGGTTGGTGGTTAGAATCCCTCTGTGGCTAAGATTTTCGTTCCACCTTCAATCACCATCCCGTATAGATACAACTCTGGCAAATCAAAGCTATCTCAGATAGTCAGAGTGATAATCCTAATTATTATTTTATGCTGTCTAATAGGGGATCAGACTCTCTAGTATCCTCCAGTTTTCAATAACTTTTCATTGATAGTGAGCTGTTTCATATTGATATTCACCATGGAATGACACCAGTTGGAGAAACGCTGGGAACCTGGAAGAACTGGACAGCTGTTTCGTCTTCGTATAGGACTCCTCAGCAGTGCTCATACATGGCCCTACCAGGAGATCGAACCCAGAACATTCAGGTTCCGCGCTCAGCACATGCTGAGGAATCTGGGTTAGATTCTTCGCAAGGTGGAGTCATGGATACGCACTACTGAGCAGTCCTACACTAGTCGGACGAAACAGCTATCCAACTTACCTATGTTTTCAGTGTTCTTCTAACTAATGTCAGTTCAAGATGAATACCAACCTGAAATTAATAAATCGCCATAAACCTCCACATTGAATGAGCTATTTGCAATTTAAAAGTTTTATATAATTAAGAAACTTTTCGAAGTATATTTAGCTGTCTTTTTTGGGTGAATTATCCAAACAATGCGTGTTTCAATCTACTGTGGAACGTGATTTATAGTAAATGACTGCTTCACGATGGCTTAAGGATTGTATTGAATAAATTTACCTGATCTTAATACTGTTACTTAAAGTTTAACTAGTGAGCAATTCAACAGAATCATCCTTTTATTTCAAGCAGTTTCATTGAACTTAAGCTTCGATTCCCATATCATAATGTCAGTTGGTGTCTTAAACAGGAAGTCATTGATGGCAATAGCGGGCACGAGATACTCTTACAATCAACTGGTCTTAAACGGTAGAATAAGTAGACTTTAATCAAGATATTTTACTAATTTACTAAACGCTTTTAAATGATAAATAACTAGCAAGAAATTTAAAGTGTCCCTATACCTTGTCTTAGTTTATTTTGTTCTTTCAAACGGTGAAGTTCTCGGGAAAATTGGCGCAGCCTAATTAAAATTGAACCACGCTTCCCTCTATAACAACTTCAACCATATTTTTCTAACTTCTACAACCTTAACATACGATATTTTACTGAGTTAAACGGGGAAACGAAGAAGAAACCTGTTGTGTTATCAAAAGACTCTGTCTACCTTATAAAACAAGTTATCTATTTTCTTTATTAATTAATTTGGTACTCACAAAAGGTGCATCAACTGAGCAGTAATTAGTTCACTACCTTGTTAAAAATCACCTCATTTGAATTGAATCGGACAAATGATATAAATTTACTTTCCAAACAAGCATACCCTAATTTTATAAGCACTTACCAACTAACTGTCAGTAAAAACAATGAGCAGAGAATAAGCATCAATCAATCGTCTTAAATAACCGAATGCATAGACTAAAGTCTGCCGCCTTTTTCCATTCTTATACCGATGGAATGTTCGATGTTGAAGCCAAACTGGTAAGTTAATTTTTTTAACACTATGAGGTCAATTTATGTTTCCAATAGATATATATGTTCTCGAGATGAAAAGCCTAATACAAACATCATTTTCACACGCTAAAAACTCCGTTTACAATGTCTCTTATGCCAAAAATTTTATTCACAGCTTCTCCATAGTAGCATTAACCTCGTTCGCAAATACCAATTTTTAATCTTATATAGGTATAATTACAAAGTGAATATTTATGCTATCCAGATGCCCTAGTGGAAATCCATATGGGCCTAAATCTGTCGAATTCATTTTAAGATCAACATTAAACTCAAGTTCAAAGAAATGGAACTTACTTTGAATTCCAGTTTAACTCATCTTCTCTGCAACGTATCAATTTAGCTAGAACATATCTGGCATACTTACAAGTAGTAAATATACATTTTGTTACATGTGACATCAAAATCACATTGTAACGTATATTTCGATTGATTTCAGCGCAAAATTGCACTATATTCATTGGATTACTGAAAAAGGAAAGAAGAAAATCAGTCAACAAACGTAAAAGTTGCCCACCATGAATAAATTGAAACTAATGAATCTTTGAGGTATCATGTACTATAAAAGCAATTCCTTAAAGGTGTATGAATGGAAAATGAACATTTAATTTAAACAATTACAACCTTGTATAACGCCGGATTATTATTTTATTCAATATGTAGCATACCACTCACCACGTCATGTTTGGAAAGAACCTCAACGTATCCAAAGATTGAAAGAGTCTACAAGTAAGATTAAAACAAGAAAAAGCAACAAATGAAGATACTGAAATCCAGGTGCTGTATAGCAAAACAAATAATACGGAACCGTCCAAGGAAATATATAAATATATATATATATTTATATCGGTTAACTTATAAGGGTATAAGATATCTTAAGACAGCTGAATCCCTAGCAAGCGAGAAGACTCTTGTCTCCATGGCCTAGCGGATAACCCTTTGACATTTGAAGCGATGAGTAGTGGGTTTCAGTATCAACGAAAACAACATCACTCACTGGGATGCAGGTATATCCAGCTGATGAGTCTCAAAAAGCGCGAGACACGTAACCTGAATTCGACTGCCAGTCACCTAGATGAATATAAAACTTTAGACACATTTAACAAGAAAGTTTTACCGTGAAAATAAGAATAACTGAGATAGACTTGACCCTTATATTGATCTGTGTAGATAAAATTCATGAATGCAGTTGAAAAATAACATTTTGTAGTAGAATATGTACAGTCAACTCGTTCAATGCTCAATTATTTTATATTGACTGAATTATGAGATGAAGGATGTTCTCCAAGAGTCTTTGCACAGAAAAAGAAGTCTGTAATTAGTATAAAAGTAGGAGTTGGTCACTATTATAGATCATAAGCACATCTTAGCTTTTTTAATACTCAATATCTCATAAACTGAAAAAGTATTATTTACTGTATAATGCTAAAATCGCCTGAAACCAACTATCGCATTCCACAAAATTTTTCGAAGGGAATTCTTACGCGAAAATTATACATAGCTGAGGCTATGGAAATGAGAGAAAACGTTGGAAATTTTATATAGAATCCTTTAAAAATGTTGAGATTTTGATGGCATTTAAACCCACAAACTCGTTCAGAGAAAAACTTTGTAGGCTAAAAGACCCTGTAGAGCCAATTAAGGGAAATAACCTGATCTATCAAATATTATGTAATAATTATAAGGCAAGCATATAGGTTAAAACAGCTGATTGGTATCAGTCAGAATAGCAGAACATAAAAGCTTGGTGAAACATACAATAATAGACTTTTGTAAGATAATTAATTCAAAGAAAAACTAGACAATGTCGTTTTATTAATCATATTTTAGAAAGACAATGAATATACAAAGAGGATTGGACAAGGAAATTAAATACAAGCCTTTGGATTCATTTTTATATCCTTGATATTTAATTTCGATTATTCCCCTAAAAGAGCTGGGACCAGACTTCCATGCGAAACGTCAGGTTTATTTCATTTCAAACACCCTATGACTTACAAGAATATAAACTACATTTAATGTCAACCTTCTTTTACTCAGCTCTCAATATTTGTGATACTACTGGATCAAATCTTGTTCATATTTTATATAAATTATCATCATTATTACCATCTGTGTTATCATTTTCTTATTCCCTGAAATTCATACTATTCTTTAGACTACCTTATTACTGAAATTCATGTCTGATTGCGTAATTTACCTTCAGACAATTCAATCTAAACACCCGCTCCCACTTTTGGCATGACTACTTAACTTGTAAGAATCATTTATTTCCATGTTGTTACACCCAAGTCGACATCTCCGCCTACGTCGTATAAGTATGTATGTCTACTGTTCTGTTGCATTGCTTAATGGTATATATAAGCAGGTATGTAGGGTACCCAACTGACAAGTTCTACTGAAATGTATAAATTCGTTAAATCCTTATTAGATTTGTTTATTTGATATAAAGCGCACAGTGATACAGTATTATTTAATCGTTAAATCCTGCCTTATTTCACATACACTGTTTGTTTCATATACCTGTAACTCAGATTGCACAGAATACAAGGGTACGAATTTGTTAGACCTTGACTTCTTTCATTATACAGAGGGAAGGGAAGAAAGACCCATGGTCATAGGGTTTCAAATATCTCGTCTTACAATTCAGTTTAGTTCAGTAGGCGGCTCTAGGCATGTATAATGCGAAGATAAGCGCAGCGATGTATATAAGGACAATGAAGTGTGCCGAAAGTTTGAATGATGTGATTGGATCAAAGCAATATATTTCAGTTACCAGTATAAACACGTTGTATCAAAGCGTATCGGTTTATTTGTTGTTACAACGAATAACGCTTTAGACAAAAATTTATTCATACTGGGTGTCTATTGAAGGTGAAATGAAAATTTGAACCGCGGCGAGATTCGAACCAGAGACCACTGGGTTTCCGGCCAGGTGCTCTACTAAGTGTGCTAAGAGGCCAAACCGCTGACCAGAATTTTATTTCACTTCAATCACTAACGATTTTACACGACTGAAGTCAGTAGAGAACCTGGCCGGAAACCTAGTGGTCGCTGGTTCGAATCCCACCGTGGTCCAAATTTTCATTTCACCTTCAACCATCACCAATTATCAATATAATTCTACCAAACCATAGCTATCTCATATAGTCAAAATGATAAAAATTTATTTTTCACCGTCAAAAGGTGTACAAATTCAGCAGGTTAAATCTCATCTTTTAGAAGAATAATCAGGTATACAAATTCCCCACTTTGAAACAATTCATCCCTTAAATATCATTACTGAGATACTCATACTCTTTTCACTTTCCCAGATTGCACGTTAAACGTCGATAACTAACAGAGTACTTATTTTTCAATGTATATGACCTCTAGAATTATGGTGTCCCTGAAAATTCTAATTCTACTTTGACAGTAATTTTTTTGATTAACTGACTACACTTTTAAGCTACGGACACTGACAACAAATCTAAACAGCTTAAATGCCTGGGTCGACGTGTAAGAAAACTAAGAGTGGCTATACCGAGACATAAAATCTCTGGTGGTTAATGAAAGCTGTTAAAGGGAAATGTAGGTTCCTTTACTGGAATTCTTGAGATAATGAGATGACATGCTTGGAGGTTGTCTATGGTATAGTGCAGAATCGAGTACGATAGTATGATAGTACGCTTTATCATTTCTGAAAAATCAAACATTTTGTCAAGGTTAATTTCTTCATTTTCTCTCGTTTGTTCGATATTGTTCAAGTTTTATTCACTTCCATCATTGTACTGTTGTTACATTTGACAAATAAAACTTATGTACCAAGTTATAATGATCCTTTTATCGTAAATCAAATGGTGTTTTGATCTTTGGTTTGTAACAGCTCATCATTCTGTTCTTCGATTATCACAAGAGCTGTATAGTTCATCTATTGAATTCATAATGAACACACATTTCATGCTCATTATTCCTAGGATTTTAGCAGGTAGATATCATCGCAGAACTAAGTAACTAATTCATGGAGTATCTTGTATTACCAAATTTATAAAATAACAACTTTGAAGGAGCTCAAAAGCCTTCATATGAAATTCATTACAATAAATGCACTGATTGCTCACTGAATAATGACAAACATCAAATACAGTATCCTCAAGAAATAAGTCACATAATTTCATGGAGATACTTTAGAACTTGATCGATCAAATTCTGTGTAACACTAACTATCACCTGATGACTGATCTATATCCGTAACATGGAGTTATTAGATGTTCTAAAAACTGAATAGTAACAGATCTAACTGCATCCCAATGCGATACTAGTTAAAACCTAAAGCAAAATCAGTCCTCTTGTGTGTCATTACCATAAAACTTAGTCGTCTGGATTGCTACCAATTACTTTCAGTCACCAAAAAACTTCTTTTCCTATCCACCAAGCTTTTTTGGAAGCAAAATTGCGGTGATCGGTTGATCTGTATAACGGTACTGATGAGGTTTATTTCTATGGATGTAACGAATAAAGTTTCATAATGGCTTCGAAACTATTGTTCCCTGAGACGTGATATAAAATCTTAATAAACACCAAACCATCGGCATTTTTTCTTCTGATCTCTTCTACACAACTTCAGAAAACCAACTATATGATAGTTCTACTTTTGTCAATATTTGGGTAATGTTAACCAAAACCGAATCAACTCAAAATAAAACCTACAATAGATTGATTACCGACTGAGCAGACTACCACACTTCTGCACGCATCTTACAGCAACGTATCTACAGGTTAAACGAAAACGTATCAAGAGGCTGTCGTTACAGTACTTCAAAAGTGCATAGGCCACATAACTGAGCTACTTGCGATGTTGGAAATGAATGAATGAAAATAATCAGTGACATGGGCCACAGTAATAAAGGCATATTCATTCTTTATCCTTCTCTGAATATTGGATATCTTGTTCACCTACACTGATATGTTCACTCTTCGCTTACTTTTTCATTTACTCATAACAAACAAGTAAAAACTCGCACATGTTAAATCATTTTTTTATTGACAGCTGCTATTCGTTTGAAAATCTTCGCACCAGTATATTAGTTGAGTGCGATTGTAACTTTATTCGTTGCCCCACTTGGTGAAATATCTTCAAATATTAACCATGAAATGGGCTTTTTCATGCTTTTAAATTAATTTTTCTCATGAATAGTAGTAAGTACACACTCTACACTCAAAGATTTTCATCTGCTTGTTTCAAGTAATCCAAAATCAAATTATCTAACTGCATAAACAATTAGGTCAGAAATAAAATAGTTACTCAACGATGGAGTTATTTGAGGGTTGGACCATTTCATGAAATGACAGAATTAGGAAGTGTGGGTAGTTGAATTCCGACCTAATAGTTGAATGGTAACGTGCTGATCACAGAACCGAAACGTCCTGGGCTCGACTCCTACCGAGTTTATGGGCCCCCATTTCTGAAGAATCCCATGCTAGGCCGAAACAGCTGTCCAATATTCTCAGGTTTCCAGTGGTCCTCCATCTGATATCAGTCCGTGATGAACATCAATTATGAAAGTAACTCCACTAACTAGAAATATCTTGCTATTATTTTTTCGTCTTGTTACCTTAGCAACAAAAGGTGACGCTTAGAAAAGCTTTTGTCACACCAACAGTTTCACTGGTGACTTCAACATTAACTTGGTTTAATTTTATATTAAGGAAGGTATATTGGAGACTTTAAACGCTTGAATCTTCGCAATGCAACATATTTTGTATTTCGGCAATTAACAAATATCAAGAAATTTATTTTCTGAACAAAGAATAGTCTGTTAAAACCAGATATTTAAGTGCAAAATAACTAGAAGTAAGAGTTATTTTCCCAAATTTCACAATTTTCGAATGTTTCCAAACAAAAAATAATCATCAAGTGAAACCTTTAGAAGGTAAGTCTTATACGCTTCACAAAATATCTGTTTCATTGAACAAAACTTTTCTATCCAGTCATATGCAACATTAACACATGTCAGTTTTTCTACGAGGTTTGTAGAGAACATAATGATTTCAGAGCAACTCTAATCACGCAAAAATATGAACCATTAGATTGCAATACAGTTTTTGGATGGTAGAATATTCATCTTAAGAGCTGATGATTATTCGATTGATTCTGTAGGTTTTCATTGTACACTAACTGTTAAAACGTTTCATACTACAAGGAAACAGCTGTCTAGTGCTATTTGGTTTACAAAAGTTCTTTAGTTGATTTCAATTTGTGATAAGGATTTCCTTCGAAAACGGAGTTGTATAAATCGCTTGGCATCAAGCGACATTTTTAATTAATCGAATACAAGTACATAACATTTGGGAGGAAAATTAGTAATTGTAGGCTCAAACAATTGTTTATTCATGATAAAATCGAGAAAACGATAGCTGTGAAGAAAATTCTCTTGCCTGTACACTCGTGAATAAATAGTAAAAAGAAAAGGGCATTCCAGAGTAATTGCTGGTCAGAAGTCAGTATAAGTTGTGTGATAAAGGAAAATTACGTAATATCTCTAGATATTTAAAATAGAGAAATGAATAAAATGAAAAATAGGGAAATATCTGGAGTGGTCGATCTTCTACGATGACCATAACAAAGAAAGAGGTTGTACATACTTTTTGAACGCTTAATGACAGTTTGAACTCTTGGCTTGCTGATGCTTCAGCTATGTCCAGATGTTTTAACCTTACTCCTTTTAAATGACTTGGTTGCACTCTGTACAGAATTTTGAAGGACTAGTCAAAATGAGTCAAATATCGTGAGTTTACTAAATGTTCTCCAACGAAGCCTAAAATGGATTTCCGTTCCCTTATTGTCAGCCAGGCTTGGTAGTGTACATGACCACGTTGCATAAACTAGCGCATGGTATGGCAGATGTAATTGGCCCCACAGGAGCAATTCTGCAGCTTATTTTTTGCGTAATGATGAATCAATTTCTGACAGCAGAATACACTTCTAAGATTTCGGGTAAAGAATATTCTGATTGTGGATCTTGGTGGACATTTTTAAGGTGCATCTGCCACATTACCTCCGTTGAATTCGAGTTTCGAAAGCAAAATCTTTTTTGGAGCTGTACGCATCCATTTTATAGCGTCTTGTTGCTTTAGATTCTTATCTATAAATGACACTGGGTAACCATTTTTCATCATGATTTCTTGCAAGTTGTCTAGTTCACCTTCGATGACATCATGCACACGTATTCTTCGTTTTGTAGAGGAGAGTGAGTTGATAAGACTTCTGTTTCTGCTTGAGGGTACACAGCTTTGAAAATTACTTTACTGCCCCTTTCTATGTCTGCTTTCTGTAAATAGACCTCTGCAATGAGTTATCACCTTTTCTTTGAAGTTGGACGTCAAGTGAGCAGAATTTCTAGTTAGACTCTGTTTCTGAAGTAAAGTAGCTAAAGGGATGAGCATTATTGAAAGTTTGAAGCAGGTTTTCTAGATTCTTACTGTCGTCACAACTAATAAGGGTATCATCTATGTGTCTTTTCTAGATATGAAGCTTGCTGATTACTTTTGATGGTCGTGTTTTCCAAGCTTGCCATAAAGCAGTCGGTTAGGAGTGTTCCTAGAGGCCATTCCATTGCCACGCCGTCTATCTCTCTATAGATTTCGTTGTTAAATCTGAATGGCACGTCAAAAGTATATTTTAGAAGTTCTTTTAAGTAGTGACTCGGGATATCAACATTTCCATTAGTGGAACATTTTTAAATAGGGAGACAACATTCAGAGAAATCATCCTCTTTCCTGACAGACTGACATTCTTGATTAAATCAACAAAGTGAAATGTGTTGTGCAGGTTAAGTTTTAAATTTTCATTCTTCACTGGATCCAGTATCTGAATGAGCCATTTTGCAAATGAATGATAAGGACGATTAGTCATGTCAAATATGGAACAAAGAGGAACACCTTCTTTGTACACTTTAGGTAGACCATATAGTACAGGAAACTGATGAGCGAACTTGTTCTAAGAGTTCACTGCTAATCATTGTTTCATCTTTCAGTTTCCTAAATGCTTTGCACAGTTCACGCTCCATTTCTTCATTTTGAATTGTCTGTTATGGAAATTTACTTCCATGTGATAGAGTGACTAAAAACTTGTCAGGCCGTATCATGACTAAGCTTTCATTTTTCTGAAGATCCCTTAACTGATTCCGATGTTCCTTTGATAGGATATGTCGAGTACTGGATTTTCTATTTATCTAATCCAAACATCAATTTGAAAATAGACACAAGAAACATCTACTCTTGACTTATGCCTATTTATTACCAACGGCATTAAATTAAAATGGGAAGTCTTAGTGAGAGATTCAAAATTCAGGTAAAAGATTTCCTATCATCTAGATACTTACTGTTGAATCACTTGAAGAAGTCTAACATATACAGGATTTGCAATTAAGCAAATTTTTGATAAAACTTTATAAACTCGTTTGAATTTTCTTCTTCGAGTGTTTTGACGCCAGCTGAAAAAAAGAAATAGCATAAACAAATGAATATTATATTGATTATGACGTTCATGAATGATATAAAAACGAAATCTAGGGAAGAAGTGTTCAACATCCAGTGAATATTACTCTTTCAATGCTCAATTATATCTGACAGTTAAGTAGATTAACTTGTAAGGAATAAAAAGCCCAAAAGAACTGAGGAAAAAAGTTGGTGACAACAAACAATCTTTTTCCTATACTTTGTAAAATTTGGTGATGAAATGATATAGCTATTTTGATCTTACATGAAAGAATAAGAAAACATTTATTTACTGGGATAGTAGAAGAAAAGCGTAACTTCCTCTTCAGTTAATACGGAAATATATTCGTATTTTATTAGCGCGTTCAGCTACCTTGTGTACGATCGTATAGTAGGCGATGAGCAACACCTATTGTATATGGGCTAGTGATACTGCTTGACTTCCTATACCTTGGTAGACGAAGTGGGGTTCGAACCCATAAACCACTAGTTGATAGTCATCTCCCTGAACCACTGAGCCACAGCTCTACATACACGATATATTCATATCATCAACCTACAAGTCAAATCACTCAATAATATCACACATGAAGTGGAGTCTTGGTTTGGAAGAATATTCTTCTAATGGGAAGCAACAACAGCATAAGGTGTTTGTCTCTTCTTCGTAGTACTGCTGATGTTTGGTGGAATCACTGTGTGAGCAGTATTGAGGTCAGGCGGAGGGTAATTGACGACTGATGATATCTTGTACCTTCATCGACTGAGATGACTTGAACATGTACTGGATATGCCTAACCACCGCCTACCTAGACGTTGGATTATGTCGGAAGAGAGTTCATAGTACCAAGACCAAGATGTGGTACCAGTTGCGGAAGTCCCTGAATGTTGGTCTGAGCCGTTTGAAGAGGTATTGATTATATGGTTGGGGTCACCGGGACGAGAGGAATCAATGGTTGACGCAGCTCTATTCACCCCTTGATATCTTCTAAAGCCTAAATGTTTACACCAACCGTTATCTTCAGATTGCTTATTCTCCCACACACAAATTTGTCTACTCCGATATCAGTCTTTTTCAATCCATATGTTGTCTATATACTACTGAGAAGTGTAATAACTTGAGCTGATGCAGTTGTGTCAGTGGTTCTACATTGATTTCATCTTTTATTTTGTCTCATGAACATGTTGAAACCAAATTTTCATCGATGCTATTTGCTGCTTGATCAATTCGAGAATATTTATGAAGCAGTTACCAATCAGATTATATGAAGAATCGGTTATATCTACTGTTGATATACTTTAGACAATCCATACAGCCTGGAGATAGTTGAAGTGTACTATCTAAGTTATTCATAATGATTCCTAGAGGTAACTAATTTGTCTTTTGTTTTTTTATTCAGATATGTGCATGGTTTTTTATTCGTTCATTTGTGTTTTTCTGGATCAGTGTTTCGTGGAATTTTTCCACCGTATTCAAAGTATAAATTCTATTCCCAGGTGTTATTTATCTCTTTATCAATACTTCCTAAAAAGCATACTATATACTTCAAATTCATAATAGCTAATTAACGAATATGAAGGTCTAGTCAGCATTCATGTCTCATAGCTCAGTTGATAAAGTACTAGACCGATAACCCGAAGTCCGCTGGATCGAATCCTTTTTGTAACCTGTATTTTTATTTCATCTTCAATTATCACCGAGTATCAATACAAGTCTACCAAACCACAGCTATATCAGATATTCAAAGTGGTAATGAATATGAAGAGACTGGCTCCTTTCATGAACTTCTATGTGAGTAATAAAAAGGTGGAGTTAATTTGAGACATGTGATGTATTTGTCCAACACACTTCAAACATACATTTATTTATCAAAGCATTTTTATGTGCATGTGAAAATGGAATGAGGTAAATTTGGATGAGGCAAGAAGTTTGCAGAATTGAATGATATCATCATTTTATTTCACGGTTACTCTTCAGCTGCTACACACTAAAAGTACAACATCAGATATATCAAAATTGGATAATCAAGTATTTTAAGTTGTACAACAATATCATTGATAATCCATATAACACATAAGAGAATTACCGGTTGTACAGAGGTAATGTAAAGAAAAAGGAAAAAATAATAGTAATAAATGGATACAAAGTTATATAATTGAAATGATAATGAAACAGGATCAAATCATATTCACTGAGAGAGTGAAAGATTAACTGCGCTCTCTTTCTGTGTGCAAAGGTCAGATTGAGGACGCTTTATGGCAATTGCGTGAAAACGAGTTCATTTCCTTGGATGTCAACGTGATAAGAAGAATTGATGGTAAAATTGAAAAGACTATCCATCAAATAAAACATGAACCAGACAACTATAACAGTTCTTACCCTGTAAGCTATAACCCTTGGCAAGTCAAAACACTTTAAGATAGATCTTGGAAATTATGCTCTACAGATAAGTTAAAGAAAAGATTAAACTCCAATGAGAAGTGTCTCCTAGTGAATGAATATCGTAATAAACTTGTTATGAAGTATGGAAAAGAATAAATCGATAAAAATAAACACCCAGTAGTAGAAAAGGCTTTATACGCCTTACAATCAAGGGAGATCCAATACCCGCGAGAATAGATACAAGAGTAAAAGCTGTATTGAAAAGGAGATTCCTTGTAGTTAAACTTGTATCAGTATACAATATTACATTTTCTCTGAACTAGTCAAAAATGAATATTTAACCTGCTCATATCATCTGCAACTGTATCTATGAAGTCACATCCACCTAAAATAGCAAGTACACTGAAAGGACTGACAGCTGAGCATATCTCAAAGAATCTGAGCTTGAAAGGAAGTTGAACTCTAACCAGTACAATCATCAGACACCTCATAAACACATGACATTAGGTTGAAACCTTTAAAATAACGAACGTACTAAAAATGTCTGGATTACTTTGCTTCATAGAAATGATTACTATAAAGTTCTTTCAAACCTAACCTTTGCATACAGAAGGAGAGTGCAGTTAATCTCTCACTCTCTCAATGAATACGACTTGATTCCGTTTCATTATTATTTCAATAACATAATCATTTATTTATTTATTATTATTCTCTTACATCCTACACAGATTACCAATGATTTTATTGTACAACTTAAGATAATTGATCATTCATTTTGGGAATATCTGCTGTTGTAATAACCACTGTACTTTTAAAGTGTACATAGCAACTGAAGAGGATGATATCTCATTTTATGCTTCAAATTTCATCCTTCTTGCTTTATCTAACTTTATTAAGGGACCTAAATGTATGCAAAGATCAATGAATTAGGATGAGAAGAGGTTTGAAAAATAAAGAAGCTGGAGGAAATGATACATTTTCATACCTACTTTGGTTATAGAATGAGAAACATATTACTAAGGAAGGTTTAAGATAAGGACAAAGTGATTTTGAGTGAGAAAAAAATGCTTTGAACTTTATTTATAGCTTAGGCTTCAATAGACCTATGTAAACTATCTGTACGGCTCCAACATAACAGTCTAAATGATATTTTTGGGTCATTCTTATGATCTCCCTTTATAATATGTTTACCTATAGTCAAAATGTTTTTCTCATGTATTTATGGGATTGTTTGAGTGTAGTTGTTTATCCAACCATTTAGGGATATGTTACATCAAAACGGGATATGACGTATATGTTTAGGTAGTGATGGAACATGGGTTTTTTTATCTCTAAACTGATAAGTTTGGTTGTATGATAAGTTCTTTTGGCAGCTAGATTAAGCCTTTTTTTGGAAGTTGTACTGTTCGATTCCTTCCTTCATGAGAGAGCAATGTACACATTCTTTTTCCAGAAAGAATACTGATTCGATCACAAAGTTGGATCGTTCACCTTTGTATCAATCGATGGCTTTTGTAGGATATGTACTAGTCAATAATTTCCATGTCAAAAGTTTAATTTCTTCTTTCACTATATCTCTTGTGCAGATATGTTGAGTCTTGGTTGTATTGTGTTCTCTGGGCTGGGTTGTTTAACCGTGAAGCTTTCATTGTCTTTCTAGACGATATCATCAGCACTAACTTCATGATTATACAACCCAGCTCAGAAAACACAATACAACCAAAACCATCCACCTGAGCCACAAATATTATCCACTATTTCAAGATATATTGAGTCCCCTAAAGTGAGCACTTTATGCCCTATTTGTACTATATTAGACAGAAACTTTGTTTTAATATCAAATTAGATGTGAAAATGTGTTACTTCTTCTCATCATCCTTTATCCCCGTAATTTATGGGTCATGCTTCGCTCTACTTTTTCCCTTCATATTAAAATACCTTGATAAGTAATAATATGACATATACATAACTAGGTGATAAACAAAATTAAACATTTTAGGGAATTGTATTCAAGGTGAATGATTATACATAACAGTGAACTTTACAACAGTAGAATATGCATTGCAAATTCTGAAATTCAGATAACATTGAGAATGAATTCATTCAATTAGAACTCAAACAAAGTATTCATTGTGTAAACGAATTAGGATGTAGGGACAGTTACTCAACAACGGCACTAGAACGAGATCACGCTGAATTCCGACCTATTGGCTGAATGGTAAGGTGTTCGCCATGAAACCTGAGGTTCTTGGGTCCGATCCGTGACTGATTAACAGGTGTACACCGCTGAACAATTCCATGTTAAGACGAAACAGCTGTGCAGTGCTGTTAGATTTTCAGCTGTTCTTCGGCTTACTCCGGTTCGTAATAAATACTACTTTGAAATCAATAAATCCCCATTAACCTCTAAACTGTATTATCTACATGGGAAATACACAGTTATTGATTTACGCATAGATGATAACACAACAAGACTTTACAATCTCAACTGACTCATGAAGTGAATATACATTGATATCAAAGAAGGGAGTGCACAAAGACTCCTATTGTCTTTATAAAAGCAAGATTATTGTACACTGAAATAAAATCAGAACAACTTCATATCCTTTTAGAAAGTGTTTCATGAAGAAAATCTGATTTCTAGTAAACACATATACTCATCAGTATACTTATTAAATGTGATGTTGATATATGTCATGGAAATTAGTAAGAATAATCGTAGGGGTGTGTGCACGACTAATTATTATCTTGGTAATTTACTTTTGAGGGAGTTGTGGGGATTTGGAAGTATTCCAAGTTCTTATTCATCGTAGACTGACATCAGTTGGAGGAACAGAGGAAACCTGGGAGCACTGGACGTCTGTTTCGTCCTAGTATGGGACTCAGCAGTGTGCACCAACGACCCTGCCAGGGATCGATCCCGCGACCTTCAAGTTCCGTGGCCAGTGGCCCAATGGTAACGTGCTGGCCGCGGAACTTGAAGGTCGCTGGTTCGATCCCTGGCAGGGTCGTTGGTGCACACTGCTGAGTCCCATACTAGGACGAAACAGACGTCCAGTGCTCCCAGGTTTCCTCTGTTCCTCTAACTGATGTCAGTCTACGATGAATAATAACTTGAAATCTTGATAATAACAAGACAACTGTGCTACTGATTACTAAAACCACATTGTAAAATTTATCTTTAAGATAGTACTTATCATGGACTGACATCAGCCTACGAACCAACAGAAACCTGGGAGCACTGGACAGCTGTTTCGTCCTAGTATGGTACTCCTCAGCAGTACGCACCCACCATCCGGCTAGGGATCGAACTCATTGCCTTCAAGTTTTCCTTTAAAACGTGTTAACCATTCAGACACTGGGTCAAAGTTCAGTGGCCCACAACTTCCTACTTCTGTCAAGTCGTGATTTAGCACGACTATTCACCGAGGTCTTCCGTTGGTATCCGTTTCCCTTCCAACTGGTTGACGCCACAAGTCATGGCTTCTAATCGGGACCTCGAGATATCCCTCTTGAAGTATGTTATTAATCAGCACTACACATTTTTATCTTCATTACTTAGTTGAATATCTGTCTGTCACTACCAACAAAATAAAATTCCATTTTAGATTTCAAACTTCTCTTTATTTATATACTATCTGGAGGTTTGTGAAGATTTATTAATTGATTTTAGGTTGAAACTAATCATGGACTGACATCAGTTGGAGAAACATTGGAAACCTGGAAGCACTGGACAGCTGTTTCGTCCTAGTATGGGACTCCTTAGCAGTACACACTCAAGACCCAACCCTCCCAGGGCTCAAATCCAGGAGCATAGCCTCCGTGGCCAGCGCGAAGGTCCCGGTGGGGTCATGGGTATGAATTCCTGGGGAGTCATGACCAGGGACGAGACAGCTGTCCAGTTCTTCCAGATTTCAAATGTTCTTTCAACTAATGTCAGTCAGTGATGAATTCTCTTTATTTAGTTTAACACCCAAAAGATTTCCTACTACTTGACTACTTCATATGTAGGATGTACAGTTTCCAACCTTAAAAAAGAGTGATTAACAGTTGGTCTGAAGAATAAAGCCCAAATTCATGATTCTCACCAGATTTTTAGTAGCCATAAGTTAAGTGACAATTAGTCACCAAATTTAGTAACCACAACACTTTCATTGAAAAGTCTAATTCACCACAATCAGTGGGAACAAAATCACTCACTGGGAGGCAGGCACATCCAGCTGATGAGTCCGAAACAAGATGAAACTCGAATTGCGGATTTCACTCCCGACCACTATCCATAATTTCTAGCAAACTGGAACTACAGAAAATGCCAAGGCATCTGCGCAGGAGACCATATGCCAACGGAAACCGATCAGTTCGGTCCAATCAACGACATAAAATTACAGGAAATAACAAACAAACTATACTCGTCGCACAAGAAGTGTCTATCATGACTCACTGCTCTAGAGAACAAGGATCTGGAGTTCAAGCGATCGGTACTAAGTTCAAGTCCCAGTGAGGACAAAATCACTCACTAAAAGGGGGCACATCAAGGTGACAAGTCCTAAATAAGACCAAATGCACATCCCGGACTCCACTGCTAGTCACTACTGTTATTGTTATATGAAGAACAGAATCAAACTGTTTGAGGAGTTACACTTATAAAAATAAACATTTTGAAATCACAAAGTTATAAAACTTAGCAAACTATGTGGGATTTTTTAATCTAATAGTGGATAGGAATTCTCAAACTGAGTAATGTTAACGGTAAATATTTTCTAACTATAAATTACCAACGAAGTATTAAGATTATACTGTCTACTTATTTTCAATGAATTCGTTCAATTAACTTACGTGAGAAACGATTTCCACGTTGGATGATAACGAAATGATGAGATTTGAATTAAAGAATCATATAGAACCGCTTCTGTAAACCATTCTGTAAGACTTAAATGTTCCTGTTCCTTTTCAGTGATAGCCAATATACCAAAAGTACTAAATATATAATGAGCTTCATTATTCTACAGTGTAAAATATAATGATCATATTTAATAATTAACTTCTTCACCTCCATATTTATTATTACAAGCACAGAGTGGGCAACAACAACAACACAAAAATGAAACAGCTAAATTTGAAGGGTTTGTAGGAGTTTATTCCTTTTCACTTGGTATACATCATGGACTAGCACTAGTTGGGGAACCTTTGAAAACTCAACAGTACTGAACAACTGTCTCGTCCTAGTATGGGACTCCTCAGCAGTGCACATCCCACAAGGGGTTGTGCTGTGTAGAGCAAGTGTGGACCACTGAGTCCTAACTCAGTGGCTGATTGGTAACGTGTTCTCTACGAAAACCTAAGGTCCTGGGTTGGTCCCCAGTAGGTTCATGGGTGTGCATCGTTAAAAAGTTCTATCACGGAGCGAGACAGCTGTCCAGTGCTCCCAGGTTTTCAATGGTTCTCCAACTGATGTCAGTCTGTGATGAATACCAAATTGAAATGAAAAAGTTGAATTTGCCACGGCTCATATCTCCACAAGGGTGAATGGGAAATAGAGTAATAATGAGATATTTCAAACTGTGAAGACTATAAACAATAATTACACTTATCACGCTAACAAGATACTTAGATCACTGATTCCTAACAACTCGACGCCTCTAGTAAAGTCACCTAAATTTACTTATGTGAATTAAACCAACCCTCAGCGACTACGTGTAGTAGTGGTATGTCTCGGTTATATATGTCATACAGAGATTTGAGAGTTTGTGACTATAAAATAAAGATAACACCCAAAGCATAAACTTATGCAATAAACATATACCGAACTAATCTTTAGAATATTTTGGTGTAAGTAAACATTCAATAAATTAACTCATAAAGCCTTCGAAATATTTGTTCGTTTGATGATAAGAATGAGTAAACAAAAACTTTCTTCCAAATTTAGTTGACGAAAGAATTAACTCAGTCAGAAATGGTTAGTTTATCTATTCAGATAATAAGGAAATAAAACATTCTTGTTTGGTGAGTTTCAGTAATGTAGCCGCTGGGGCACGATAGCCACCTCTTATGCAACGGGTATCATTACAACAACTGATACCCGTTGCACAAGAGGTGGCTATTGTACCACAGTGGCTGAGTGGACAACGATCTGGCGTTTGAAGCAATTGGTACTGGGTTCTAGCCTCAGTGGGAACAACATCACTCACTGGGGTACAGGTACATCCTACTGACGAATTCCAAACAGGATGAAACGTGCGCCCCAGATTCTCCTGCTAGTCACCAAGATTAATATAACATCATTAACACCCAGCAGTATTGAGGCATCTGCATAGCACGCCATCTACCAACAGAGGTCGAGCAATTCGGCCCTGTATAACAATGAGAAATTACAAGTGTCATTACAACAAAGATGTTTTTAAATGTCATTATTAGTGTTGGATTCATTACTCTTGTAAAGGGGTGCAGTTTACACGATTTAGTCATAAGATGTTAGATGCTGTTCAAATTCTGGTGTCAGATGGTGGGATTCAGTGGGCAGGGAATCTCGGACTTTGGTTTCATGCTTGTTGGCACTCGTCAGCAAGGAGTATCTGCAACCCGTGCAGAACTGATGTCCTGCCTGAGATTTGAACCGACGTCAGTGAGTGTTGCAGTCAACAACATTACCACTGAGATGTTCAGATCACAATCGGCCTTTTGTAGGACTGGGTCAAATACAATGACTGGTAACTGGAGAGCAAGCAATTTCATGTTGTCTAGTCCTCATTGCTGATCAAATTTTACCGATCATTTTGCAATGTGGTAACCAGCAAGCAGGCTCACCATTGACGTGCACTTTGATGGATGTTAGTTGGCCGAAGGCAATTGGTAGAATGCCCTGGATGACCTAGGTTTCATGCTTGTCGGTACTCATCAGCAGGGAGTATCTACAACCATGAAGGTGTTGGTGCTCCCTTAGTGAATCTAACCTGAGTCACTCAATACCGAAGTCACAGGCTTGACCACCAATCTATTCCAGAAACGGCTAGTGACCAGTTAGTCACCCATGTAGCTGTCTAGTCCGTAGGGATTAGCACTGGTCGACGTTTACCGATCAAGTTTTGCAATGTCACCAGTAGGCCAAGTGGCATGGCAGTGCGATACACTGTAGTCAAATATCATCTAATGAGAATCAGTCCGCATGAGTCATAGAGAGGGCATCGGTTTTCTTATGTTTCTAGAGACGCTTTATAGATAGTTGTCAACAAGCATGAAACCCAAGTCCAGGGCCTCCTGCCGATTGACTCCATCAGTCGCACTACTTTACTTAGTGACCACATCGCAAAACGTGATCGATGGACCTCGGTCGGTGGTTAGCACTGAGGAACAGACAACTACATATGTTACCACTAGTAATCAACTCGTGTACTGTTGGCCATATTTTCTTATTACTGGACAAAGTTTCTTAATCTAGTGAACAATGCGAAACTTTTGCCAAGGCAAGCGACAGGATGGGTAGCTTGTTGAATTGTGGACTGGAAAGTGTCGTGCTTGCCTGCACTTGTCAAAAAAATACATCTTCACGTTGAAGAAACTCACAATTCTTCGAAGATTAGAAAGTGAAATCCTCCGTAACGATAACTGAAGAAGAAATGAAAAACTGGGTTATGGCAGGATCTAAAGCAATTGCTTCCAGGTGACTAACAGATACTATACTAACTAAGCCAAAAGACTCATCGGCTGACCAAATTTTAACTTCACTTCAGTCACTAGGGGTTTCATTCGACTGCGATAGGAACTCATCATGTTTACCTTCCATTCATCGTATACACACTGGCTTCCCAGTTAGGTCTTCTCATCCTAATCCAAATGTAGCGGAGAAGCATCATGTTGATTATCTTTTTGACTACCATGGCTATCTCAGATGGTCAAAATGAGAATTAATACTGTCTGGCAAAACATGGAAACTGAAGAACCCATCGTAGTAGATCCTGGGAATTATCCTTATGCGAATTTGACAAATGCAGGGGTCAATCAGTAGTGTTGCGTACTAGTAGAATTCTCACGAATGCGAAACTAAGAAAGAATTTCAATAGGGTAGTCAAGTGATAATAACAAATTTGATAGACAGTGCCAAAATGTCGATATGTTTCTACTAACCGGCTAGGGGAACACGTAAGGGTAACCCAAAGCACCAAGACAGTGTTCAAATGCCATGGATGCTTAACAGTGTCCCTCCAGCCCAACCAGCCTGTTAAAACAATGAAGGTCAGTATCAATGTTGAATCTCATCGAATCCTAGGCTATTCATTTTTGGGAGTTATTTGCTGCTACAAGATCATTAGTTCAAGTTGGTGTACATTTTGACGACATCCCAAAATACAATTAATAAAATGAACTGTTAAAGTATAACTGATATAAAAGTGGTATAGTGTTCAACTTTAATAGCAGCATATACAGAAAATACATCTTTAATATAGCTGAGTATTTTGAAATCTACTTCTAACCAAGTTAACCATACAATTCAAAATTGATTGTAATTGGGAATGCACAGCACAAGTCAAACCATCTTGTTTGATTCATATCTCTGTGTTACACGTATCAACCGTTTCTTTTTAAAAGCTTGTCTTTAACCAAATCTGGTCATTATAATGTTAGATGGTTATATGGTCTATTTTATGGCACTGAGATTAAATCATTGGTGGAGGAAATAGCTGAGGCTTTCTAACTTAATAAGCAAGCATGCATGTATTTTAAGAGGCATTAATTTTTACATTTTAATAATATATGCTTTGATAGATGCATATGTAGAAATATTTGCGCACAATAACGTGATATAAATTGGTAAGTATCAAAGCGGCTTTCACTGAAACTAAAGAATCCTACCGTTTTTTTAACCGTAAGTCAGAAACGAATGTGTTGTTTTCTGGTATCTTAGTGTGCAAAAGCTCTATTGCGGGACAAAATAAAGCAGAATTTGCCAAAAAAAATTCAAGTTTTCCGGGGAAATAAATCGATATCCTTGATTAGCTTGAGAGTTACATTCACGAATACTCACCTTGATTTACAAATAAACGTTTAGGGACTGAAACTAGCCATCGAGGTCAAGAATTTAGATGTGAAGTCTTACTGCTAAACGTTCCTGGCTTAAGAGTTAAAAGCAATAACCACTCAACTGCTAAGTCGTTTTTTTAGTGACAGCAGTAAAAACAGCACCAACCCAGTAAAACGTTTTGTGGCAAAACCAGGGACAATATGTTATCAATAATCCAGGGTGGGGTAAACTGACGGTGGATAATGAGAGGAAAACGTGAGGTAAGTCAAGCTAGTTTACTGGTTGTTTTTTTATTCTTTATGAGTTATTTCGTTTTGGAGTTAAAAACAGAACCCCTGTGTTGCATAATGACAAGCATATTAATACTAAGTCGTAGCTTAGTGAAGGCTGTTCATTCCTGAGTCCTTTGACTTCAAGACTAAGCGAGCACTTCAAGAAACATGCAGAAGCGACAACTACAATGAGATAATCACAAACAAAGTAATTTCTTGCAACTATACCAAATATGTCCTTAAATACCACACGCAAAATTTCTGTTGGCTTGAAAATAAAATAAACAGCTGAAAATCTATGAACTGATAATCTAGAGATGATGGAATTCTTTTGTTTCATCAGACTTTCCGCACTTTTGTTAAAATTAGGACAAAAAAGGCCAATAAAATGTTAGCATACACAATGCAAAGCTAAAAAACATCTCTGATCGACAGAACTAAACAAGATCTGAAAAGCAATTCCATTTTAGTCTGTTGATAGGAAATGTCACACAGTGAAACAGTATTATCCACTAGACAACGTTTCGGACATAATTTATTGTCCACATTCATATCAGATCTGGAAAAGTTCCAACAAATCTTTTTCGTTTGACCTTCATTTTAAATTGAAAGGACATTACATTTAGACTGATGCCGCAATTCCTTAATTGGCATTTTCGAAATAAGACCCCAACATATGGAAATAACATGTAACAAATATCCAAAACTAACAGTCAAAATGCACCACTAAACAAATCCTGGCAATCAACGATGGTCAGATATCTGCATCATGATGGAGAGTTCTACTTTTGAGTTAAGTCCATGACTTCAGGTTGGTATTCATCACGAACTGGGCAGTTTCGTGCTGGTGTGGGACCTTGTGGTAGTTCACACTCATCAACTCGCCAGGAATCGGACTGAGATACTTGAGATTCTGCAGCCAGCATGTTACCGCTGAGCCACTGAATCAGAATCAACTGGTCCACACTTCCCCCTTCCATAACTTCATGGTGTATTGTGACCTCCATCTAATGCCATCGTTGAGTAACTGTCCTCGTATCCGACTTTCACTTTTAGCAAAGCTGAATGAAAGTTACTTGCCCCCAGCCAATAATATAAAGGCTGACATCAAAAGTTTCAGGTTTCCGTTGATTTGGAATCCGCTAAAAATTGTACCATTCGAAAATTGGTTAGTAACTGTCTGCTTCACTCTGCTCTTCAATATTTGATGCAAACTGTATTAACCAACAATCTCTGGGCTAATACTTATTGAGGTGACATAGTTAGTGCTATGTATCTGATTTTTACACATTTATACTGAATAGCTGTGTAGTATCGCTTTATAGCTTATTTATTATTCAGTCCTAACTGGAGGTTCAAAAGCTTTATAGATTAACTTTAGTCAATGAAAATGATACTTCAAAACTTTAGGACCAAATAAAATAGTTAGTTTATCATTAGTATTATTATTATTATCATTATTAAGGCACAAACTTGTACAACACAGTCACCAGAAGATAATCATGCAAAATAATAGTGTAAAACTAAAAACGCGTGCAAAATGGAGAAACTAACTGAAACAAGCACAGAAGTGGGCTATTAAAAAACGTATATTAAGCTAACTGAGAATGGCTATCCACTAACCAAAAGCAAACTAACTTCAAATGGCTGGTACTACTTTGCATTGAAACTTGCCAGGTTATCAATGCAATACCTACTATTTATTACTCTTCGAAGAATTCACAGGCAGATTTTCTCCTTTGCTAAGACATTATTCTATATACTAGGCTTACACGAATACAAATTATTTCCAAAGGGATAATCGAAAGAAATGTGAAAACTATATGTACTAACCTTTGGTTTTATCACAGGCTTTACGGCGTACGGCGAAAAGTTCCAACTTCTAATGCCTTCTCTAATGAAGTATATAAAATCGTATTTTCCAAGCTTTCTACAAATTGAAAAATAAGCGACAGCTTCAAAACCGTTCGTTGGAGATACCATTCCCAACTCCTTCAGCGAACTCTTTGATTTGATAGATAATATCAATTTCACAAACTCATCATTTCCTCCATATTCAAGGTTAACAGGCAGTTCATCCCTTAGAATCTTGTCCTGTAAGGTAATGACAGCGTAATGTGTACAATCTACCAGACGATTATCTTCTTGCATCAATAAACCATCAGAATCTCTTCTAAAGTTTTCCACCTTCTCCTTAAAGTGACAGGCTGATTACTTTTTCTGAAAGCATGCAAACCTCTGCTGATTTATTTTGCATTTTTGATGGAAGATAAGAACTATCTGCATCTGAGTGCCAAGGAGCTAGGACTGACTTTAATATACTCTGATTATCAAACATCACATTTGGTATCGTTGAGCAGTCCGAAAATACACAAGACATGGCTTTACATAAATCATCGAAAATAGTCCTGAGGCGTGAAACAACGCTTGGTGATATGTTTGATGCAGGGTTTTCAAGAATTCCATGGACATTTCTCAATGACCTACTGGCAAAATATTTTAACTATATGATGAGAAACGTTCTGTGACAATATGTCTTACCTCAGCCTCATCTTTGACAGACTGCATGAAATCGGTGTTCGAAATGATGAAAGAATACAGATTTTCCCATGAGTCAATGCTACATACATAACCATGATAGTTCCTAATAAACAATTGATTTATAGAATATTACCTCTCTCCACTTAGCGCCGACACGAAAAGTGACCTCAGCAGCTGCATTTTATCCCAGTCTTCAGAGATCCACTGCGTATTCATACATCTTGGTGTTTCAATAGCTTCCATTCTACAACTTGATGAACATGTGAAAATTTTAAATCTGTTGAAAAGCGTAAACAATGGCAACGGTCATTTATACTAAATGTTGTGCATTTAAACAACAACCTTATCCTACACAAAGTACAAAGCACATTCACCTTCATCAAACAAACTTAACTAAACGAACATGAGGGAAGAGACGAAAGTTATCGAACTCCTTGACTTTGAAAGCGTAGAAAACACACCCTCCATGAAGCTTAAAAAGATTTCTCAAAGTTTAGTCATGTAGCGTCACACTATTCCCAAAATCAATAGCCTAGGGCTCGACGACATCAAACATTGATGCTGACCCTGATAGTTTAACTGAAATCGCGAAGCTGAAGGCACCCGGTCAAGCATCCTCGCCATTTGGCACGCTGTCGTGTTACTTTGCACTGCTCGTATTCGACTCCAGCCAGTTAGTCGGAACGCGTCGGTATCTTGGCCCAACCACCCAAATATACTGTTCCATCCGACAACACCATCGTGTTCTTCCTTGGTTTCGTATTCGTGGGTATATAACAAGTTCGAATAAGTAGTGACTGGTCTTTGCATCTGTCAAGTTCGCACCAGGACAAATCCTAAATTGGTGAGCCCGACGTGATCATATATCCCGACCAGTGGCAGATATTGAATTGGTGAGCCTGTTCCATTTTATATTTGTATATTGTTTTCATTTCGATAACATTTATATATCCATTTACTACACTTTCACATGTCGGAACACACTCCCAAGCTTATTCGTATTAAGCCGACTTCGAACATGATCCAACTCTTGCCATATTGGTCAGACAATGCAGAAACATGGTTTCTGTATGCCGAGGCAGATTTTTGAGAACAGGGCTTCTCAGATCCTCATTCTCGATTTCTTGCCGTCATACCTTCACTGCCGCGGGAATGAAACCAGCATGTTACAGCACACATGTTTAGTCCCGAAGTAAGTGATCCTTATGCACTTCTCAAGGCCTTACTCTTGAAGAAAAGCGATCTCACAGATCGCCAGCGTCTAGACGAATTACTTCGTAACATCGAGCTAGACAGCCACTCAGAAACTGAAGTCCTCGCACACATGCGAGAAGTTGTGGGTGCACGAACATTCGACGATGACCTTTTCCGGAACTATTTCTCTCAAAACTACCACAACCGGTGCAAACCGTGTTGGTAACACTGCAGTCAGTCCCACTCGATGACCTGGCAGCCTCGGCAGATAAAATACTGGAGATTTCTAGCAGACCCGTCTCCAACGTATATTCTGTCTGCGACAAACCAGAGCGCCAGGATTCGGAGGTGACCAAGCTGTGCAACTCCGTCGAACTGTTGCTACAATCTCGAAGTCCTAGTTCCTGTGGCACGCCACATAAACGCATCTTAGCGCATCTCAGCAACCTGCGTGGTTGCCCCAAAACTAAACCTAACGGGGTGAAAAGCCCGAAATGGTGCTGGTTTCATAATACTTACGGAGACGAAGCCACAAAATGTCGGAAACCATGCAGTTTTAACAAGGACAGACTCGGGAAACGGTCACGCCGGCACGTGTTCATAGGCAACCGTAGCCGGCGGAAACAACCGTTTGCTCTACGTCGCGGATATTAAAACGAAAGTTCGCTACCTCGTCGACACCGGAGCAGAAGTGAGCGTTCTTCCCGCACCGAAAAAGGAGCGTCATCCTGACCCATCCTTCAATCTCCAAGCAGCCAACAGCTAGGGAATCGCGACACTCGGGAGACAGTATGCCTACCACAACTTAGGTTTACGTAAACCTATCCACTGGATTTTCCTCCTGGCTGACGCCTCTATGCCCATCATTGGCATAGATTTGCTAAACCATTACGATCTACTCGTAGATGCTCGCCGTCGACGACTGATAGATAACAACACAAAGTTATCTATTGGCGGCACCACTCATGTAGGTCCGAGTTTAGCCCTCGTTGGAACCTAACAATCAGGCGACGCGTCCTACCAAGCAGTTCTGGAGAAATATCCAGAGTTGCGACAACCGAAGCACACTCTTCCGTGCATAACCAGCAATGTTGTGCATCAAGTCACAACCACAGGTCCATTTGTGGCATCCAAAGCGCGCCGTCTAGCCCCCGATAAGCTCAAAATGGCGAAAAGCGAATTCGACCAGATGCTAGAACTGGGCATAATCAAACTTTCAAACAGTCCCTGGGCGTCACCATTGCACATGGTTCCCAAAAAGGATAGCAACGACTAACGCCCAACCGTCGACCACCGAAGGCTTAACGCCAAAACAACATCGGTGGATAGCCCAATTATCAATATTCTTGACGATATGCCTGGTAATGCACAGTTACAACAACCATCGGCGCAACAGAAGACACGATCAGGTCGAACCGTCAGGTTCTTGGAGTAGTTAAAGTCGTACTTAACTTAGTGGTGTGAAATAAGATGTGCCAACTAAATTTTTTTCTGACGAATTTTTTTCCAAGGCACTATTTTTCTTATTTACCAGCAATGCAAAACTCCTCGTACATTTTGCCTTTTTATGTCAATTTCTTTTATTACCATGTAACGAAACTTCTTTAAAAACGGTGAAAATAAGCGTAAACTTTATTTTCGATACATTTGTACATACATATTTCCCATTTTTACCAAGCGTTTTCACGGTATTAAAGACTTTTATTTATATTCCAGGTGCAACGAGCACTGGACGGAACGTCAAAGAAACTGAGGGCTGCGATAGACGAACAATTCGATTTATGGTATTTGTTTTTTAATTGCCATGGCACCCTAGAATAAGTTCAGGCAACCAGCCGCCACTTCACGCAGTGAGCCCATCGGAAGAGTTTTACCAGCGGAGGAACCACTGGGTTTATACTTCCGGCTGGTGTCGTCTTAGGGTCCTCACGAACCCACTAGGGGGGGAGTGATTGTAGCGTAACACACTTCTCCAAAATCAATAGCCTAGGGTTCGACGACTTCGACATTGATGCTGACCCTGATAGTTTAACTGAAATCGCGAAGCTGAAGGCACCCGGTCAAGCATCCTCGCCATTTGGCACGCTGTCGTGTTACTTTGCACTGCTCGTATTCGACTCCAGCCAGTTAGTCGGAACGCGTCGGTATCTTGGCCCAACCACCCAAATATACTGTTCCACCCGACAACACCATCGTGTTCTTCCTTGGTTTCGTACTCGTGGGTATATAACAAGTTCGAATAAGTAGTGACTGATCTTTGCATCTGTCAAGTTCGCACCAGGACAAATTTTATATTCATATCACTTCGGTTTAAACTCTCAGTTACCCAGAAAGTCCCTTCTAAATTCTCATGATAATATTTCGGAAGGTTAATCGTATGCGTTATTTTCAGTGGAAAACATTGACAGCATACCTGAGTATTCACGCGAGCACTTTGCTTAATGAGTGCTATTCCGAAGCGCCTCCATAGAAGATACTATCTGACTGATATGTGTATAACTGTACACCGAAGCGTTACCCTCCAAAACTCAACTGTTTTTTTCGAGCAAACTGATCGTGGTAACAGAAGAAAATATTCGCTAAATATAGAAGATCCTTGAAATTGGGACATTTGCAGGAGAATATAAACATGCAAATAAATAAAAAGATGTTTTATTCTCACGTCGGGAATTTAACATGAGGGACGTCAGTTTATAGAAGTCATCACAATGATATATATCGGGAAATCCGCAAGATTTTACAGGTTCTGAGTACTGCTGAGGGGGTCCGTTAAACTATGAAAAACATAGGATCGTAGTTATGCGACAAAGAAGAAAATGCCACTTTTCAGCATATGTATGGCGTCTTAATCAATATAATGAAAACTCCTGTTCTCATATAATGTATTTAACATGTGAGATACCAGTTTATGAGCATCGTCAAACTGATAATCGCTGAAAGTTTACAGAATAGTATTTGGTATTATATGATCCATATACCAAGTTATTGGTGTCCATAACCCTGTTAAAACTTGCTGAAAATCATAAGATGAGCATGGGTTTTCATCTCCCACCACACAAATAGATTTCACTATCGATACCAAAAGCTCGCAATGTTCGAATTTCGCTTTACAAACAGCCGACATTGTTAGTCCGCCTACATGGTTTGTTATTTAGTGATATAACCGCCAGTGCACTAGAAAGTTCTTCAGTTCTCAGCTTTTCTAGCCACATAGGACCAGCTTATACCATCAGAAGTATCAGTAAGTATCCGCAGTCGTACAAACAAAGAGGGTGTCCAAATCAATGCATTTCCAGTGCACCATGATATGTTTAAGGGTAATACACAAAAATTCCACTAGCAATACTTGTTGTGGTAGATGGAAATACACGTTCGAATGGCTAATGATCAAATGGACACAGTCATGCATAGTTAGATTGATCCCTCGGTTAATCATTTATTCAGAATATTTGCTCCAATATGACTGTTGAGAAAGTTTAGACGGTTCGTCACTTTAAGAATCCTGACCAGTAGGTGAGTTAGTTGTGAAGGTGTTCCAGAGACCGCGAAAGCTTGGGAGCAGTCCGATAATTCTTGGAGTCAAACAGCAGGTGTTATTTCCACTAGGTAGATATGTTCAGATTGAAATTCAGTATCAAATATCCCCATCGGGCTGTTGCTGCAAATAAAAAAAGAAAGAAGCACGAGCAGATATGGATAAAGTTGTAAGTATTTTTCTGCATTTTTGTACACTGTTTACAGCTGTAGTGGACGAAATGGCGCCAGTCAATGAAACATTGGATAAGTGGATGTCAAGAGGCTTCACGGTAGTATCTTCGTGTGATGCCATAGCAGGTTGCACGATTGCGGAGTTGCTTGAAGGCGGATGCAGTGATATTTAAGAATAGTACTGATGAAGTATTGTAACTCCAATCTAATTTAAGGTTTTCAAGATCTTATTTGAAATAAGAAACTCGGCCAAATAACTAGTTCAGTAGTTACTAGCAGGTCCTAGGGCCGGACTAAGAGGGAAGGTTGGGCACAGAGCTGGCAACCCTACCCCTTAAAAC